ATAGTCATCGCCGTGAAAACCTCAAAACTTACATAAACATTACCTTCATTGAGAAATCAACTCTAGGATATTTTATGCTTACTATTTTTCATGGACCATGGTGAAATATATGATGGAAATTCAGCGGCATAGTTTAGCTCTCCTAAGGTTGTAGTGAGATTAGTAAAAATGAGATATTATCTCTCAAAATGATACCAACTCTTAACTGATAATCTCTTGAGGCGGTCCCTTGGTCATCCGATCTACAGGGTGTCCCCAAAAATGTACTCACCATTTTAATGAAACCAAATGCAATGTTCCTTAAAATAGATATAAGGTTAATGATATAAATTGAAGAAAACAAGTCTACTGCATCATGCATGTTCGCAAATGTTCAAACTCATGATCGTCATTATCCAGACAGAGCCGATAGCACGGAAAAATGGAACCACAAAGGAATCACAAACTGTATGAAGCATTTAATATGGAATTTGAAAACAATGTCTTTCAACTCATGGAATGTTGCTGATTTTGAGGCATAAACCTTATCTTTGAGATAACCCCATGAAAAAATCCATGGGTGTGAGGTCCAGTGAACACGCAGGATATTCAACTCTACCTCTTCGCCCAATCCATCTGTCCGGCAAAGTTGTATTGAAATAGGCCCTTACTTCATGAGGGTAGTGGGGAGGTGCTCCATCTTGTTGGAAGTAAATCTCTGCATCACCGAACATCTCTTCAATGCATGGCCCGACGAATTCCTGGAGCAAGTCTAGGTAAATAGTGCCGGTGACAGTGTTGTCAAAAATAGGACTGGTCCTAGGATGCCCAATGCTGTTATCCCACACCACACTGTAACTCCTGGTAAGTTCAGATGGTGCTCCACAGTAACATGCAGATTTTGAGAAGCCCAGTAGGTGCAACTGTGTCGATTAATTGTGCCATTTAACTTAAATGTGGCCTCATCGCTCCAGATAATTCTGTTTGGAAACACTGCATTTTCCGCACATTTTTTCAGGTATCATTGATAAAATTCAGTTCCCCTGTCAGGATCATCTTCATTGAGAGCATGGGTTAATGTTGGAATGTAACTTTTTCAATAGACATTTCAAAATCTGATGGACACTCGATTTTGAGATTCCTGTCTCACAAGCCACTTCTTTGGGGATCGGAGGGTTTCCAGCAGTTGTTCTTCTCTTGTGGGACTGGTAGATGACCATGGTCTTCCAGATCGTTGTTTATGGACGTCTTGAAAAGTTCCAGTTGCTTCAAACTTATCTCTGATGCAAGCAATGTTGCGTCGCATTGGTGAATTTCTTTGAAACTCCCCTGTAAACTGTCTTTGCACTTCAGTGACGTTCTCGTACTTCCAGTAACACTTAAACACAAATTTTCTCTCCTCAAAGTTTAGTCGTACTTCGTCCATTATTTAAAGTGACTTATACCTAGAAAAATATAAAAATTTTAGTGAGTTACAGGCAGTCAAAGAGCGAGTACACTTTTTTGGTACACCTTCATAGCATGAACTTTTGCATTGAGCCTTCGAAGCAAGTTTGAAGTTAGTTAACAGGAATGCTTCAGGCAAGCACAAATTGTAAGAAATAAATGTCAGCTTTTTCTTGTCCCGCTTTCAAGTCACAGCAAAGCACAGTCTTCTAGGATGTGACAGTGTACCGCAGTGGATATATATATATAAATCTCAAACTACGCGGCCTCGCATACCATAACAGTGTAATCTGAACATTCATCGCTGTGAAAACCTAAAATCTCATAATGAAACAATAAATTACGGAATTTCCTTATTTCTAAAATATGCATTCCTAATCTTTAAGGAATGTTTGCTGTTGTATTTTCTGTATAACTTCTTCATTTTGTTTCCATCTTTACACAACAACTATCAGAATCTCATTCACATTTACTGTGTATTTTTTTTACTGCTAGTGGGGTGGGACTAAGTCCCTTGTACTGCAGCCACTTCTGGTCTATTGTACCAGCCCCAGATGACAGATGAGGGTGATTGTGGTGCAATTGGTGGAATGAAGATTGGCAGAGGAAACCGAAGTACTTGGAGAAAACCTGCCCCAGCGCCACTTTGTCCACCACAAATCCCACTTGACCAGACCCGGGATCAAAGCCGGGCCGCCATGGTGGGAAGCCACCAACTAACCGCCTGACCTTCACTTACTCAGAAGTGGGGTATGAGTACTGTAGTGGAATAACATTAAATGGACAGTCCAGACAAGTGTAATAGAGAGCAATTCAGCTGGCTCTGTGACCTCCATCTGAGTCTGCCAGTTATTCACTACATGAACACAGGACTTTCATCTAATGTAAATACTTCTTGGCAATATTATTATAAGAAATGATCAGTTTTGTTTTTGGAGAACAAATATAATCATTATTTGGGTCTGATTCCATTAACTCTCCCCTTCCCCCCCCCCTTCATGGAAGCCCAGGTTTCATCACAGGTGGAATTTGTGGTGGACAAAGTAGCACTAGACTAGGTTTTCTTTGAGTATTTTGGTTCCCCCCACCAATTGTCACTCCACCATCTGGTCCATATTAATTAATGATTGTATCATCAACACTATATAGTCATGACACTGAGTGTCATAAAATAACAAAATTAAAATTTAAATTTAACTATTTTAGTGTTACATGAGATAGTTATTACAGAAATGTTTATCTAATCTCCGCTTATATTGCTGAATGGTTTCTGACATCCACTCCAAACAACCACCTCACTACATCAGATTCTGTCTCTACTTCTCTCTCTGCGCACACACACACACACACACACACACGTTAACAAATGTACGATGAGCACCTGGTTTCATGTAGTTTCTTACCTTGTATAAAATTTAATAAACATTTTACACTGTCTTCACTTAATGATTAGTAATGCTTTACTTAATTAAATTTTATCACACCTTATAACCTGCATTAATGGGTTCATAATGAAGATAGACAACAGGGCCACATAGTCAAGAGAGCCCAATTTTGAAATCCTCTGTGAACTGCCACTCATCACTTGCATAGGTTATACAGCATTGGTTCACATGAACATGAAGTATAGATCAGAAAGGCTATGGAAGTAGCCATGATCTAAACTAGGGTTCTATAATAATATATTCACAGTGTGTGTGAAAGAAATACAATAAGCTGTCATTCAAATGTGGGACTTCTGGCATATAAGCAGATGTGCTAACAACTACACATTACACTTGGTGGCAAGAAATGAAACTGACTGTAAATACATAAAGTGACTAGACAGTGAATCCATACTAAGTGCTTCTGGCACATCCTTACAAAAGAACATTTCATAACAAAATACTCTATTAATCACATCTATGTAAGATTATGTTGAGGGAATTTAGCTAATCTGGACTCTGTGACTAAAGTGGACTCCACTTTAAAAATCCCCTGGCATGTGCTGTGCTCTAACAAAAATGCACTACAGTGCTGGAACTACCTACATTGGTTACCCATAAGACCATTAGAATTGTAAATGTATGAACACTGTTTGTCCTACCAACATTTCAGAAGAAAATAAAAATTGTGAAATGTAAATTTAATTAAGCATCAGTAGTACTTTAACACAACCCATTTCATAATAGGCACTAAGCTTCAAACACAACATTAATGTACTCTCAGGTAACAAAAGTGTTTCCTCTTACAAAAAAGAACTGTGAAATAAAAACGTTCATTGTCAGTGACAAAAGTATAAATATAAAACGAGAAAACCACAAAAGGGGATCCAAACTTCCTCCCCATGGACACATTAACGTCTTAATTGAAGAATACTTCCCCACTTCTTCCACAAATATATTTTCAACCATATATGATGCATCAACTGGCCAATTACTTAACATTTATTCCATTCACAATGAACATTAAGATTTTTATGCAGTGCTTTTAGCATCTGTTAAAATTAATTTTACAATAAACAACACCTAAAAGTATGTTGTAAGTAAAATAATAAATTTAAAGCATCTTTATTAGATTCTTAGCATTTTTATTACATATTACATTACAAAACAAATATAATTTATTTCTGCTTAGTACAATGGTAATCTATTCATATAATAATATGACTTTTACAGCATTCATGGTAAGCAAAAGAAGGGTTGTTACTACAATTTTCTCAACAATTTCACTACCACTGAAAACATTATTCAACTTTATTGAATTCATTTACTCAACTTAAAAGGTAAAAAGGTAAAGCTATCCCTGTAACAGGCCATAAGGCCCATAAGGTTGTGAGACGTCAAGGCTCCCATATTTTCTCCAGACAATCGGCTCATAGATGGCAGTAAGTTTGTCAGGCTTACGCACTGGCCGCCCTTTACCCCCCAGAAAGATTCCTGGTACTCATTTCTGTTAGAGGTTGAGTCGACCCCAGGGCCATGGTGCAGCTGGAAGGATTAAGTCAATTGAAAAAAATCCACCTCATCAGGACCCAAACCTGTGACCTTCCGGCTTGTAGCATAGTGCCTCAACCAACTACACTACCAGGTGCCCCAATTTAATCAACTTAGTTTATATATCTGAAACAAAATTATTAACAACATTGTGTGACTTCATGTTTGCAGGAATGCCTGCACTACAACAGAAGTGAGGGCATTTTGGCAAAGAAGTGGCAGGTAATCAGTTTTCAACAGATCAGATAATTCCAAAAATGAAGGTATCAGTTTCGCATTAGAACCTTCCTACTTTCTGCAACTACAGTGTCAACTGAATGTTATGGGTTATATCTTCTGAGAGGAAGTTGCCAATTCAGAAATTGCTACTGCCACTTCTAGTATTATATGAAACATTGTATTATGGCTCTTAAGTGCCTCATAAATAATTTTGGAACTAAAAACTTGTGTATAACTATGTTTACAATTATCTAGAATAATTCCATAAAAACTGAAAATTTGATAAGAGAACAAATTATGTTAAGTTCTGTACAGAATAATAAATTAAGAATATATATATATATATATATATATATATATGTAAGATACCCGGAAAGTAAAGATACAAAGTTACAAAAATATTTGTAAAGCATTTTCTTTGATTCACATGTAGCACTTTTACAACACACCTTTATTGACTTTTCAACACAGTCACCATGGATCACAATGCACTTAGTGAGCCTGGGAACAAGTTTTTTTATTCCAGCATCATAGAAATCTCCCACCTGCTCTCTTAGCCAGAGAGAACAGTTCTTGCCATTTCTGGACATTGTAGATGAAGTTCATCGATGGTTAAACGTCTATCAGCACAAATGTTTTCATCATTTTTTTGGATGATTTCATCAGTGACAACGGATGGTCTGCCACTCCTTATTTCATCATGAACATCACTCCTCCTCACTTCAAACTGACAATACCATCTTGCCACATTCTGCCTGTTCACATCTTCGCCATAAAAGGAAATAAGGTGGCGATGAATTACAGCAGCAGTATTTCCTTTCACATGAAGAAATCGAATTACTGCATGAGCCTCACATCTGGTGGGATTCTGAATCGACATGGCCATTTTAAACACACACTGCAAGAACAAAATTGCCATAACTGTGGCCGGTGAACTCAGCCCTGTCATACTGTTCCTATCTCACATGGCAGCACTGCCATTTCTCCAAAAAAAAAAAGTCACTTGCATTTTTACTGAACTTGTAGCTTTACTTTCCGGATATCCCTCGTATCTCATATTTTGGATTCCTTTATGAAGTTAAGCTTCTCATTGACTGCCTGCATGGTGGACTAAGTGATGCTACAGTTTACATCCCATGTTTTAGCTTTATGACTTGTGAATAAATTATAAATGTTATGTGAATAACTGAGAAGGAAGAGACTATTATATTAACTGTTAGCTCACTTGCATGGAGGATTAAGTGATCCTATAGTGTACATCCCATGCTTTAGCTTTATGACTTGTGGAGGAAATGAGAAATATTTTGTTGACAACAAAAAAGGAAGAGATTAATGTGTTATGTATTAACTCATTTTCATACTGAGATTGAAAACAAAAATGACAACATAAAATTACAGGAGCATATAAAGTATCATTAGATTCATACTCTTTTGAATGCATATGAGAATGATGCACTCCACATAAGGTGAATTATTTGGTTTGTTAGACAGTGTGGTTGATGCAAACTGGTGATAGATAACTGGAAGCAATAACTGTCTAATGTACAATACTTTAGAATCGAGAACATCTGACTCCAAAAAAATAAATAACATATAAAACATAAAAGTCATGTTGTTAAGTATCATATCATTCATGTCTCAATGTGAGACAGAAATAAGCCTTAATATTATGAATATAATTTACAGCTATTAAAATAATCTGGCTATAAGACATAGATATTCTTACATAAAATGAATGTATGTTATTCCAGTTAAAATTTACAGACTACACAATTCTCTTATACTCTAATTTGTACTAGTGTTTCTCATGCCAGAGCGATAAATTAATTTAAAACAAAAAATTACTGCAGCAATGGCTGCAGTGTTATCAGACTTAAAACTGATAACACATTATGTCTTTGCACGTATGACAAGCCAGTTTTCAGGACTTAAGGCACATCTGTGTAACACAGTGATTAACAACACTTCTGCTTACATACTGTGCAACTTTCTTCTGTCCTAATCATTACTGCTTTGTGACTGATGCCTACCACATCACACCAAGGGTAGGGAAAGTAACTCTTGAGGACTAAAGCAGATGCCAACAGTTGCAGAAATGTCCAAACTGATGACACACTTGACAGTCACAGCCAAGTTCATAGGGTGTCCTGTCAAGAAAAGATGTCATCAGCTGGTCTTCAGTACTGTTCTGAGATCGTCTGGAAGAGTACAAATTATATCGGCCATTCGAAGACGTAGCTGATCTTTTGTTGAACTGCTCAGGGGTAATTCGTTTGTTTCGCTTTGCTCCAGTTTGTGACGTATTCTCAATATCATGTCCACAACTTCCACTTCCTGTTTCCCTTGAACCCATACTTTCAGATCCTGAAAGTTACAATACATTTCATCACTAGAATGCTGATGAAGGTGTCCATTTAACACAATTTTAACATCATATTCTTACCCTGTACATTGCTGTTTCACCTATGCAGTGTCAAGTTGGATCGGAAGTTGGCTATGAATGGTAGGTCTGGAAGGTGACAGTAATATAGTATCTAAAGATACTGGGTGCCGGTCACGGTAGCCTAGCAGTCTAAGGCATGTACTGTCTTCGCTTGCTTGGAAGCCGGGATCGTGGGTTCGAATGCCACTCAGGGCATGGATGTTTAGTTTGTGTGCGTGCATTTTTCTGTGTTTGCGACAGGTAGAGGCCTTGTGATGAGCTGATCACCCGCCCAAGGAGTCCTACCGTATGTCTAAGATCTAGAAAAACCGAAGTTCATGGAGGTAGGCCTAGGCCCAATGGGGGGGGGGGAAGATACTGGGTATGAGGAATCAAGGAAATCCACAAAACCATGCTGAATAGCTAGTTTTCTGAACAGGACTTGAACTGGCTTCCTCCTAATAATCAAATACACGTACATTATTGCTGCAGCAATTAAATGCAGATGTAGGGCCTCATTTTACATACACAGAAGACAAAAATTTTTGATGCAACATACAAATAAATGCTTCACTATGGGTAGCATGCAATTTAAATTCAGTTATGTTTCTGACTGCATAAGGTTTTGGCTTACCACAGTTCAATGCTGAAATTTTATCTGTTAAGAAAATAAAACAAACCACTCAATCTAGCCAACAGTGTTTATTCAAGGCACCAAACACATGAGTATGGGAAAAAATGTAGTAGTCTACATAAGACAGCAACACATGTTTATATGCTGCATTCCTGACAAATGCTTAGGCACTGTTTCTTGAATGGTGCTGCTGATGACAAATATTCCCCTTGAACTGGCTTCCTGGAAGAAAACTGCAACATTCATTAAGGTTGAGGGGGAACTCTTAAGGCATATCATGGCAGCTGAGGACAAGGAACTGTGCTTCCTGTGAACAGCACATTATATAGAGTAAAATAGCCAAAAAAAGGAGTTTTATGGTGAAGCAGCAGAATATTACTGGATTCTCATGGATTCAAAAAAAAATTCAGAAAATCTATCATGACAAAGAATAATACTGCAGAAACTGCTGGAATAATTACAATTATTTAAACAACATGTAGAATTTTACTTTGTTTCTATGGTACTGAGGCTGAAATGAAAGACTCCTTTAACCAAACTGTCTTAATACCTTTACTTGCACCTTCAATTTGACCCATCAACTTAGAATGTAGCATATGTAAGGCACCTTGTTGCAAAAAATGAGATACTATAAAATGATGAGGTGTGGTAAAGATATTAAAACAATTTCACACTATCATAAAAATGTATTATTATGGGCTCAATTGTACAGGCAAGTTGCAAGAAGGTGGTCACTGAAACCCAACTGAGTGGAATAAGGAAAAAGAGCCCAATCCAATCCAGTGGGAAGGTGGGTAGAAAAACAGACATTGTAAACGGCAAACCACTACATGGTGTCATAACCCATATGACCACAATCTGAAGAATTCTTTCATCTACATTTCAAGAAAAAAAGTGAGCATCATGCCAGTAACTTACATGTAAATAAATGGAAATCAGAGACCAGAACTAAAAATTCATCTTTCTCAACTCTGGAACATTCTTAACCCTTTCCCTGGGTATGACAGAATATTCCATTATGATGCAACGTTAACATACTTGGTTTGATTAACCATTACATACTCTTATTTCAACTGCATTTAGCTCATGAGTGTGATGAACTAGAGGGATGGTGCATTTACAGTTCTTAACAGATGGAATTTTGTTGCCTAGAGGGCAGCACTAAGCAAGATGTGCAGCATAATACCTGTCATTCAGCCAATCTTTCTCCGCTGCATGTGCTCAGTTGACTCTTTGTTTCAGTATTTGTAAAATGGCATGAAGTAGTTTGAAGAGTAAGCATGTTTTTTAAACTTTAATGGATCAAAATATGAATAATATGATGAAAATACAACATAATAATTAGTTGCAATGTAAAGTATGTAAAGTTACTTGGTCAAAGGGGGGGGGGGTAGTTGCACCAAAGCAGATTAAACTCCCCAGGTAAGTGGTTAATGTTCTATTCTTCTGGTCTTAATTTCAGTCTATAACATGGCTATGTCACCAGTTCTGAGGTATAGATCATAACTACAGCGATGCTGGCAGCTACTCCATATACGAGGTGGTATCGGAAAGTTCGCGGACTGTTACTGCTGTAACTGCTTGGTGAAAGATGAGAGGGGAGGCCAAGGTCACACTTCCGCAAGCCTACTGCATTGGTCTGACATGTGACACTGCGCTCTGAACACACATTAGTTTTACATGAATTATTGTACATGACGATGTGATGCATTGTGTTGTATATGACGGTGTGATGTATTGGATATTATTAATGTAACAGGTATATGGTGGATAGAATAATTACAATGGTTACAGTTCATAAGCAACATTTTATTGAATCCGAATGTAATATTTATTGATAATTATGAAATGTAACAGCACAGGCTTGTCACATACTGTAACTCGACTTTCACCGATGTTATCCCCCAGAGGGCAAACAAGACTTATTTTGAACTAAGGGAAGCAAATAAGAATAGTCACGTTGCTTCACAGAGAAACTGGAAAACATCAGTTAAAGTCCGAGAAAACAAGCCAAGGTCCAGGAAGACACATCATGTGAAATAACAACAGAATGTTCTAGAACATTCCTATATGATGAACTTTGTACCCTCCAAGGAAGCTTTCACAAAGCCCCCATCCCACAGACAGGGCTATAAAAACCCTGACCCAAACCGTCCAAAACGCTCTCTAATCTGATTACGAAGTTTAGTCTATAGGACGGTACTCTGTCAGTTAGGAGTCGGACACTGCTAAAGCCTTAAGCAGACTTGCTGTTGTTACAGTTGTACATATTTACTGTGTAATAAACTCTCTTGAATTAAGCATCTTCCAGCAGTTTATCTCACCAAAACGACGGACAACGTTTGCCGCTCGACCGACTCCGTCAAGACCAAGCCACAAGTACGAGTATCCACTCTGTCGCCCGACAGTGTGGCATACGACAGAATGATTTTCGACTTTGTGTTTCATTTTGTTTGCGACAGATGGCAAATTCAAGCAACGTGTCTGCATCAAGTTATGCATGAAGTTTGGCAAATCTGCTACTGAAACCATTGAAACACTTCATGAGGCTTTTGGAGAACATTCTTTTAGACAGACAGTGGTTTTTGAATGGCATTCATGTTTCAAGGCTGGGTGTGTGTCAGTTGAAGATGATGAACATTCAGGGCGATCAAGCACCAGCAAAACAACAGAAAATGTTGAAAAAATTCGAGAACTCATCCACAAAGTCCATCACCGAAAACTTCATGAGCTTGCTGACAGTGGTGGGATCAGTTATGGAGCTTTCCAGGAGACCTTAACACAAAATTTGAACATGCGCTGAATTGATCCTTCATCATGACAACGCATCCGCCCACACATCCCTGAAAACCACAGAGTTTGTGACTAACAACAAACATGGTTATCATTCCCCATTCTCCCTACTCACTGGACTTAGCCCCCATGACTTCGCTTTGTTTGTCAAATTAAAAATGAAGCTGAATGGATGACATTTTTGAAACAGTGTCATCCAAAAGGAATCGCAAGTGGTACTCGACAGCATTAAGGAAAATTACTTCCACGGTGCTTTTGAAGCGTGGAAAAAAATGATAGGATCACTGTGTATGTTCCCAAGGAGATTTATTTTGAAGGAGAAGGCAGCCAAAATTGAGTAAGTTAAGCCAGCATCTCTTCTTTTATCTAGTCTGGGAACTTTCTGATAGCACCTTGTACCTTGTATGTAATGTGCTGCAAACATCAATTATGCACAATACAAAATAATAAAGAAATTATAGTCAGAACAAAGTACACATATAAACTACATACTACACCACAAATGAAAGACACTACATCTACAGGTAACTGATGTGGAACTAAGACATGGTAACAATGGAAACAAAGTATTCTAATGAAAAATGTTAATACTATTTATCATCACATATACATATTTGCTTTGATATATGTCAAAGAGGATTACAAACAGTATAACCAACCCCTTCACACTAATAAGAATAACAGTGAGAAGGTGATTTCTTGGAAGGAATGACTGAATACAAAAAGTTTATAATTGTGTTCATAATAATAAACAAATTAATTTGCCATAAAGTGATATGTGTTTTTGTTGGCTGTCAACATAACAAAGTAAGAGAAACTTAATGCTATACATTTTTACTTAATATCTTCTAATTTTGTAGAATATGTTACTGAGATTTTATTTTCAAAATTTAGAAATATGTTCTAGTAAAACTGCAGCAAAAACTAATAATCAATAGCTGAGAACCAGAATAAGCTACAAAGCAAACAGGGCTCAATAGTTCCACAGTATGAAAAGTATTAGTTTGGTGGCAGTCAATGAAACAAATAGGTATTGCCAAAAAAATGCTTTTGCATACCAACAGCAATTAAATAAGCTTACTATCTCAAAGTATCTCTAGATTAACAATGCATTTAAGTCTGACAATTTGAGAATCATTCTGTTTACCATGGGCCACACATGAAAAAAAATTAATATCACTCTCATGATAACTACACATTTGAAAATTGTCAGTTCACGGAGAATTTGAACATTACACCATAACTAATATCAGTTTTCAAGTTATTAAACAACGCTGATCCTCATAAAAATTCTTGGGAAACATAAGAAGATACTAATTACAGTGCTTTCATGCATATGACTTTCATGCCTCAAGAAATATGGCCTACTGCAAAATCCCTCGCAAAAAGGGGTGGACCAAAGGCACCCTCTGCAATTCATGGTCCCTTAGGCCACATATTTTAGCCAACAGATAAAGCCAACATAACTGCAGACTGCTTAGAAAACTTGTTCAGAGCACATGACTGTGACCACAGACCACAAGGGGGGGGCTCAAGTTGAAGCTCCGCGGGCTACAGTACATGAAGTCATGTTAATTTCCGACCCTGTGATGTCTCAAAAGAAATACCATCCTTGAAAATAGGAAAGGCCTGCGGTGAATGTCTCAGGCACCATCCAAGTGGGCCTCTTGTGCATTTAACACATTTATTCAATCACTGCCTTTGGCTTGCTGACTTTCCAGCACCTTGGAAGGCAAAAATCATAACTCTGCTGAAACCTGGCAAAGATCCAAAATTTCCATTTGTTCAACCTCTTGTCCAGTAGGGACAAACTATCTGAGAAGCTGATTTTAATTAAGAACAATCCAAAAACAAACTGAGGAAAGAAAGTTACTAAATGTAAGTCAGTTCAGCTTTCGAGCAGATCACAGCATGACACTTCAATGTATGAGGCTGCCGGTACTCCACGTTATTGGAAGTCTTGACGGGTGCACACCAGTTCGCAAATTGCACGTGGCTTTCAAAGTTCCTTACATGTACAACTATATAACTAAATTATGCAGGAGACAAGCAGAAGTAATCCTAACCTATGTAAATCCAAATGTATGTAGTATTGGACAAGGAGAAGCGAGGAAGTATAAAAGGCTTAAACTTGGCAGTGGTCAGCCTTTGACCATTCAGCTAACTGCAGTTTCAGAGTAGTTGCACATGTTAAGGCATAACATATTGCACAAGCCTTCATTGACAGGAAACCTCTGTATACTTTGCATAAATGTTACTTAGTACAGTGCAGTGTTAAAGGGTGCACAGAGTCCTTAGTGACCTGACACGGTGACAGCGTGTTTATACTTGTGCTGAAACTACGGTACAACAAGTGTAGCGCCTAAATAGAGAGACTGACCCCTTCTTCATTGAAGAGAAGGCCCCATTTTGAAACATGTACATGTCAAAGGGAGAATAAAATCTTGGCCATGGATCTTGAGAAGACTGAAGCCTGGAATGACTGCACTGGCAAAGGCCAACAGCAATTCACCAGACTGACCAACCATGAGAGGCAGCTGAGAGCCAGTTGCCATCATGAGTCTGGTTTAGTCGTGAGATAGTAGCAAGCTGGCAACTATATAAGCATAGGACATTGTTTGGATCCATTAAGAGGCAACGGCTAATGAAGCCAAAGAAGACATAACATGTACTGTAGTGAAAATTCATGTGTGTCAATTAGCAAGAGTGCTAAAATTACTTGTGGCTGCAATATGTAACAGTTCAGTACATTCAATTATCAATACAAACTCTGTGTACAGCAACTAACACATGCCAATATTTTATAATGTACTTATAATAAAGAATTCAGGAGTTATTTTGTTTTTGTGTTTGGCAGACTAAACATGATAGGACAAAATAAACTGCTGGAAATAACAGGATTAATGGAATAAAGTCAACCATTTCAGGATCTGTGCTAAGCAAACACTGGAACTGTGCAAGAACAGCAATGGCTATAAAGTGGCACATACCACATTGCATTGTTGGTGAAGTTTCACTTACAGCATCAGATAAAGCTTCCAACTGAAGGGCCTGTAGCTTCTGGCTTACTTCTCGATAGCGGGCATTGAACCACCCACTGAAGTTTGGTGACCGGAAGAAACGACGATATAATCCTACCCAATCACCTTTAATTCCTGAAGTGAGTTGTGGACCTGAGGTTCCCAATGTAGAGAGGAAGTCATCCGGATTAAACGGATGTGGTGCTGGAGCTGCCTGAACAAATAGTTATTGCTGTGATTTAAAGAAAACTGTAACTGCTAAGAAACCATTAAACAATACTGCAAATGATATGCAACTCATAATTAAGAATAAGGGACAAATGACAGGGAATGAAAGGGAATAATGACAAATGGTCGGAGTTTGGAACTTTAAAACCACCTCTGTCCACATATACCACATAACTTTTCATTTTTTAGTATTTCACACAGGCTGTCAACCACACTGAATAACATATTATGTTATGTTTGTGGGGCGTGCACCACAGTAAACTTCTAACCTTCATAAACAGCCACATTTTGCACCATATATTTGAAACAGTTTCATGCTACTTGTGTCATTTCCTTTTCAGATAACAGGAACAACAGGAAATCTTGATTGGTGGCTTTCCTTTCAGATAATTCGGAAGAATATTCAAACTTGATAGGTGCATATAGTTTCATCAATTGTCAGATTTTCTGCCAATGTGTACACATTTCAGAATTTCAGGTTGAGACAGTCTAAAATCAGTCTTTTTGTATAAAGGGTTAAGACTTCGTTGATCCCTAGGTATTCAAGTGCCATAAATATGCACAGCATGGCAAGGATAGCTAAAAATCAGTCTTGAGACATCTCAGCAACTCATTTACCACGAGTTGCTGAGATGACTGGTTGTTTTCTCCAGTAATTTTGTAGTGATGAATTCTATATGAAACACATACACATAACCACAGGAACAAAAGCATATTTTTTTGCAAATACTTCCTTCCATTGTGTATAAATGGATTTAGATTCCAGAGATCTTATCTTTCTTTCTTATTTGTTGTTCTGCACACAATTTAGTTTCTCTTTGAATCAGTTCAAATATTTCACTGTTGAAGAATATGTGAAACATATCTATTGGAGAATTACAAGGAGTGTTCCGTATATAATTACCTATTTTTTTTTAATGAAAACTACAACAGATACAGAAAGCATAATAATGCAGTTAAATAGAGCAAGATTTCAGCTACTTACAGTTATTTTTCCACATAATCATCACCATTTGTTATGCACTTTTGCCAGCGATGAACAAGAGCCTGTATGCCGCACCCGTAAAAGTCTGCACCAGCAGAGACTAGCCACTTTCTTACAGCTGCAATGACAGCATCGTTGTCTGGAAAATGTTGCCCACGTAGTCCATCTTTCATAGGCCCAAAGAGATGGAAGTGTGAAGGTGCTAAACCGGGGCTATAAGCTGGATGTGGTAGGACAGTGTGTGGTGGTCGCCAAACTGGTATGGGCTCTAGCGTTATCGTGTTGCAAGTGAAAAGTTGTTTGCTTCTCTGGCATGAAGCAGAAAATGCGGGCTTTCAGCTCAATCAGCGTCATCTTGTAGTGTTCAGAATTGACAGTCTCACCAGGCTCCAGGAAAATGCAACAAAATCACACCCCGCCTATCCCAAAAGACTGTGCACATCACTTTCCCTGCCGATGGCTGTCTTGAACTTCTTTTTTCTTGTGGAATCTGGATGTTGCCACTCCATGGACTGTCTTGAATTCCGGCTCGTAGTGGTGACACCATGTCTCATCTCCGGTGACGATGCTGTCCAGAAACTTGTCACCTTCAGCCTCAAACTGGTGCAACAGGTCCTGACAGACTTCCATTCAATGAGTTTTGTGGTCCTGCGTAAGCATCCGCGGGACCAATCTGGAAAAAACTCTGTGATAATCCAGCTTCCCCAACATCGTTTCCAATGCATTACAGCTGATATTAAGCCGTGCACACAGTTCCCTGGTCATTATCTGCCGATCTGTACGGATGAGCTGATCGAGGTGCTGTTCATTGTGAGGAGTGGCAGCTGAGCAGGGATGCCCAGGGCATGGCTTGTCGTGCACTTCACTTTCGCCACTGTTGAAACGCACTACCCACCACCTCACTGTGCTGACATCCACTGTATCGCCTCCGTACACCTTTAGCAAGCATCGATGGATGTCAATGGGTGGAATTTGTTAGGCAGTGAGAAATTCAATAACACATCTCTGTTTCATACGCACTTCTATGTCAGACGCCATTTTGGTAGACTGCTCTGCTGTCACTATCTGTTGCACGACAACCAAACTAACAGTACATTGGCGGGAAGGTTCAACCTTTACTACAACACCACCAACATTCAGTTCAGACGTTACATAGTAACACAAAAAAACAGGAGGCATTATATACGGAACGCCCTTCGTATCCTGAGATGTAAATTTGAATTTATTCTTGCCAAGCCTGAAAATAAAGGTCTGTTTACTATTACATCATCTTTCCAGCCATTTTCTCTGCCTGAAATTTAATTAGCAACACCAAATACCCTTTCTCATAATCTCTGCTGCTGCAATAAAACTGGCATTACTCTTCTTCAGTGCTGCTAGTGGTAAACAAATTCAGAGTATTAACATTACTACGTGCTGTTATGACACTATTCTTGGGTAAGCAACAGTAGCACAAGATAAATTACAAACAGCTTGTCTACTATTAATCTTCAGTTTCAAACTAAGACATCAAGAGCAAAATTCATGGGCACATAAAATATTCTTTTACCTTAAATCTTCCTCCCTGAGGAAAGCTGCTCTATGTTGAAGGCTATCATAGTTTATGATAATAAATGAACAAAGGAAACAAGAGCAGGATATAATTTTAAAACAACGACTGGGGAAATTACACAACTGAGTTTCCAGTGGAGTTTCCAACAAAGATTCTATAAGATGACTTGTATGAGACAACCAAAGAAAGAAGAAGAAAAATCACTTACTTTATACGGAGAAATATTCTTCTGCAGTGGCATAAGGCTAGCCATATACCTTTCTAGTGGAATCATGAAGCTCTGTGTCAACTCCAGAAGATGTCTTCGAAGCAGTGCTGACTGGACTTCTCCTGGTCTTTTCATTTGAACACCCTTCAACAGTTTCTTCAATATAGTTTTGTCCTTCTGCAGAAATGGGTGGTAGTATGTGTACACACCAGGTTTTGAATCTAACATTTTTAAATTTCCACCCTTCTTTAGTTTGTGCTTTTGGGTAGCTGCTGAAGAACAAAAACAAACATATCATTAAGTGCTTTGCTACTTCCATACCTGTTTCTAAGATTATACACCTTGCAAAGATCGGTTCTATGAAACAATGCCATAAGCCAAATATTTCTATCACATGATATAACCAACCACTGCCAGATTCTCTGCTTTCCCCAGTTTCATTCCCACTGTCACTTTGTCATTGAAGTTACCATCATTTTCACTCAGGCCATTCATACTGCTTTCACTACTTCCATTATTACTGATTTTACTAATGTCTAACTTCTTCATGAACAATAATGCTTTAAAGTATATAAAACCCATTGTGAAAACATAAATATGATTGTCTGTGTTTTCATGCTTTGATAGTGCTTCATTGCTAATGTAGATCTTGTTTGTGAGTGACGGCACTGATTAGATGAAGGCAGTACTGCTAGTGTTTTAGAGACCTTTATAGGACGTACATAGATAATTAGCTTCGTTGTTTACAAGCAGTACCCATATTATTATATATTAATTTTCAAGGTTTATTTTAGTGCAAAATGGCAAGAAATTCATACTTATGCTGCCACTTGCAGCATATGATTTCAGTGTTAATAGTATACTTCATATTATGCTGAATTTGAAATTATCAAAGCACTGGCTGTGGAGAATATTATTTTCTGAGACATGACTCCTTGCTGTAATCTGGTAAAGTTAAACATCCTCTACAATGTTGAGCTCCTACTCGACTACATAGTGCCCCCACGAATAACACAGTACTCTTCATGGTCATTAATGTGAGAACTTCAAAACCAGCACAGTGTCTAGTACACCATTCAGAGTGGAATCGTTTGAAGCCATATGGCAGAATGACTATGGATTTCTTGCCACTTTTCACTAAAATGAAGCTTGAAAATTACTATACAGTAATATGGCTACATGACATGTTCTATATCCATCTTTGGATGTCAATGTAGACAATTATGTACATCCCACACATCTCTTCAAAACACTGTTAATATGGTCCAAATCTGACAGTGCCATCACTACTAAAAACAAGGTTCACATTAGCAATGAAGTATTATCAGATTCTGAACTCACAGCTGATGTTTATGTTCTCACAATGGGTTTTCCAGGTAAGTCCATTTGGGGTCTGTGGTGGACAAAGTGGAACTGGGGAAGATTTTCTCAGAGTGTCTTGGTTTTCCTTGGCAATTCTTATTCTTATTATGTATTGTTCAAAAAAACAATACATGGATTACACCAGGAATAATGAAATCATGTAAACATAAAAGAGAAATCTACAATGAATTAAGAAACAATAAGGATCCTAATTTTAGAGTTTATTATAGAAACTATTCTAAACTACTGAGTACTGTTATAAAAAAGGCAAAAAGAATGGAGTATGATAAATGTATCCTATACTCCCACAATAAAATAAAAACTACTTGGGGTATTATAAAGAAAGAAGTGGGTAGGAGTACAAGCAGGATAGAAATTAGTGCAGTAAAAATAGATGGTAAAATATTGAATAATCAACAAGAGGTTGTAGGGGAGTTTAATAAATATTTTGCCAATGTTGCTGATAAAATAAAAAGACATGTTAATAAAAATTCCATACCTATGAATGATCAAAAAAATGAAGTAAATTTTATGCATTATATGAATCAAGATTTTATAAACTCATATCCAAATATAAATTATAACTGCTCTACAATTAAAGAAATAGAGAATATAATAAAATCTCTTAAACCAAAAAATTCTTGTGGATATGATGAGATATCATCTATTATTTTAAAATTATGCTCGCCATTTATAATTTCACCTATAAATTACATATGCAATAAAATGTTAAGGGGAGGAGTTTTTCCTGATAGACTAAAATATGCGATAATAAATCCTCTGTATAAGAATGGTGATACATGGGATGTGACTAATTATAGACCCATATCACTCTTGACATCTTTCTCAAAAATATTTGAAACTATAATATATACAAGAACTTTAGAACATCTTAATAAGTATAATATCCTAAGTAGTGAACAATATGGATTTAGGAAAGGATTAAAAACAGATAATGCAATTTACAAATTGACTACAGAGATTTTAAATTCTATGAACAACAAACAATTAGTGGCAGGTGTTTTTTGTGATTTAGAGAAAGCCTTTGACTGCGTTGATCATGATATTTTGTTGACCAAACTTAAATTTTATGGTATTACTGGGAAAGATCAAGCACTTTATGAATCTTATTTAAGTAACAGATATATCAGAACAGTAATACATAAGAATGATGTAAATACAGTATCCTCAGAATGGCTCAATATTAGGCAGGGAGTGCCACAAGGGTCGGTATTGGGACCTTTGTTGTTTCTCATATATATAAATGATTTGCCTAAAGTATTAAATAGATTTTCTACACCCGTAATCTTTGCTGATGATACTAGCATTTTATTTTCACATTCTAATATAAATGATCTTAGTAGGAATATTCTTACAACAATTGAAATTTTAAATAGATGGTTTAGAGCAAATAAACTATCCCTGAATTTTAATAAGACACATTGTATTCAATTTAAAACCAAGGCAACAATATCAGATACTTTTACAATAAATTATAACAATAATTTTATCAACAATACCTTAAGTACTAAATTCTTGGGAGTCGTAGTTGATAGTGCCCTAATATGGAAGAATCACATTGAACTACTTGTAAAAAAATTAAGCAAGGCTTGTTATGTAATAAGAAATATGAAACAGTATTTGTCTATTACAGCCTTAAAGGCAATTTATTACTCTTTCTTTCACTCCTTATTGAGCTATGGTATCATCTTTTGGGGAAATTCTTCCCATAGTTCTAGTGTTTTTCTTCTCCAAAAAAAAGCCATCAGAGCGATGTTGGGATATGGTAACAGAGTTTCGTGTAGAAACATATTTAAAGAGTTAAACATTTTACCATTTGCATCGCAATACATATTTTCATTGTTAATATTTGTATTGCAGAATAAACATCTTTTTTCATCAAATATTGACTCTCATGCTATAAATACCAGACATAGACAAGATCTTTATCTACCTCAAGCTAACTTAACTAGTTTTCAAAAAGGAGTTTACTACGCGGGTATAAAAATGTTTAATAAACTGCCCATAGAGATCAAGAACTCATCTCATAATTTTAAAAAGTTTAAGGTTGAATTAAGATATTTTTTGAATACACATACATTTTATACTATAGAAGAATATTTAAACAGATAAATTTTAGTATTTATTGTATTCTTGTATCATCTAGACGAGCATAACTATGCATGTATTTTATGTTTTATATTATTTATGATATGTTTTATATCCATTCTTGGATCTTTGTAACTTATTATTGTTGAATATTGTAGGATCCAGATAAGCATAACTGTGTATTTTATGTTTTGTATTATTTATGACATGTTTTATATCCATTTTTTGGATCTTTGAAACTTGTTATTGTTTGATTCATTGTACTATCTAGTCGTGTAATTTATGCATGTATCCTGTTTTATATTTAGTTCTGTGACATGTTCTATATCCTTTTTTGGATTTCTTGAACAAATATAAATACAATACAATACAATACAATTCCACCAACTGGTCCATAATCATTCTGTCATTCAACACTATACAGTCTTGATACAATGTCATTAAATACACAACTATAAAAATAGGTTTTACATATCCTAAAACATGAGAGTTTAAGAGGATTTAGACATTAGTAAAATCTAAGATAACGATAGTAAAAGCAATATGGATGATCTCAATGTAAGTGGTAAAAGCAGCATGTATGGTCTCAGTGAAAATGCTGACTACTTCAGTAACAAAAATGACAGCATAAGTGAAACTGGGGGAAGCAGAGAAGCTTGCAATGGTTGGTGTGACTATACTCAGAGAAGATTCTTTTTCCACATCTGCATATATCATCCTGAAAATTGAAATTTTGATCTCAAGTGAGATTATTAGAAATGAAATAGATTTTTTAAACATTTTCTATAATCTCATTCCTTTCTACAATCATGTGGGGAAATAATTGCCCCTATCAAAAATAAATGTATTTAAAAAGTACACCAACAGAGCATTAGAAGAATCCAAGGCATCAGTATATGTTTCATTAAATGCAGTTTTGAATCCAACAAGTTGAATGTCATTTTTCATGAAAAATATATTTGAAACCAAGCAGGTACAGAGCCACTGTTTTCATAAATGAGTACAATATGTGGGAGATCCAGTAAATAGGTCACAAATTAACAAAGAACGTAAAACATACCATATTCGAACCTGAAAAAAAATTTATTTCTTGACATATCCTCCACCAACATTGATACACTTGCCCCATCTCTTTACTGGCATGTCACTAAGACATGTATCATGCTGTCTTAGTATACCAAGAAGATTCTTGTAATGTGTAACTATACTAAGACACAGCATTATATGCATTCACTAGAAAACCACAGTGGTAATGGAGAAAAACGTTCTTTTGTTACTGGCTGGGGTGTTTCCATGATTATACAACTCCAAAGGAGGACTCCTAAATGTAAAACTTTATTAGTACAATAGCTAAATGAGCAAGAAAATAATATTCAGCATGAAAATATGTGAATGAGAACAAAAATTGCAAATTCTTATAGCATGTTTTCAGCAAGTAAGCCAGTCAAAATGATAGATATATGACTGATAACCACTCCTCCTTCAGTTCTAAAAACTCACATTTCATAAGTGCAAAACATTACATAACCTACATAAGTAATGCTAAGAGCTGAGCTCAGAAACATACAGGACCTACTTGTCAGATACTTTACTTACATATATGTGGAGCATCACATATTCGAATGATGTGTGGCCAATGTTGCAAAGTTTTTGCAAAGAATGGATTTGTTACCCCTAGAATAACTGGAGGTGGTGCATGAGCCTTTGTAGTATATTCCTTAAATTCACTGTCATGAATCGTAAAATATGGCCGAAAATCTGAACAGTACATCAAAGGAGTAATCATGCTGGAAAAAATATACATCCGTACTTTATCACTGATCACTAGCTTTCTCAAATGAAATGTTTTCATATATAGTGAGATTAGGATGCTTGGTAAGAAGCTCTACAGTGCAATCATATTACTAGTTACAAAATAATCCTTTGGCAAAGGGGTATTATTAAAAATATTCTCTTCCAGCCCATCACATCACATACAACACTATACACACAAATCTGGCATGTCACTGGGGAACAAACTTCAGTAGGATCTGAATACTTATTTGTAAATATTAATGCCTGTTAAATTAAAGATCAGTGTAAATGTGAATAAGATGTTAACAAATTATATGTAAGTACTATGTAATGCCAGAAAGTATCAGTAACAGTTGAATATCTCCTATAGAAAAGCTTGATGAGTCACTTGGCATGTAATGGTTATCAAAACCACTTACAGAACAAAAAATTATGCACAGCAGCTCAAGCTTCAATAAAATGACTGTTTGTGACAGTGCAGTCTGTAAAAGCTGTTCAGAATGAAGAAAATTAATCAGACTTACCTAACTAGAGCTTGGACCATCCTGGAACAAGTTGTAGGAGAACCAGACATAACTACAATTGGTTCAGCAGTGAGAACCAACTCCCAGAGTAGGTGAACATGTGAAATTACAGGTGAAAAGCAATGAAACATATGAACCTCATGCACTGAGGACAATACAGTTGGTGGTGGTACTGGAGAGAGATTCATTTCAGATGGAGAGCCTGGTGCTGTCACAGGACCCACTTTATTACTATGACTTGGAATATGAGCCTGCAATACACAGTACACCATTACACGTTAGTAGCATGCAACATGTCCTGTGTCATGACACACTATTCCATATAGTTATTAATTTCCTACACAGTATGCAGATACACTAAGGTAAGTGACATGTTTTATATCCAGCCCTACAGGGAGATCACGGATCCATGATGTGAAAAACAAATGTAAATAAGTGAAAAAAAGGAAGACATTTGATACATCATATTCTGCCTGATGAGAGATCTAGTTCCTCAAGCTGCATATTTAAATTTAATTCATTGCAAGGTTCATAATACATGCTCCTAAAATTCTGACACCAATTCTACTATTTACATGACCTACACTAAGAAATACACTTCTTAATTTAAGAGCACATCAAAACTGTATCAATACAAAAATAATATGATAATGCAAAGTACTTTCTAGGATATGATGCCATGCAATCTGGTAGTTTATGGGCATTACAGAAAAATAATAAGAAAAGAAAAAAAATTATTGTTGAGCTCAGTTAACAGACATGTGGGACCGCACACTGCTAACATCTGGTGATCAAATGTACATTTCCACTTTTTACTTCCTCATACATAGTATACAAGGTGCAACTGTGCAAGCTGTGGACAAACTTTGGGCGAAGTTCCATATATCAAAACAGGAAAAAATGTCAATATCAACATGTGTCTGGAAACATTTAATTTGGAGTTATAGCTGAAAGAGTATATTTATTAGTGCTCAAAATGTCCTACATGTTGACAGGGAAGCTGGTGTTGGCATAAGACAAGTGGGGGAAGAGTTCAGTGTTTTGTGCATTACCATTTGGAGGATACTAGATGAACAGCTGCTTTATGCTTACCATTTACAATAAGTGCAGAGTCTCATCTGTGCTGATTTTCCAGGGTGAGAGAACTTTTGTTTTGTTCGGTAACATGCTAAGCATGTCTTTGTTTCACCAATGATCTTTAGAGATGAGGCACATTTTGGTAGACAGCATCATCAATATTAACAACCAGTACCAGTGGGCAGAGGAGATCCTCATAGTGTAATTGATTCGAGACACCAGCAGCAGTTCAGCAATAATGTATGGACAGGGAAGGTTGGTGACTGTTTCACAGGCCCAAATGTTTTGCCCCATAAGTCCACAGACAACCACTACTCAACTGAGATTTCCCCTTATATGACCTACCAAAGCTACAAATGTGGTACATGCATGATGGTGCTCTGGCACATTTTAGCCATGCTGTGCAAGGTGTTCTCAACAACACCTATCATGGCCAATGTATAGGTATAGGAGGACCCACTGTATCGCCTAAACAATTGCCAGATTTGACTCAACTGGATTTTTACATGCCGCGACACCTAAAAACCCTTGTGTATGCAGCTTCTGTTGAAAACGAAGCGGCACTCAGCATCACATTGTGGACTGCTTTCAGACTGTCTGCAAATACCCTGGCATCTCCAAATGGATGTGGTGGTCCACAGTGACTTGTGTCAAGGTGAGCACTGAATCTTATGGAGGGCATTTTGAGCAGTTACTATAATGTAGTCCTTCTGCTGTAATTCACAAATTAAATTCTGGACATACGATGATATGGACATTTCTTCTTATTTTGGTATGTGTAACTCATGTTCAAAGTTTGTCCACACCTCTCACTTACACCCTGTACATGAGAAAGTACTGTGATGATGACAAAGTCAATCTTGAGATTCTGATAGATTTACATATTTCCAACACCCTTTAGTATTAAAAAAATGGTTTTTGGAATGCTGTCTGTCTTGTCTGCATGTAGGGATGTGTGCCAGGGCTCAAATAATGAAAAGCAAATTAAGGAAAAACAAAAATCTGAGGAAGCATAAGAATCTGTTAGAATTTAACATTTTTCTTATGAGCGTTTGGCCTGCACCAAACAAAAAAGTGTGTTAAATCAGGGAAAACATAAAATCAAGAGTTGCACTGCAGTACTGTTTAATCACTGGATGTTCTGGTTAGAAACTAAGGCACTGAACAGTGTCTTGGTATAACTAAATATCAATTTGGTATGAATGGATATTTATAAGGATATTTACTCTGATTAAATAACTTTCCTGGGGAGGAAAGCATGGTCGGCGCTGACAACCTTACTGCCACCTTTGAGCCGACTGTCTAGATAATGTGGGACCCTCAATGTCTCACAACCCTATGGGCCTTCACGGCCTGGTACAGGGATAGCTTTACTTTACTTATATATAAATGTATCTGACATGTATTGTTTCCACGTGGCATGTCCATACCAAATGTTTTGGATACTACTACAAACAATTCTATCACCTCGGTGACTGACATGTGAATGTTATTGCCATTTCCTTCTGTCACTTCTCAGTACCAGATACAATTAAGGAAGAAGGACAATATTACACAGTACAAGAATTTGTTATGGCAACTCTATTAATTATATGATTTAAGAACTGTCATCTAATCAATCTTTACTTTGTTAAGTTGGTCAAAACAGTGATTCTTTTCCATGTTCTTATCTCTCCTGCAATGACACACTGAACTCCCCAGAAATTTAAATTTTTCTGTGGCATTTAATGNGTTCTCTACAGTTGTCCAGACGAACTAAAAATTAACTAAACTCCGTGGCCTGTAGTCCGCAAGTGAACTATACTGAACGAGCGACCGCCACTTGTTGGCAAAGTTAGTGCTAACTTTAGCGGACAGAGGGTGTTGCTTGGTCAGCACAACAAATCCCCACAGCTGTCAATCTCGGTTTTCTAGACTTGAGCCGCTGTTTCCTTGAAATAGCTCCTCAATTATCCTCACAAGGCTGAGTGGACCCCGTTCCAGACCCACTACTTCTCAGAAAATCTGGGAGCACCGGGAATCGAACCTGGGAACTCTGGATCTGTAGCCAGCAACTCTAACCACTAGACCACTGAAGCATATATCTAGTAAGGTTCCATACTTTTGGCTTTATTAAAAAAAAATATGCCCCTGTTACCAATGATTTTTATTTCCATTCAGACTATGTGATCTCATAGTTCTCATACATATGCCCGAGTCATGCACACTGAATATACACATCCTAATGGGCCTCTGGTGGTTAGAAATAAAACAGATCATAGTAATAGACTTGAAAGGATTCTGACGATGTTGTATGCTGTACAGAACTATTAGGCTTATTTTAGACTCTATCCATCGTCTGGTATATATAAGACAAAAAACGTTTCGGAGACTGGATCTGTCTCCATCCTCAGGTGGATGGGGCAGGATAAACCTAGTCAGTTGGGCCCATTAGAAAGAGCTAGCCTCAATCACTGGACTAGCGGGTTCGATCCCGGGTCTGGTCAAGTGGGATTTGTGGTGGACAAAGTAGTGCTGGGGCGGGTTTTCTCCCAGTACTTCAGTTTCCCCTGCCAGTCTTCATTCCACCAAATTCTCCATCATCATAATCATCTGGGGCAGGCTACAATAGGCCAATCAGTGGCCACTGTGCTGAGTGGACCTAGTTGTACTCCACCCCCCCACTAAGAGATTAAAAAAAAAATTACACCCACATCCTTGCTAGGACCTGCCATAATGTTTAGTTGAAAGAACTTGAACCCAGGACAGCTATCAAGCAATCAACAACTTCCTGTCACACTCTGAAGTAGCTAGAATATCTTTCAAGCACAACGTAAAAGTCTGCATTGCTGACTGGCATTATATCTAAAACAGAGTAGTTAGAAACATGCGTGACATCTATAGATATCATGGCCACTACGATACACAGTACGGCATGATGTCTACAGATATCATAACCACTTCACTGGTTAATAAAATTAAATACCCTATACAAGGAAGTGTACAAAGAACAGATATTTCATAAAGCTAAATGTTTTTATTTAAATGTTGACATTTAAGCGGACAGTACCCAACCCCTTTACAAGAGGATAACGAACACTTCAAAATAAACAATATGCAGATCTGTCATACCAGATCATGCTTGAAACAACCTACAAATTACATTGAACAATCTGCAAACCAGTATATTCAGAGACCCTGTGCTAGCATAATTATCTCTGTTGCAAAATCACATACATCTGCTTGTTAATGACATGGATCTTCTCTCAGACTGCTAGATAAGGTTACTGTGTACCAACCACTTAGCATAAAAAATCTGAACTACAAGAACAGAACAGAACAGAAACCTTTCAAAAGTAATATGGTCACCTGTAATACAGTCCCCAGAAGTGGCAGATTAACAGTTTCTCCTGGAGTAGGACTTGGCCACTGATCTATGTCATGACAGGCTGCTTCAATACTTGGTTCACCATTATCAAAAAACTCTGGAGAAATTAGAGCACATACCTCAGTGAACAGACTCACAAATGGGAGTCGAGTTACGATGACAATGCTCTGAAATGATGAACATTGTAAACTTATTAGGAATGAAACTATTAAAATGAACTGCAGACATTTTTAAGAAAAATGAAATTCTGGAGAGTCCCTAGCAACTGGTAAATATCATGTCATGGCATTCTGCACTCCATTTGGACTGTTTCCTATTTTATGTTTATCAGTCAATACTTCCATGTTTACAGCAACATCTCATAACCCTAAATGTTTAAATTACATACCTGTACATTTATACCATTTCATTTTTCATGGTCAATAATTCCTGAATTAAGTCACTGAATGAAATCAACATTAAGAGAAACTGTGTGACAGAAGACAGAGTGAATTCCAACGGTCCAGTTGCTGATATGTTTCATAAAAAAGTTCCCAAGCTTCATCTGTAAAGACAACTTGAAACCTAGCCAGATTCACAATTCTGAAAAAACAGGATTATACTGGAAGGGCTCACCAACACAACCTTGCATCTTAGAAAATAAGTTATGCTGTTGATACAAAATGACTAAGGGATACATCACTGTCACATGTCATTGGAATGTAATCACAAATCATAACCTAAACACTTTTGTATAACAATCAAGTTCCTTCCGTCAAATGTGACACTTTTTTAAGTAAGGCAGGTGCTGACGAGGTGGAAAACTTAAAAAAGTGTCACATTTGACGGAAGGAACTTGATTGTTAATTGGTTAGTGTGACGGACCAGAATGAAAGACCTTAAACTTTTGTATAACTAACACAATTTGAGGGACTTCAAGCCAGCACTTTTCTGTCCAAACAGGGACTACAGATGATTTGATGAAGATGATTTTATGGCATTCTGAAAAACAGAGTGAGTGCTGGATGCAATATATGGCATTTTCCAGGCATAGGCCTCTGTGAACAAAGTATCTCATGTACATGTTATATTTTAGCGTCCTGTTGCACTGATTTATGTCCATGATTTATTCCAGCCGTCTTACAGTGCATACACTCATCCACTTCACTCTTCACTCATGCACTACATGTTTCGGCACAAAGCACCTGAAAAAGCACCTGAAGATGGCACCTTTGTGCCGAAACATGTAGTGCAGGAGTGAAGAGTGAAGTGGATGAGTGTATGCACTGTAAGACGGCTGGAATAAATCATGGACATCTCATGTACAGTTACACAAAGCACTGCTGTGACTGCTTATGAAAGTTCACATCTGCTCAAACCACTTGGACTCGGTGTCATTTTGTTATCATTTCTGGCTCTTTCATATATTCTCTCAGGGTACATATGGTTGTGCAGAAGGGCTCGTGTGTGCGTGTGCGCATGAGCACATATACCATATTACTTTGAATACAACTTCCTCTCGAATCCAGTTCTTGAAAGTGAGTTTTGGGGGTAGAGGTCCATATTCCTCAAATTTAAGGCTTACCTCGTTTTTTTTGGGGGGGGAAAAAAATGTTTAAAATGTGCATCTTATAAACATATACATAGTTAATGGCGATTGGTAGCTGAATGACAACGATGAAAGCTCATGAGAACTCTGGGATATAAGTAGGGTATCAGTGTCAACAGTTCAGGAGATTCAGGGTTTCAATTAACAACAAGCAAGTCCCACACAGATTAACTTCCAAATTTAATTCTCTGGCTCACTGAAGCGTTGGAAGAATTCATAATCACAAATCTTACAAATATACAAAAAAAAAATCAGTTTCATTTGCTTCAAAATTTATAGCAGACTAATTCTGAATGTTCAGTTCATTTATACCTTACGTCCAAATCACAGTCACTGATAAATTTATACTATAACTGAGATGAACAGGTCAAGAATAAAGAGTGTGGAAATTTAAAGGTTCAAAGGCTTTCAATGATCTATATGTCTTGCTGATGTAAGTCTAAATGGTGAATGACTTATGGTTATGAGGTATCAGTGTACATAATCCTTGCATTCTCTGCCTGTAAACCCCACAATGCAAAATGAATTTGCTTACCGGGTTCATCAACTGGTAAGCCTTCTCGTTTTGATGTTTGACTTGATGCGAGGGAACAGTTTCAATCACCCCAAGCACCCAGAGCACTACATTGTGCACCCTGATCATGTTAGGGCACTACAGAGAACCCTGATTATAATGCTAGACCAGAACTAGCCTGGTTGAGGCCCTTCTGATGTCTGTGAGCAACCATGGATGTTTTAAGGGGTCCACTGCATGAGTATAAAAATATTTAACAGTCTGCCTGATTATTTAACTGATTCAGTACATGACAGAAAACAGTTTATAAAAGAAATAAGGGATGTCCTAATACATAAGCTGTCATTTACTGTTGATGAATTTTTGCTCTTCTGTCTGGCTCAACAGCTAAGGAACAGAAGGGGAGTGCATGCTGACTAATGGATGTCCCAGAGTAGGCATCGATATAGACATTAAGTGTATACATAATCTGTATTTTATGTATTATTTAGATGCACGTTGTTTGCATTTATGTTTGCATGTTATTGTGATATGGCATGTTGGAACTGTAAAGCTGTATTGTTGTTTGTAAAGCTTGTGACATGTTTCATATTCAGAGCAGATTGCACTTATGAATATCTTGAAACGCAGATGTATGTATGTATGTATCAAATTCTGAAGTTTTCATGACAGTCAATAAAATTAAATCTCAGCTGATCAACTGCATCAACAAATAAAAATCTATTGTTTCAGAATTTTAATTTCATATGAATGTTTTAATTACAGAAGTACAAGGTATTTGTTTACAAATATGAAAACTTATGGCAGTGTTTTATCCATGTTTCTCTGTGGTCTGCATCTCCTCACACTGTGCAATTAAATCTGATGTTTTAAAATAAAGACTCACCTTCTGAAAATATCCTCGTGGTAGAGATTTATCCTTGACTTGTCGGAAATAAACATATCCATAGTAATAGCCAGGATCTGCTTGAAGGTATACAGGACATTTCTGGTTATATAACCGGTGTTCTGGAAGCAAGCCATTTCTGCCTGGTGACTGTCTTATTCTTACATGGAACTGTGTGTCACCCATACACCCAGAGTTTGAATCCGGAAAAGCCAAGTAGCATATATTTGACTTCTCTTGTTCTGATAATTTTATGTGACTGGGATATATAATCTAAAAATGCATACAAAGCTTCCATAAGTCACCAGTTTGTTCAAAGGAAAAAGCCAAGTAAATTTATTTATATTTTACAGCAATTACTTAATATAAATAAGTTTGTAACACTATCTCGAGAAAGAAAATGTTATATACTTTGTTTGGTAATAAGAATTGATGTTTCCTCTAAGCAGTGTCCATTTTAACCAGTGATCTAGTTAATATGGTTACATGCACATATAGATATGATACACATAAAACTGGCACATATTTAATTCAAACATCAGAACTAATTTCATAGAAAAGTTCCCTCCCCGAAATAGTAATGGTCATTCAACAGGTCAAGAAATTCCCCACCTTTTAGAAACCCTAAGGTTTACTGACATTTCAACCACTACAGTCCATTACTGGACCCATATACTGACCTGCAAAGCAGAAAAGAGGGAATTCTGCATTTTTAATGATGGCAGGCTGTATTTTCAAAACCCTAAGAGATGATTTCTGCATAAATTATTTACTAACAATGGACTTCAGCTTTTATATTATGAATCATTTCTAAGAATGCTAATTAAGAATAATTAAAAAATAAAAACGAAAATTGCATATATAAGGAGTTACTCAACTAGCCAAATAATATTGTTTCCAAAGTGTGGTTATACCCTGCTTGCACAAATAGATCAATATGATAAAACAAATCACTGAAGCTTTAAGAAAGGAACTTAGGCATATAAAAATTATCAACCACAATACTTAAAACCAAAACCAGAGTTTGTCTTCTCAGCACAGTAAGGTCTTTTGGCACATACAAACTTATAAATTTTCCCCTCAGTAGTTCAGTAGTTTCAAACAAATGAATTTAACTGTGTTAATTAAATATCAAAAAACAGCATGGACCCATAAATATGTAATATGAGTGTAGTATCTATACATAGTTCCTTAATTTCTCTTCCTAAAATAAAATGCAGCATTATCATAATCTATTCCAGCTTCTGATAGGTTTACATTTCAAAATCTTCATAAAGGGTTTGCTTAGGCCATGCCACAGCTCAAGTGGTTGGTCGGTGGCTTCCCATCGTGGCGACCCGGGTTCGATCTCGGGTCTTATTAAGTGGGATTTGTGGTGGAGAGAGTGGTGCTGGGGCACATTTTCTCCAAGTACTTTGGTTTCCCCTGCCAATCTTAATTCCACCAATTGCTCCACAATCACCCTCACCTATCATCTGGGGCTGGTACAATAGGCCAGAAGTTGCCACAGTACAAGGGACTTAGTCCCACCCACTAGCAATAAAAAAAAGGGTTTGTCTATGTTTTGTACTTTTATTTAAGAAACAGTAATGGAAAAGCCTACGGAAGTTCAATGGTGAATAATTTCTTTCATATCTTCATCATTCAGCCCTTTTCATCCCTGTCATACTTTTATTTCAACTTTCATTTCAACATTAAAGCAGTGAGTTAAAGTACAACCTTTTTCCTACAGATGGCACAGTTTCAAACATGGGGCTACCACCTCTGAAAACTACCACAGCATGAAAACAACAAAATTTGGTATCCTTTGACTAGCTGGCAAATTCTTACTCCCATCATCATTTGTTTTTGACAATATGGAAGTTCTTCATAATCTACATGTGCCAACCACTAACTGCAGTATACATCAAAAAGATTTTATGGTACTGGAATCAAGTCATTTAGCAATCTTCCTCCTGCAATCAAATGCCTGTACCATAAAACTGCTTAAGCCAGCATTAAAAGAGTACCTCCAATCTCACTCATTCTACTGTGTAGAAGTAAAATTAAAGTAAAGCTATCCCTGTACCAGGCCGTGAAGGCCCATAGGGTTGTGAGACGTTGAGGGTCCCACATTATCTAGACAATCGGCTCAAAGATGGCGGTAAGGTTGTCAGCCTTACGCGCCGCCCTCACTTTACTCCCCAGGAAAATTATTTATTTAATTCCTGGTACTCATTTCTGTCAGAGGCTGAATGAACACCAGGGCGATAGTGTGGCCGGAAGGATTAGATAAATTGAAAAAATCCAATGACCTCATCGGTATTTGACCTTCCGACTTGTAGCATAGTGCCTTAATTACTACACTACCAGAACTTACCTTAACCAAATTTTCTCAGTTACAAATACATGTAGGTAATAACAGTAGCAGATATAATTATTTGAGTGTAATTCTGTATTATAAGAGATGTCCTTAAATATTTAAATTGTTGTTACAACTGAAATAAGTACTGTATCTGTATCATGATATATTCTATGCCCTTGGAATGTAAATAAATTCTATTCTATTCTGTTCTATAAGGAAGCCGGGATAGTGCAGTTGGTATAGCACTGGCTACGGGGTGTACGACTTAGGGGTCATAGCTTGAGTCCCAGTAGGGTCAAGAATCTTCTCTTCTCCATATTGTTCAGACCAGCTCTGGGGCCCACCCAACTTCCTACACAATGGTCACTGGGGGCTGTTACCCCGGAGGTAAAGCGGCCAGGGCGTGAAGCTGGCCATTGACCTCAAACTAGTGAAGAAGTCAAGAAAACGTGGACCTATACATTCGCTCCCCCATACGCCTTCACAGCATAGTGCTTAATTAGTTAAGCAGAGACAGTTTTAGTTTTGTTTTTTTTCTGTTCTATACACAGATAACAGACATACATAGTCATAAACCATCTCATATTACATACAGAAATTTGTCTAATCGGCAATATAAACGAATCTGTGCGCACACTGACATCCTACAGTTTTGCAAAAATTACCAAATATACTGCTTTTAACTTTTAAAACATTAATATACTGAAATATTATGATCAGTAGGCAATGTTAAAAGCAAACAGTATTAACACTGCAATTAACGTTAAATAAAACTGGCCTCCTAAACCAGAAGGGTGATTGAACGCTAAACCTGCAATTACTAGCTGGTGAAAGCTAAAATATTGGTCGTATTCGTGCTTACCTCCAACGCTTGACCGAGCTCTAAATCAAAAGTAACTATACATATACAATGAATCCAACTAGAAAATCTATCCCAAGGCAAAATTGACGAAGTTTTTGTTTTATTTCCATCTTCATCATCCACACCCTCCATACATTTCACAACCCTACCACTCTCCTCCGCCATCTTCAATGTTTATTAACTTTAACGCCATCTGACAGATCTGACCGCATCTGACAATGAAATTTCATTGTCGGCAAGGTCCGTAACGTTAACGTATTTGTTTCAAGATTCGGTGTGGTATGTGTAGTGTTTCTCAGAGAGGTTATAGCGCCAATATACAGCGAAATAGATACATGTATCCCCCTACTAATAAGATTTCGAGAGTTCTATCTTCTGGGTTATAACGCCGTGTAGTCTGCTGAAAGGCAACGGACTGTTAGGAGTAATATGTCGCCTCCATCTTCAGAATCGAAGAATGAGCCAAGCAAGGAGGTGGTGAGGCCGCGCCACAGCTCAAGCGGTTAGTCGCTGGCTTTCCACGTCGGTGGACCGGGTTCGATCCCGGGGTCTGGTCAGGTGGGATTTGTGGTGGACAAAGTGGCGCTGGGGCAGGTTTTCTCCGAATACTTCGGTTTCCCCTGCCAATCTTCATTCCACCAGTTGCTCCACAATCACCTTCACCTATAATCTGGGGCTGGTACAATGGGCCAGAAGTGACGGCAGTACAAGGGACTTAGTCACACCCCACTAGCAATAAAAATAAAAGGAGGTGGCGACACGTCAACAGATTTTTAGTGGACTATACGGCTTTATATGCCAGAAAACAGAACTCTTCATAGCCATCGCCGTGAAAACCTCAAGCCCCACATTATGGCTTCAGATTACATTCTGTAACTCAGAAATGCACTGCATTAACAGGCCTTGTTTTGCCATATTTGTAACCTCAGGATACTGGAGAAAAAATGGGAGTACCATGAGACAGGACGTCAGCTATTCACAAACTTCAAGAAAGCCTAAGATTCAGTTAGGAGGGAAGTAGTGTATAATATTCTCTGAAACTGGGTAGGCTGATTAAAATGGTTAAATGAAACATATAGTAAAGTTTGCATAGGTAAGCATTTGTCTGATGCATTTCCTATCCAAAATGGTCTAAAACAAGGAGATGCTTTATCGCAATTGCTTTTCAACTTTACTTTAGACTTTGTCATTACAAAGGTCCAGGCAAACCAAGTGGGACGACAATTAAATGGGACATATCAGCTGCTGGTCTATGCTGATGATATAAATCTACTGAGAGATAACATAAGTACCATAAAGAAAAACACAGAAACTTTGTTGCTAGTAATGAGGTTGGTTTAGAAGCAAACTCAGAGAAAACCAAGTATATGTTTCTGACTCATCACTAGAAAGCAGGGCAAAGTCATAACATAAAGTAGCTAACAGATGTTTTGAAAATGTGGCACAGTTCAATTGTTTGGGAATGACACTTAACAAATAAAAAATTGAGTCTGGAGGAAATTAAGAGAAGACTGAACTGCGGTAATGCTTGCTACCATTCAGTCCACAACCTTTTTTGTCTTCTTGTCTGCTGTCTTAAAAATGTGAAAATGTAAACTGTTCTAATAATCTCTAACAACTTGCACTTGATTTTACTTTCAAAGGCCAAAAAAACCAAATAACGATTACAATCTTTTGACTTTCAATTCATTATTTTTACACCAGGTAATATTACACATATATATAACCTATCAATTTGTATTATGAATAAAGAAAATCCTTATATTACTCAATAGATGTTCATGCTGCGATAGTGATTTTGCTGCTTCCCTCCAAATCCTTTCAAATTCATTAGTCACTTGTCATCCTAGCATTGAACACCACATTATACATCATAAGAATGAACGGGTGCCCCTTCTGGTTACTTTCAAATATTTCTATGAACATAAAGAAAGTACCAAATACCTTTTCGAGAAAATGTAGTCAGAAGCAATATAGGTAAATGAAATTTCCAACTTCACTGTAGCATTTATTATTTACACTGTACTATTCTGCAGTTGGCTAATAAATGCAGTGAAGGATCAGCATCAGACATCGTGATAGAAATTTACAGACACCAAATGTTATTTCTGTAGTAACCTTGTAGTGATTGCACAGCATACTGTTGTAATCCATCACTTATTGAGCCAACCATAGTCACTACTTCTAGGTTCCTGAACCTTTGTGTACTATCCTGTGGCAATGTGATTCTGGCTCCCACTTCTGCACATTTTAAAAACATTGTCTTACTCTTGATTTTGACTGAATTACTATTCAGTGAGGAAGACAAGAAAAAATAGCAGGTGTAGCTAACAGATCAGATGAATGCTAGTTTTTAAACCTCAGAAAATCTCTGTCAAAGGGAACCTTGGCATGTGCCTGGAGACTTAAGACAACCTTCAGCCACGGTAACTGGTCTTCAACTACAATGAATGCAAATCACATTTTCACTGTTCAAATCTGCTGAGTCACTTTTAAGGTAATGATGAATCAAATAGATGAAACAGGATATCTGAAATTCATCTATACATGCAATTGAGTGAAAATGGTACCATAATCACCTCAGCCAACCCAGGCAGGATTTGGGATTTATCTGTCTCTGTCAAGAACTGTGTTCTAAACTCATATTATAAAGGATTCAGGATAGCTCAGTTGGTACAGTGACAAGCTGGGGTTCCATTCCCAACAGGGGCAAGAAATTTTTCTCTTCTGCACAGCATCCAGTATGGCTCTAGGGTCCACCCAGCCTCCTATCCAACGAATATAAGGGCTGTTTCCTCATGGGAAAAGCGGCCTATGTAAGAAGTTGACAACTCAGCTCTATCTAGTTTCGAGGCCAAGAATGGCAGTCCCCCAAACATCTTAATGGCATGGTACAGGAACAACTTTACCTTTTTACATTTTACTCACATTATAAAAATCTGTCACTAAACCTGAAAATAAATTTTATATAATTTTTTAAAAACTTTACATTCCCAGGAAACTGCTGTGTTTGTGAAATGTTCTATTTTGTGTACTATGCATTGTAGCATATAAGTGTACGTACTTTACGTCTAAACAACTTATGTGATGGTGGTTTCCTATTTGTAGTGATGTTTGCCCTCTGAAGATGGTCCACAGAGACCGAAACATGTAAGGGTGTTAAGTTTTCATGTAGTAAAAAACTTACAGGTCACATTGGATGGAGTGATTTATATTTGTAAGTCTGTGATTGTTTGAATGTCAAAATAAACGTGCATTTCAAGTTAAACTGTAAGCAAAGAACTGTGATTTCATTACTTCTGCAATGTTTCCCATGGAGGACACAGCAATATTAGTGATCATTTTCAGACCAAGAAACACAAATCAGAATCTTCAAGTACGAAACCTACTTTATTTTTCAGAGATCTGTCTGTGAAAATGTACTTATATGGCATCTGCAGAAGGAATGTTTGGACATGACTATGTTAAACATGGACAATCCTTCCACTATCTTGTCTGCTAACTGAAACTATTTCTCATACGTTAAATTTTCCTATGCACAGACAAAAAGTGAGGCTAATACAATGAATAATTTTAGGCCATACACTAATGAGGAATTGTCTAAGGACTTCTCTGAAGCCACACATATAAGAGAAAATCAGTAAAATTAATGCCAATTGTGATTTGATTCTCTGACCTTATGAAAGGTGACAAGAAAAATTATAAGGCATACACTCAGGAAAGTAAGAAACATATGAGGTCACCGCTGACGCTATTTGAAGTCAATTCACAGATATAATAAAGAGCTGGTGGTTTGTGTAGTGATAAAACCAACTACTACTATGGTGGAGCACTCTGTCAGAGAAAAGTAATGACATTACAAATAAAGAAGGAATGAAAAAGGACACAGTTGTAATAGGATGTGATGTAGACATCATGAACAGTTATGTACAAAGTACCTGTAACATACACTTCCAACATAAGTCAAAGTACTGATGGTGAAAATACACAAATATTTTTGCATCTTCACAATATATACATATATTTCACATTTCACAAGTCCAAAATACAACTGACATGAAACTGGTCACAAGCATAACACAAACAAACAAAGCAGAAAGACAATACAAAGCTAAACAAACACATAGATTTTAAAGGGCTGACGATGGTGGATGACACAACGTTTCACAAACTGAATCTGTTTCCATCTTCAGGTTGAGAAAGGAAGATGGAAGCAGATCCAGTTTCCAAAACGTCGTGTCCTCTATCACCTAGGATTCCAGATGATGGAAAATGTCCAAAACCCCAGTAATTCTGTGTAAACAAGCACTGTAACTAATTATTTACTGTATGCTCCAAAAATTCATCTGTATATCAACTGTATAAAATGAGTTATTCATGAGATATGAAAATAAATTATTTTTAAAACTGATTTCTCTCCTATTTAAGACTTTGAATTGTCTTTGTCAATTTATTAAATAACCTAATACCAGTAAACATAGTGCCCTTCTGGAAAACAGAAAGATCTGAAGTTGAAATATAAATATGATTTTTGTTTCTACTGTTCAAGCCATGAACCTCTGAACCTGAACAGAAATTATTTTGATTATCTATCACAAATAACATCAAAGAAAAAATATATTCACATGACAATGGTAAAATAACTAATTTCTTAAAAAGACCTCTACATGAGTCTCTGGGTCCCACTCCCAATATGATCCTTATTACTTTCTGTTGTAATTTAAAAATTCCAGAATTATTAGTTTAATTGCCCCACAGGACTATTCCATACTTAATGATACAAAGAAAATAAGAAACATACACCATTTGTAGGGTTTTTAAATTCATAAAATAAGATAAAGTCCTAATTATAAAAATAGCAGAATTGAGTTTAGGAAGGAAGTGTTCCACATGACTCTTCCAACTCAATTTATTATAAATTTGTATACTCAAAAATTTCATTACGGGGACTTCATTTATTACCATGTTTCCAAAGGATACTGCCAGCAAACAGTTGGCAGACTGTTTGGAAGCAAAATTAATAATATTAGTTTTGTTAATATTTAAGACCAACTAGTTCGCCATAAACCAATTTACAATGAGAGACAAGGTATCCGCAACTTTGTACTTAAGCGCACAATGATTTTTTCCAGTGACCAAAATACTGGTGTCATCTGCAAAGAGAAAAACACTGGCAAATTTATTGATGCATAATGGCAAGTCGTTAATATAAATAATAAACAGAAGAGGTCCTAAGACCAATCCCTGAGAAACTCCTTGCTTAACTCTTTTTCCATTTGGAGAAATAATCATGATCATCGTCAATTCTGAGTTACACTCTCTGTTTGCTATCCGATAGACAGGATATAAACCAATTTAAATTACAATCCTGAACAACTTAATACTCTAATTTGGATATCAATATCTCATGATTAACACAATCAAATGCCTTGGCAAGGTCACAAAAAAATCCCGGCAGTTAGAAATTTATTATTCCAGGCTTGAAGTATGTCAGTGGTAAGTGAAAAAGCAGCATGATCAGCTGATAAGTCTTTCCTAAAACCAAATTGTTCCTGCACCAATATATTATTCACTTGCAGATGCCGATTTAATCTATGATACATAGTTAATAATAGCAATAAGTATTTCTGTCATTATTTCCTGACAGGGAAACTTACTGAAATGTATGAGCCTTTGAAAGCCTACTTCATGTCAGCCAAAGTGCAAACACTTATTTGTAATTTCTTTCAAAATGAGAGTAGCAAGTTCTGGTTGCTATCTGCATATATGTATAATGATTTAGATAATTTCACAAAGGCAATAAATCATATAGAATGACAGCCTACATTTGTGCCTGAAAAAGATAAAAAAACAACAGGAGCTGGTTTATGAATGTGACTGACGTGGATTTTTTTATTCCTTATTTTAAAGATGAGATGTGCTGAGTTTTTAGAATATAAATGTGCCCCCACCTTCATTTCATGTCTTGTGCCTTCTCTCTCTTCATGAAGTCAGTCCTGGATTTTCTTTCTAAAAGTATGGTCACCCTATGTAAAGTTCAACTCTAACAATACAAAACATGTTTAAAGTCATGTTTCTTAACACCCCAGTTCCTGAATGCTTAACTATGAAAGCTAACAGTCAGTTCTTGTTATGTCAGCACAACTATCCTATACATTCAAGTCTTGCACTGTAAGAATGTGCTGGTCTCTGTATATATTATTGATTTTTAGTGTTAATTTCTGTTATAACAATGAACCCAAGATGTAGAAAATGAAAAAATAAAAACATAAATTTTATGTCACCTCAGGAAATTCTTACTCTGCAGTAGAAACTTATTCCAAATTACTTGGACCTGAAAGGATTAATAAACAAATACTTCAATCCTCTTCTGAAAAAATATAAATTATTTAATTTTTTCATGAATGGAAATAAGATGCAAATCATTATACATTCACGATTATGGTATGTCTTAAATTTGTTTTGAAGTATGTTCAGTTATATTTTCACATAAAAATTGGAAAGTTTCAGAGAAGCAATACAATATTTTCATTCTTAATTCATGATTTAAAATAACATGGAATTCATTGTAACATCTGGAATTGCTGGCAGCATTATTTGGCAACGTTCCTTTTCAATCATAAAATGTACATCTCACAGCACCAATTAGTAACAAAATAATGAAATTATGCATTAAAGAAAATGCAGCCATCTCCTTCAATACACTCTGGAATGGAACTTCTGATTAGTACATACTCAAAGTGTGAAACTTAAGCTAGGCACAATATCAGTGCAGGTATGTTGCAGCAATTTTATTGTCACTAAAAACATCAATGTTTCACCTCAGAATTTCATATAGTTCTAAGTCCTCACTTTTTATTTAATCTATTCGAAACAATATGACACAAAGCAATTTACATATGGCACAATTCCATGGTATACACAATAACAGGTGCAACATAAAAATACATTGTGTCATACTTCAAAGCTAATCTCACATTTATATGGTACAAGCTGATTTTACAAAGATCTCTGATGATAAAATCTTGGTGATATCAGGTTCTGATGAAACACCAATAACATTTCAGTAATGTTAAGTTCAACTTCTAACAGCTGGAGAAAACTGGTGCACCTAAGAAGACTTAAGTCAAGTATGTAATCACTATTTTCAGAGCAATGCTGTCTGAAACCAGTACATGATATTTAGTAACTTACTTACTTACTTACTCACTCACTCATAGAGCTGAGCCCTTCTGGAGAAGCAGCCAATTCTGCAGCTACTCAAGAACTTCCCAGAATTTTCTGGAACCCGAAGGTTCATTACTGTGTTCACAAGAGCCTTCCACTGGTCCCTATCCTAAGCCAGATCTATCCAATCCATCCCATCCCATCCTATCTCTCTAAGATCCATTCTAATATAGTCCACCCACCTACGCCTTGGTCTTCCCTGTGGTCTCTTTCCTTCTGGCTTTCCCACCAATATCCTATACGCATTCGTCTCCCCCATTGATATTTAGTAACTTACCATACTAAATTAAATTCTGTGTGAACTGAGTGTGTAAATCCCTAGCAAAGCATATTCATATCTGAGTTATGTTCATAAAAGAAAATCAACGGTGTAACTCATTGTGTAAAATATAATAATAATAATAATAATAATTACACACACAATTTCAAATAAATATTAAATTGTCAGCAAGTGATTGTGAACTTGATACAGGTTGCAACTATGGCCAAATGGATGCAAAAGCTTCTTACTGTAACACTGATGATTATTTGGAGCAGTTACTGTTGTGCCAGCAGTCACTTATGATCATCGTGTCAGTTCTTCATTGTCCACTCATTTATTTCACCATAGTGCCACTACAATGTCCTCTTCTTTTGTCTTCTCTCTGCCTGCATTGAATAAACTTCTCTTCTGCTACTCAATTAAGCCTGTCTTCTGTCCAGGCTTTGCAGCCTGTTGTAACTCTGAGAATGTTGTGCGTTGTACCTTTCACATTTCTCTAGCAGTTTAGAGAAGGGGGGGGGGGGCAACAGTCTTGATGTTTCAGCAGATACAGAGGCACACGCAGGTCTGGCTATGCCCCCATCACTCCTTGTTCCTCTTCCACAACATTATAAAACATCAAGTTAGATATGTAATGCAACATTCAAAAGGAGTTTATATTTTGGAACATAAAATGAAAACTAATTTTAAGTTTCAAAATGAAACAGCACAAATTATAAGAAATGTAAAATCAATTGGACTTTGGAGTCATTCATGTGAACCTTTCATCAGGACCAGAATAATAATTAAGACATAAAACTTAAGTTCCATTGCATAATACAGAGTTCTGGGTATCAGTACAGCACTTTCGCACATGTATCTATCATCCAATCTGCATCTTATTCTGGCAAACAGTTAACAGTGGCTGCATTACAGCTACATGCATGTCATTATTCTTAACAAAACTGCAAACACCAAATTTTCCAAATAAAGCATACAATTGCATAAATAATTTTTCAGTGTTTCTGAAGTGATAACACTTTTTAACTTAACAGTTCAATCGGTGCACCAGATAATTCCATACATATTGTCACATGTAACTTGATATGGGATTTGGACTGATAACTGTATTTAATGAATGCTCAAAGTTACTACAGTTAATTGTAACAGCTTCACAGATCTACACACTCTACAAATCACTAATTCAAATGTTAATGCTTCTATGTCTTCACCAGGCATTGTTGGGTATTGGCTCCAAAAAATGGGTATTCCTTTGCTTCTGTGTTCATGTTCTTGCTGGAAGGCAACCATCTCAAAATTAACTTTGAACTGCAACTGACTGGCTTAGGTCCCTATTACATAGCCTCGGCATGGACTGCAGAGAAGACACTGTTTCCAACAGTTCCTCAGTTGTTGCTTGTTAATTCATTACAGAGCGAACATGTTTACCCAGCAACTGCATAGGAACAGCTCTCTTTTGGCTACACTATTCTGGCCTTTTCAGCCATTATGTCACAATATTATTATCATTATTAAACATTTCCAGTACTACCTTTATCTGCACTATGAGTATATTCACATTACAGGAACTAACACAACACGGTTGTTCAGTAAGACTGTGTGGGGTTTTTGTTTTGTTGTTACTTCAATGACAACCCACTTCTTCGGAACAGTTTGTAGGTCATGAAAAGGACCGTTGGTTGCCGAGATGCTTGGCCGGTGAAGTAGCGCAGCGCGCGCCAGTAGGAAGGGACGTTGGTTGCGGTGTTGAGGTGGCTGAATCAGTTGACTAGCCACAGTGTGGCCGTTGCTGGAGGTTGCTTGGTTGCTGGAAAACGTTTGCTTGCTGAGCGTGATTGCAGGTGTGGAGAGGCGGTAGCTACGCCAGTTGCCCAGTGTGTCGGGCATGACTACTGGCGAATCGAGGCGGCCGAGTTGCCCAGTGAGTCAGGTGTGACCGCCGGACAGCCGAGGCAGTCGTGCTTGGCGAATCGAAGTGCAGATGCCTCCGAAGACCGAGTGCTGGCGACGAAGTGTGCTGATTGCTTGTAGACTGCTTGAAGACTGCTTGAAGACTGCTGATCGGAGCTTGTGCTCTGCCTTTTATACAATGCATGATGGCAGAGCGAAAATTTGCTGAGCGCTGGTTGGCTAGCACGCGTAATGATGTGGATGTGGGCTAGCAGCAAGCGCTGTATAAATGCAGACGTTGGAAGCAGTTTGATTGGTTAGCGTGCGTGATGGTGAAAAAGTGAGCACTATAGAAATAGCGTGATATGTGGGATGTTCCCACAACTGTTTCAGTGATTTTGAGAAATATATTTTAAAATGTTTACAATGAAAACAAATACTGTTTTGTAAAACCAACCAACTCTCTGAAAATCTAATCCTGACAAAACATAAAATGAATGTAGAAATGCACCTTTAAAAGAGTAAATGGAAAGTAACCTCTTAAACTTTATGCATACTGTATACAACATTTTACACTGGTAGGAACAAAATTCAAATGATTTCAGTCATTATTTACAGTATTTACTCACAATTTATGCATTCCTTTATATAACAAGTATGTGAAATTTCATTAATTAAATACCGTATTTTTTACTTCCAAATACCTAAGTACAAATTTCTGTTTAAACAGATATAAGTAATTAATCACATAATCAGCCCCTTCACATATTGCTTGGCAATTGATCTATACTTCTAATTCAAACAGACACATGGCATGGCTTCCATCACAACACATGAGCATTTACACTTGCTTAAGTCATTACATATGGCTGATGTCTGTCCATATGCTTCATGCTGATAGTATGCTATCAGCATAACAGATTGATGATTTGCAGTCAAAATAAACATAGTGCTCTCAGTAGCCTTTTAGATCTCATGTCTGATTATCAGTACATAGTTTAACACAGGGGCCATCAAATATTAGGATTTACTTCAACCCTACATGGCAGAAGTCATACCCATTTACCTAATGTTTAAGATTAGTGACATTTGTTTGAAAGCTCTTCCATCAAATGAAAGTGTACAACCTACTACCTTTCACATCATGCCAACATGTCCATTATTAAAATGCAAAAACATGATTTTTTGAATGAATTAATTTAGCCAAGAAAAACAGATGTTTCCTAATTCAGTTAACTGACCCCTTTTCATGTCCTAATACAAGACAATACTTCACCTTATGAATAAGAGAAATTATGTTCAATACATCAAAGTGTTTTCTGGTTAGTTATGTCTCTTTAAGACTTGAACTACAGACTTAAGAGTACATGTCTCTAATTTTACATAGCTCTACAATTCCGCTGTTGTTGCCTTAACAAATAACCTTGAGATGGACAGAATTGTTCTGTGTGTGTGTGTGTTTGTTTTATATGTATACATATATATATTTACAGCATTCATGACAATATTTCAATGTTTGTGAAAGTGAGGATCATAATTCATATCTCATAAGACATAAAAAAATTGTCCCTGTCTTTACAGCTGCTGCTGTTTATATTCCCTCTTCATACCTAACATGCTTCCAAATTTCTTCCAACTTCCTCTAATTGCAAGGTGGCATATTCTGGTATATGGCTTTCACTGCCTCAAAAATCTGAAAATAAGAAACAGACAAATCAATAATTTATTACAAAAGGATAATCAACTCCATCCAGTGTGACTGATAAAATGTTTTTTCTTTCTTTCCTTTTTAATCTTTCATCCTTGACCGAAACATGTCAAGTATGAAAGATTGAAAACAAAAGAAAGAAAACACCATTTTATCAGTCACACTGGATGGAGTTGATTAACCTTCTGTAATATTGCTAGTGTGACAGACCAGAATGACGCAAATCAAATTTAGATTTATTTGGCACTGCAGGCATTAATATATAAACAGAGAATCAGACTATTAGCAATTACTAAAAATTTGGCGTAACATCTTAATTCTTTAGTTGCATATACATGATCATAAAATAGCAGCAAAGAGGGCATAATGTTAATTTCATGTGCTTATGTTGCATTTCAGGTGATGGTCTGTTAATTTATATGACAAGCTGCCATTAAACAGGCATACCAGAAGTATCATGACATCAGAATATATCTGCCAGATGGGAGAGAAGAAAACGATGTAAACTGCCAGGGAAAAGATGGAATGAAGATCAATTCTGTTTCTTCATGACCTACAGCAATATTTCAATGGACTTTAGTAAGATATCATGTAATATACAAGTTGTACTATAACGGTATATGTTAAGTGAAACATCGAAACTGTGTGACCACTGACAATGAACACCTACAAGGACCCAACAGAGTACATTTTTCATTTTTATCCTGTTCACCTGGTGAAGGAAACAGAGATAATTTTCAAAATGTATTGGTTTCTTAATTCTGTGTGGGTGTGAAACTTGGTCTCTGACATTAAGGGAGGAACACAGACTGAGGGTGTTTGAGAACAGGGTGTTGAGGAGAATATTTAGACTGAAGAGGGATGAAGTGACAGGAGGTTGGAGAAAACTGCATAATGAGGAGCTTCATAACTTGTACTTTTCTCCAAGTATAATTAGAATGAAGTCAAGAAGGATGAGGTGAGCAAGGCATGTAGCACGAATGGGGGAGAAAAGGAATGCATATAGGATATTGGTGGGAAAGCCAGAAGGAGAGAGACCACTGGGAAGACCAAGGCGAAGGTGGGCGGACAATATTAACCTTTAAAGTCTGAATGTCAAGTATACATGTCGCAAGCGGTAACCAGAGTTGGCCGAATGACCTGTGTACACGTCGCAGGACACATGCTCTCTTTGGGAGTGCTGGCAGTTTGACCTTGGGTTGAAAACCAAAACAAACCTACGTGAGGTCATATCAGTGGTTCATTCCTTAGCTCTGAACAAAGAAATTGTTTATCACGGTACTGGTTTCCATATTATTTACGTTTAGATATGACTGTTTATGACCTGCTCAGCCAAATATAGCCCAGCTTTGTTTCGAGAACTGATGAGGAAATATTTATCGGTGCTTGCATGTGAGTGCTTCCAGAGCCTTCAAGGAAGTCTGACGCATTCAAGGAGTGGTTTTCAGTGGCGAATTATCAGTCAGGAAGTCAGTGTCAGATTGTCATATATTTCTTTATATATCACTTTTATTTTGCGTCTTGGAAGAGGTATAAACCCACTGAGCCAGTATTACTTTATGAGTAAAGGCATTATCGCCACTGCGACTTTCAGTATGTGTCGGACTGGCACTCTTTTCGACTAGTATTATTATTACTTTGCATCATTATTTTGCAAATATTACCAACAGGTGAGTGTGCTGCTTTGTCAATCAACATAATTTATTCGATTCTGCTAGAAACCCCCATCCCCCCAAGATGATTCTTCAATCGCGCAAGCCGAATATCACAGTCAGTGGCGTTTCTCGGGGGAAGGCCAAATTTATCAGGGGGCTCAACTGATTTGACTGGAGTTGAAAAAGTCACAACACTGGCCAACCAAAGGGAAACAAAGACGTTGTCGTGTGTTTCACTAAATAAGAAAAGCAGGAGCACCCTCTTCTATTGTAAAAAGTGTGATTTTGCTATGTGAAGTGGACTGTTTCGAGAAGTGCCACACGTGTCAGTGTGACTATCATAGTGAAGTGACTGTGAACTGAAACTGTGAAGTGACGCAGATCAAACTCGCCTACAGTAATATTATTGTATATAGAGTGATTATATTTACAGTATCACCAAGTCTCAAAGCTGAATATCACAAGGTGAATATCACGGTCAGTGGCGTTTCTCGGGGGAGGCCAAGGTTACCTGGGGCCCAACTGAGTCGACTGGAGGTGAAACATTCACAACACTGGCAAACCAAAGGGAAACTAAGACGTATTTGTTCTCAAAATAAGAAGCGCAGAAGCACGCTCTACTACGGTAAAAAGTGTGACGTTGTGCTATGTTTGTTTGGCTGCTTCGAGACGTGAGTTGCGCTATGCGCGTTGGGCTGCTTCAAGACGTTGCACACGCGAGTCAGGGTGTGAGTTATCATAAAACTGTGAAGTGACGCAGTTCAAACTCGCGTACAGTCTGAACAAAATATTATTGTATATAGTGTGATTATATTTACAATATCACCATGATTCAAGGCTGAAGAAAAAACAATGGGTAAGTCATTTGGAATTTCATGACATATATAATAAAGATTATATTTGCAATTCATGACAAAATAATCACAGTTAATTTTCATTTGTAAAAAGTGCTCTTCTGTGTACATGTAGAAAAATTCATTGTCTTTCAGGTTTTTTAGTTTTTATTTCTATCTTGCATAGAACGGAAAATATGGATTTTTTTTTCTGACGGTTTGCAAATTGAATTAATCAGGGTGATTTAAATACCAGCCACAGGGGGCTCCCGGCAATTTAAAAGTCCGCACGTTAAAGGTTAAAATGGATCTTGAAGAGATAGGATGGGATGGGATGGTATGGATTGCATTGATCTGGCTCAGGATAGGGACCAGTGGAGGTTTCTTGTGAACATGGTAATGAACCTTCACGTTCCATAAAATGCTGGAAAATTCTTGAGTAGCTTCAGATTTGGCTTCTCTTCAAGAAGGGCTCAGCTCCATAAGTAAGTAAGTAAACTGGTTTATTAAAACTGAGACAGTGGATGAAGGCAAAAAGAAAGGTACTGTAAAAGGCAACCCTTGAAAGTTCTATTTCCAAAGCCAAACTTCTGGGAAAATGTTGAGTAAATACAGTGCATGACCAACCTCATCTGGAGTGCCCCCTGCGTCCACATGTTTCACCAAATTCTTCTCTTCATAATAACGGATGATTGGCATTGTATCATTCATATATGTATGGAATCGTTTCTTTAGACTTTCAGGATTATCATCTGACCTGCCACTTCCCCCTGCACCCCTTTGTAAACATCGGTTTACACATACCTGCAAAATACATTTTTTTAGATTTAAAAATTCTTTCATTTAACATTCTTCTGGTTACAATACAGATGTCAGCATCCATCACATTACAGTATGACTGACCATTTCATTCAGTACTAAAGAGCCTATGTAACTGATGCAGTGCCATTAAACTATCAACCAGAGAGAATTTGTAAAAACCATAAAATCCTCTAATAGGTAGTCATTTCAGGAACAATAGGTATTAAGAACATCACCTCCTGCGGACAGTCAAAAAATAAAACAAAAAGGAGATTCACATTAGAAGCCATCTGTCTGTTCCAGCCATCCAAGTTATCTTTATTTCTTGGAAAGCCATCAATCAAGAATTTATTGGACCCAGATTTCTTCATTGCCTGAAATGGAAAAATAAATTACTCTCCATATAGTGAAGTGTCATAAATTTCTCCTTTATATTTCCACTCTTTCTGTCTATACAAAGTAATGACAAATCATAAAATTCACCCATAACCTTCTTGTTTTACTATAAACAAACACTTCTCTGAAAGACATCATCACAGACATTGTATTCTTGATATATTTTTAATCTTTTTATGTGATTTACAATGGCATCTGCATTTAATGTTTATCTGGGGGAGGCAATCTTTTTGGACTTTAATTGGAAGGAAATCTTAAATGCAGATTTTGTAAAACTTAAATGAATTTCTGTTACAGAGGAAACAAGCTTAATTTATTGTAAAAATATTCACTTGCAAGGAGTATATAATAGCATTCTGTTATCATACACACTTTTATATTTAACATTATTACATTAAATTACAAGTTAAATGCTTGATTTGCTTTATTATGATCTGCAGTGCTGAACTCTGTGGTTGCACAGTCTATGGAATGCGTGGCTTCCTGCACGCTGGAGCCACAAACCTGAATCCAGTTCAGTGTCATGAATGTAGCTTTTTCAGTGCTGTAGTATGATGGCAGACACCTTGTGATGGGCTGACTCCATTGCATTTTGAAAATTTCTACTTACTGTTTGGAGATAACATTTATCATACACAGTATACATAACTACTCTTATCTCTCATTAACATAGTGAACACACTTATTCATGCAAATTTCTCCAAAACATTTATTGAACCTTTCATCTGCTACACCAATTTTTGATAGCAGTACTTTATATTAAGACACCAAGGTAATGAACTACAGAGAGCAGGGCCACTCTTGAGAAGCTAACAGTCACTAAGGTACTCGAAGAAATTCCTTCCCTCTTAAGGTACCTGGTTCAGTATGTTTATGAGAGCTGAACATTATTCTCCATTATCACATCTTGTCAAAAATACACATCAGCCTATACAATTCCTTACTGATACAGTGAAACTACACTTTTGTGTTCCAGCGTTTTCAGCAATCACATACTTAGGGAACATTTTTTTCTAGTCCCATCCAAAGTCCAATATTAGCAATGTACATATTATTTTCCTACATCTAGTTATTTAGTAAATAACAATCATTTAACATACAAAATTATCTACTTTCCATAAATCATGTCAGTTCTAGTGCAACTGTGACTGATACAACAAACACTATTCCAGAAATCTCTATCACCTAAAAATAATTTTTGGTGATTGATATCACACTACACATGCAATCAAAGCATGCAGCTTGTGGCATCACAGTTGCTTTGATTCTCCACTGAGCTCATTTCAGTGTTTATTTAATATGCTACTCATCATTTCAGAAATTAATTTAATATCAATGATTATGTATTTATCTGTGCAGAAACTGTTTCTTTTGTTACTTGTGTACCACAATGATTCTATCGAAACTGTATATAATATTTTTTTAAAGGATATGAACAAGTTTCTTTAAGTAATTTTGCATAGGCCCCATTTAGTGGAAACCTTGATTACTCGTTCCCCCAAAGATTCACCTTACAGGATTGCAATGTACCTTGTTACCTCTGTGTTTCCATATGAACTATTTTAATATACAGCAGGAAATCATCTCTCTGTTCTTACAATTTTAAAAGTAATACCCAATAAAAATTATAAATTGAATTATAATTGCACTATACCATTTCAATCAGGCTACAAGTAATCTCAACAGGAACTATCCTTCCATTTCTGATGGTCTCTTCAATCAACTCTCCATATTCTGAACCTTCTTTATTTCGCTCTTCACGAAGCAAGTCTCCAGCAGAAAGATGAACAAAACCAAATTGCTGCATGAATATGTACATATTTTAATAATGTATATAAGTTATAATTACTATGAATGTTATGGATGGTAGTACAAACAAGATTATGTTCAGTGCAAAAGAACTCTTAAGACCACATGCTTCAGACATTTTCACTGACAGACTAACACAGGATATTATATTCACACCAGAAATATAAATCATAATTACATTATAAATTAAATTAATTAAGTCTGTATAGTGACTGGATATGGGGTGGAGAGCAAAGGGGTCACAGTTCAAATCTTGATAGGGGCAAGATTTTCTCATCTCCATGTCATCTGGACCAGTTCTGGGGCCCACCCAGTCTCTTTTTCAGTGGGTACATGGGGTTCTTTCCCTGTGGCTAAAGCAACTGAGCACGAAGCTGGCCACCTCCAGCTAGTGCCAAGGTCATGACTACACAGATCTATACCTCCACTCCCTCATACATCTTCATGGCGTAGTGCTTATTTAAATTCAAGAACTTTAACTTTATTTTAACTCATTCAGTAATGAACTTTAGATCCTGTAGCACAAACCTGTGATTAAATTAAGGGTACCTAATTTTTCTGCAAGACCAACAAAATATTGATTTTTAGTTATATTAAATTGTCACAATCAACTCTGTTGAAGGCTGGGCAGTTTAAAATCTAAAATTCTAGGGTGAATTTACCATTAAAAATCACCATAGATATGTTACTTACAGTTTAGTGTCTGCTTCTGTATTGTTTCCACAAAACAACACATATATTTGTGAACCACTGCACTTAGTATTGTTCAAAATGTGCATGTGGAGACATGGCACAGCATGCAGTTACAGCCTAAACAGTTTGTGTGATTTGCCCCAATGAAGTGAAATTACGACTTTTTTTTTCCTTTTAGTTTGGTTTCTGCAATGGCTCTATGAAAATGTTATGGTTATTCAACAGCTGCAATCAAATGTATTTACAACAGTAATATTAATGAAGACCCTGTTAGTTATGTCTGATGATATTGCACTTCAGTCTAGCCACTTACCATGCGAAGTGCCAACACTCCTGCCCCATATTCAGATGACGATATTTCTGAATTTTTAAGATTTTGGAACTGTTATTCCAGAAACAGACTCTGATTCTGATTATGATCAGAATAATGGTGAATGTAATATCCTAAATCATGACGATTCTGACGACAATATTCCTCTTGCACAAAGACTAGTAGCACTATGAGGGTGCTCAGCCTCAAGAAAGAAAAGGACCAACTGGAAAAAAGGCAATTTACGGAGAACAGTGGCAGAAATGAAAGTTTCAGGTAATTCAGCTGTACGATTATACTGGAAGAGATGACCTATTGGATTCAATGCTAGCATACTACAGAATTCAGATCAAGTCAAAGAAATGGTACCTGAAAATAATGTCACGTGTAAGGATGACTATAGATGGTGTGTGGATTGGATTTATTGACCAATCAGAGATTGTAACTACAAATAACTATAACACTATTGCTGATTTCCACACTTTACAACTCACTACACGCTAAGCCTTCTCCAGCCTGCAGTGTCTTCACTAGACATTTCCTGGGAACAGCTTCTAACAGTGGGGACTACAACAGATTGAGAACACTGGGGTGTGTGTAACAGTGAACTGTGAAGTATACGAGGGGGTACCCAAAAGAAACCGAACTTATTTTTTTTTAAACTTATTTATTCAAATTTTAAGCACAAACCTTCAATCCCCTTCCACTTACACTAATACACTTGTCTAGTCTTTTATTCCATTTTTCAAAACATTGTCTAAATTCATCTTTTGAGATGCTTGACAGTGTCTCTGTCGTTTTTTCCTTCACCTCAGCAACATCAGCAAAACGCTTTCCTTTCATGTCTCTTTTCATTCGAGGAAACAAAAAAATGTCGCACGGGGCAAGGTCGGGTGAGTATGGAGGGTGAGGAACAGGGGTCATACCATTTTTGGTCAAGAGCTGTCGTACAGACAGGGCTGTGTGAGCAGGGGCATTGTCGGGATGGAAAAATTTGCTGAACTGAGCTCCAAGTCACTCCCGACAGCTCCACAATTTTTTCAATGGTCCGTTGTCGATCTTCCTTGATTATTTCACGAATTTTTTCAACATTTTCATGTGTTCGGGCCATGGAAGGACGACCAGAACGCTGTTTGTCATCAATTGACATTTCACCATTTTTGAAACGGGAAAACCCCTCAAACACTTGAGTTTTCCCCATAGCATCGTCCTTGTACGCCGTTTTTAACATTTCAAGAGTTTCTGTTCCACTTTTCCCGAGCAAAAAGCAGAATTTCACCGCTGCACGCTGTTCACGAAAATCAGCCATTGCAAAAACGATGATCACACAAAACAGTTGTCACTATAAACTCTGCCGAAACTAGTCCTTACCTTCTGAAGCAACGGTAGTCGGCTTATCGACTCAGGAATGTTAGCTCTATGCGCTCATTGCGGCAAAACGCAGTATTACAAAAGCTCTGCCCACAAAAAAATTAGTTCGGTTTCTTTTGGGTACCCCATCATATAGCCACAGGCTGTGCATGTAAGTGGTCAATAAATCCAGTCACCAATCCAAACCCTGCCTATAGTTGCTCATACATGTGACAACGTTCTTTCTCTTGTTAAATGTTTCCTGCATCAATAGCTGGTTACTAAGGAGAAGGAAAAGTACAGATTATAAGCCTCTCGTTGACGTTAAGGTACCAGCTGCTGATGCCTTCTGCAAAGCAAGGAACAAATTCTACGCTTCATTCGAAGAGCAGGATTGTTGAGGGGATAATCAGAAGGGAGGCACAACAGATCACTGTGGTCACAGTGCAAGGGCCAAGAAGGCCCACCCCTTATACAATCATTCATTCACTCATAATTAGTACAGTGCAGTGGAGTGGAGCAAGTTGGCTGGCGAGTGAGTTAGTTACAGGATTGCTGAGGCTCAGTCCTTGTGAGCTGTTACTGTTAGAAGCTAGTAGCTGAGGCACAGGGACAGTTCAGGAACCCAGAGTAAGGGGAATGTCCATCATTGGAAGCCATTACGAGGCAATGACTAATGAAGATACAGCAGACTGAAAAGACTTAGCAAGTGCTGCAGTGAACTGCGGAGTCTGTGAATTAGCAACAGTGCTACATTTACTTGTAGTTACACTCTGTAAGTGGTCAGTAAATGCAATTATCAATCCAAACCCCATCTACAGTCACTCATACATGCAACAATGCCCTTGAGTTTAAATCTAGGCCATATTATGACAATTTTGTTTTAATTTTACTGCACATACGTTCAGCATTCTAGTCATATGCAGTATTGTAATAGTTCATTTTCTTGTATTTATTTACGATGATGCTTTGGTATATTCTTATTGTTCCAGATTTTACATTTACTGCGAAGTTCTTTCAGATAATGATTGGTAAGAATTAAGTTCTGAATTTGGCTGGATGGGAAAGAGAGGAGTCACAACATATTTCTAACGTTGATGGGCCGAGTCAGATGTATCTCATGTGACTGTTCACTCTGTATCAGACATGCTGTGCCCTCTGATTTATGACGTTCAACAGTTTAGTGCAGACTTCATCCGCTCACATAAAAATAGGGATAACCTATTTCATACAATATGGTACTTCTCCATACACATTTTGATCTGGTAAATGTAAAGCCACATCTGACACAGAATGTATTATTACTAACAAAAGGGTTTTAGTAGTATCCCAAAATTAATCTAAAGGTACAAAAGCCAATAAAAGGCTTTCTCCAGTCATTAGTGTCCAATGTTGAGCTAACCTGTTCTGTTACATGTCACATTGGACTTGTTCCATTTTGCACAAATATTCTAACAGATTTTCAGCATAGTGGGAAGGATATGAGCATTTTGTACCACTTCTTACCTTAACTATATTCTCACACTGTGTTCCCTTGCCAGCACCAGGTGCTCCAAGAACAAATACCACATCAGGCTTTATTGTAGAACTCATGACAAAACTCTTAATCCCACTGAATAAACGGTTAAACATTCACACTGCAATAATACAAAATAATAATGAAATAATAGTTCTATATTTCATGTTATATATTTTAAACTTATTAAATATATAGATACAGTACATTCTGATGAAGAATAAAGCATTCATTTTAAATATTAATGGAAGTATAACAATTTGTTTTATCAATGAAATAACTTATTCATTTGTATGTATTTCATGGAAATTTTTTGAAAAATAAAAATGCTTAAATATGTGCCAAAAACTGTATCCACATTGCCAGTATACCCACAGACATTTCTCAGCATACTGTATAACTGTTATCAACAGATAAACCAAGGGAATAGGCACAAGTAAGAAGTCATCAGACTATAACGATATACCTGCCTTTCTCTCATGCTATCATCAAAAACACAAATTACTCAAGCTCATCTTTGGTTACAGGGTTACACAGAGAAACTGGCAGTTTCAGCAAAGTCTAATTAGAATGCTTCATTCCACATTCCTAAGCAACTCAATTTGGGAATATCATATTACAATACTGTGAAAGCAATTTTACCATTAATCATATTTATTCCTAACACAGCACTCATTCCTCCTTAAGATTTTCTAATAAAGCCGGTTAGTGTTATACAGTGGTGAAACAGTAATTTACTTCTCTTACTTTATTGATTACAAATGGATAACAAAAACGGCTACAACACAAAAACCCGTTTCCTTCTTTATTAGGTTGTTTCATCTCACTGCTTAAAATGAGGAGGTTATCCAGCATAAATTTGTACACTAACAACGCTGACAATGGCCACAATATAATGGTGATTACATAACCTATTTCGAGCCATGTCATTTACTCCATCAGCAATACTTTCAAAATTCAATGCTATAATTGTATTTGTAACAAGGCAATTCAAACTTTATGTACCTTCATCACGAAAATATACATTTGCCACAAACAAAGACAAACTATGTAAATACCTATTCCGTTTTCCAACTTCCCATTTGTTACCAGACCTGCATATATCTCCACGATCTCCACCTACCCACCTCTGGCTTCACGGGCTTCCCTTTCGACACCACAGGATCTTGAATACGGTTCAATAGACGTTTACCTGGCAGAAATCATTTCACTTTCATAATATGTTTGTATCATTCATTTACTTGTTAGAGCGTGCTATACCTACTTCATACTGCATGTGTAGCACCACCGATCAGTACTCATACAAACCAGTTTTGGCCGTTTTGACAGTCCGCTTTACGTACAAACTCTTTTAACATTTTAATCCATGCTATACCAGACCCATGTCTATTTTCATCATTGACGGCACGTCATTGTAAGTTACACATACCGAAGCACTTCAGTGATAAAAATTTAAATGTCAATTACAATATAAAAAAGCAATAAACAACCCTTTTTGTACCTGGCCATCCTGCCAACATTCCTAGCCGTCGTCAGTAATACTTCCTTACATCTGTGATTTGAAGTCAGACTTGCTGCTAGTCCCCTTAGACAAAATCGAGTTCCTGCGCTTATTGTTCAGCGAATAAAACTTGAATCAACCTGGGTAGGATGAAGGATAAACGATCAATAACGGTATTACTCAATGAACCTGAAACCTTACGTAGGCAAGATCAGGCTTGATTACCCAACCCATGAAGCCGAAAAAAAATAATTTCTTAGTTACGTATTTTCGGCGTTACTAATGCAATTTTCGTTATTCAATGGCTGCATGATTATTGCCACACTGTCATATTTCATTCATATGCTCTCCGTCTTAATACATGCTTCCTCCATACGCCGCCATTATTACGTGTTTATGTTATTCAACGTAAGCTATTTCGGTCTTCATCCTCCGATCTATCGAAACACCAGTTACATATATACGCCGATTGGTCTTTAATATTTAAACATCATCATCTACACATGCACACATCTACGTGGATTGGGCCCTCTGGTCCACTCTGGTCCCTCTGGCCGCTCTGGCCCATTCAAATCCCAGAGTTAGTCGAATTGGTCCCTCCATCTCTTCAATGGCGGCCCCGCTCCTTTCTTCCTATTGAGTGATAATCAAACAGCTTCCGATGAATTTGACATTTTAAACATATTTTAATTAATTTAAGATTTACAAATATTTAATTTTTAACTTCTACTTAAAATCTGTGTAATTAAATACAATATTGATTTTTATACATTACAAAAATCACGGATCACAACATGATAAGTAGGATCTGCATCAGCGTAAATCACATTGCCTACCCCAAAGATCCAAGAGGGTCACTTACGTTGTAAACCAGTGAGATCTGGTGCCATCTCTTCCGGGAAATGCCCATACAAATCATACTGTCTTACCTCGGTAGCTCGATCGCTAAGATACAACTTGTGTAAGTTTGTTGTTTAACGACGATATCAGTAGACTTTATAACGTTCATAATAGGGTGATTAATGAATGAACTGTGGCCACTTCTGGCCTATTGTACCAGCCCCAGACGATAGATGAGGGTGATTGTGGAGCAATTTGTGGAATAAGGATTGGCAGGGGAAACTGAAGTACTCAGAGAAAACCTGCCCCAGCGCCACTTTATCCACCACAAATCCAACTTGACCAGACTCGGGATCGAACCCAGGCCGCAGCGGTGAGAAGCCAGCGACTAACTCCTTGAGCTATGGCATGGCCAAAGGGACACAACTAACTAATAGGAGAAAACATGCCCCATTGACGTATTTCTATCAGAAATCCCACATGAATTGACCTGTGATGGAACCTGGGCCAACACGATTGGAAGCCGGAAATTAGCTGACTGAGCTACTGCAGAATTACACAATTACTCCTTAACCATTTAAGTGAGCCATCATAAGGCATGTTACAATTCTAATTACAAAATAAGTAAATAAAAACTTGTATAATGTGACATGCCATCTTTGAGCCGATTGTCAAGTTAATGTGGGACCCTTAACGTCTCACAACCCTGTGCCTTCACGGCCGGTTACAGGGATACCTTTACTTTTTTATAATATGGCATGTAGTCCCATTGTCAAGCAACAGCTGTGTATACAGGAGACAGTACAAAAGCCTTTGTTAGGGAAAGTTCTGGGGACATGTTTCCTTGGTAATGAGAGAACACGTAATGATTGAAGAGGTGTTTTACGTGTGATCCATGTCAAGGGTGTATAACCAGAACCAGTTGCCATTATAAGAGAATTGGTGGCAGGCAAGCATATGACCATTCAAGTGACTAGACTGCCAGTGTAGTGGAAGCTGCTAGAAATAGGGCAAAATCTGTTGTACTGACAGAGACCCTGTATATATTGTATATATATTTTTAACATGTTTAACATGTAAAATGTAAACATCTTTTACATTATGACAAATAACTTGCTATTGCAAACAATGGCTCTGACAAAAGACAGACATATCCTTTCATCAGAGAGCGTGCTCCACAATAATGAGACTGTAACTGTCAAACAGTAATATATATCTAGTCATGAGACCCAGATGGGGTTTGATACCAAGACAGAATGACCGACTGACCATCAGTTGCAATGTGACTTTGACTTGGATTACAAGAGGAACCCATGTGAAAGTGGGATTAAATACCACCACCATGACCCTGCCAGTCATAGGTGATGAAAATGGAAGTCTCAAATCTGAGACAGTAAAATATGGTCTCGAGTGCCAAGGGACTCAGACTCAAGGAAGACTGCAATTGCAAGGGCCAGCAGCATATACACAAGACAGACCTGTCCCCTCATCAGAGAGGGTGCCCCACAAAAACAAGACCAAAACTGCCAAAGAGTAATAAATATCTGGTCATGAGCCCCAGATGGGGCTCCACACCAAAACTTACTGTCAGTTGAAATGTGACTTTGACTTGATTGCAAGAGGGTCCTAAGACAGTAGATAGAAGAATAGAAGGTTGGTGTGAGTTGGCTGCCAGTCTGCGAGGGCATGAGCTGGGAAGCAGGGGAATGTCTGCCTTTTGAAGATGTTACCAAGCAGAGCAATGAAGACTGTGACTGAGAATGCTGGTCTTTGTGTGACAGTGATTTATAGAGTGTAGTCATGAGTTGTGTGTTAAAGTGCCCAATAGATCTGATTACCAATCCAAGCCCCCTCTATAGCCACACTCAATTATATAACAATAAGTTGTGTACAAATATCACACAATGGGCACAAAATTTATGACATAAATCCATGGAAAGTGTCCATAATCTATTAACCTCACTCACCCTGCTTTGATTGAAATTCTATTCATTCATTCATCAGTAATCTGTCAGACGACAGGTCCACAGTCTCTTCCAAAACAGTTCCTCCACTTAATGCGATCTTCTGTTTTTGGAAAGAGACTATCCAGGAAAAGTGATAATGTGGTAGTTTTTCCATTTGCTTTCCACATCGCAGTACAACAGCCGTTCAAACCACTCTGGTCACGCCTGTTGCTATACGAACTTGAACCATCTCGAGCATCATTTGCTCTGTGCTTCAAGTCGCTGCTGATGACGCTGCTTCCGGCATCAGTTTTTGGTGTCTCTCTTCGTCTGATGCCTACCCTTTGACCTGTCCAGCAAGGGAGGCCCTGCCAGTAGCTACGATACCGCTGGTATAGCTCTCAGGGTCCTTGGCATACTCAAACCCCCTCACCACGATAAGGTGGAGACACCAACGACACCTCTATATCTGACAACAATTCCTATATCATCACACAATGCTAATAACAGGAAAGACAAACACAGTCATGAGAGTGTCAATCAAAGAAAATGAATATCTATGCTCCCTTCACTGAAGTTTTATTTTACAGCATCTGGGTCAAAAAGCATCCAATCAATTGAATACCAGAGACCCTTTTCCCCAAGATTAAAGTTGGCAGAGCATAAAGCTGACCACTCACCTTCATGTAGTCCTCAAATTAACAATGTACAGACCCATACCTCCATTTTCCTTTACATTTTCTTTGGTGCTTACTGACGCACATGGACAACTATACCATTTATCTGTATGTCAATATAAGGAGTCAGGATAGCTCAGTTGGTATAATGATGGGTTATGGGCTGGATGGCCAGGGTTTTATTCCCAGCAGGGGTACAGCCTGTAAAGCAATTCTACTTGCAATTTCATAGACCAGGAGCTGGGATAACCCACGAAGTATAGTGAATAGGCTATGGGCTAAACAACTGGGGAAGTGAGGTTCCATTCCCAGCTGGGACAAGGTTATTTCTCTTATCCACAGGATACATACTGGCCCTGGGCCTCATCCAGCCTCCTATCCAATTAATATTAGGAGTTATTTCCCTGAGGTAAATTAGCCAGGGAGTGAAGCTGGCTATATCTTAATCTAGTTCCAAACTTGAGAATTGGTGGAGCTATACTCCCACTTCCCCACATACCTTCATGCATGGAATGTAATTAAGAACAAAGACAGCTTGAAATTTTATCTTAGAGTGGTTTAGGTGTAATGATGATTTCACCATGGCCCATTTTTGTACAGACCACCTAGAAGAAAACTGTTTAAGTCAGAATAGTTGTCAGTAAAATGGCTGCATATGTCTGGATGCCTAAGATCTGGTCCCTGGACGGATCAGAGATTTTTCTCTTTGCCTCTGTAAAGACCAGTTTTGAGCCCAGTCAGCCATCTATCCAACAGCTACTGAGGACTTTTGCCATGTGGGCTAAATTGACTGTGGTGTGAACCTAACCTTTGATCTCCATCTAGTTCTAATGTAGTGAATTTTATGGTATATCTAATAATGTATGTTTCCATTTCCATATCCTAGGTTTGTTACCTGTATGGATATATGGAAAATAAAGGAAATGAATGAACGAATGCTCTCAATAGATCAGACTATAGAATACTGAATTGTAGAGTGATTAGTGAATAATGTACTGTGAAGAATGTGGAGGGGAATACTTGTGTACTAATTTAGGTTCAACCCCCTAATTCCTTGAGATTGAGGGAAACCATTCAGACTCTTGAGCAGGACAACTGGTCTCTAGGTCAATACTGTACAATGTTATTATGTTGTGTTTAGGGACAGGAACAACTTTAAAAGAAAAGTGAATACCATCAGCAGTTTCTTGACTATGATAAGGTAGCCCAGAGAATGGAGAATAACAGGGGTTATTAGTTCACATATGATAGCTCGTGACATCAAGTATAGTGTCTTTTACATATAACAGTATACACTGCAGATGCTGCCCAATTAATGTCTGCATTCATTATTGATGGCATGAGCTGTTAATTTAAAACAATGACTGTGAGACTGTTTATATTTTATTCATAAATGAGACCATACAAAGTAGTGAGTTTTGAGTGAGTGCTGGGTATGACAGGACATGGAAGGAAAGAATGGGAGAGAGAGAGAAGTGAATGTCAGTCTTGTGCCATCATGAGTCAGTTTAAAATAAATTACAGAATGATTTTAATAAACACAAAATTGACACATTTTAAAAACTGTGCATGTGATTTCTATAACTTTGCCATAATAGTTCGTTCTTTTAGATTTTCGAAGTATTAATTATACATGACTAGATTTAAATGCCCTTACTCAGTGATGAATTGAGACTGAAGTGCAAAAACCAATACATTATTTACTGAAGATTTAAAAAGAGAAATACAACAATCCTGCTTCAGCTTGTAACTGTCATCATGTAAAAATTACTTTCTGAAAGCAGTTAAATAAAAAAATATTCGTATTTTTCGTATATCGAATTATGGAAAGGTAAATTTCCATGTGTCGTACGTATAGTATTTTCAGACAAATGTAAATACTACAGCATTGAAGAAATATGACAACATTAATGAAAAAGTAGTAGAAATTGTGAGATGTTAAACAGGATGCTGGCATTATTTCTCACTTATTCATTGATGATGAACATATTTCACAATATGATCATTTATTTTGGTGCAATTTTAATATATCAATGATGATGATACAAATGATTGTGGTGATGCAATAACAAAGTCAACACCATTATGTTACATGCCCATTTTACAAGAGCTTTGTTGACATGTTGATTCATTCCTTTCGCCTTCATAAGGAATCTGAAGCTGTTGCATGGAACCTGTCAACAGAAAACATTAAGCAACCTTTCAATATTGATACACAAATTATAAAATCCTCCTGAAACTCTCTTAATGGAAATAGTGAAATTATTAGAATGTTTCATATATAATTCCTCTGAAAGATTATTCCATTTAGAACAATGGTTTCATAACACATATTACATTTGTTGTTAATATTGTATTTGGAAATTTATCAGTAGAATCCAAAAAAGTTTAGTGTTTGAGGGCTTATGATTAGCAATGAGTTATAAACAAAAAATATTAATTAAATTCATAAATAATATGTGCTCTTGTACTTATATTTGATTCTGAATTCATGTCTGACATGAGATCACAATTCAATAAGGCACAAGACTAAATCACCTGACCAGGATTATATTGCATACAACTTTTGAAAGCTTCATTCGCTCTCTTGAAGGTTAGAGTGTGGTTTCAGTTTAATACAAGCTTTGTGTCTAATCATTCTTTCAGGGGAGATCTGAAGGAGACCATAGTTGTAGACAGAATCAAATATTCACTCACTCCTGGAGCTGCACCCTTCTTGAGAAGCCGCCAACTGTGCAGCTACTCAAGAACTTCTCAGCATTTTATGGAACCCAAAGGTTCATTACTATGTTCACAAGAGTCCTCCACTGGTCCCTATCCTGAGCCAGATCAATCCAATCCATCCCATCCCATCCTCTCTCTCTCTAAGATCCATTTTAACACTGTTCACCCCACCTACACCTTGGTCTTCCCAGTGGTCTCTTTCTTTCTGGATTTACCACCAATATCTTATATGCATTCTTCTTCTCCCCCATTCATGCTACATGCCATGTCCATTTCATCCTCCATGACTTGATCATTTTAATTATACTTGGAGAAGAGTACAAGTTATGAAGCTCCTCATTATGGATTTTGTCCAACCTCCTGTCACTTCACCTCTGGTTGGTCCAGATATTCTCCTCAACACCCTGTTCTCAAACATGCTCAGTCTATGTTCCTCCTTTAATGTCTGAGACCAAGTTTCACACCCATACAGAACACCAGGCAAAATTATAGTTTTGTATATTATAATTTTTATGTTTTTAGGCAGCAGACGAGAAGACAAAAAGCTTCTGGACTAAATGCTAGCAAGCAATACCTGAGTTCAATCTCTTCTTAATTTCCTCCTGAATCAGGGTTTATTTGTTATAGTCGTTCCCAAATATCTGAACTATACCACATTTTCAAAACATCTGTTACCTACCTATGTGTCATGATTTTTCCCTGCATTCTGTTGACAAGACAGCAACATATACTTAGTTTTCTCTGCGTTTACTTCTAGACCAACCTCTTTACTAGTATCAGTTACAGTTTGTGTGTTTTTCTTTATGGTATCCGTATTATTACCCAGTAGATTTATATCATTGGCACAGACCAACAGCTGATGTGTCCCATTTAATTTCAGTCCCACCTGGTTTTTCTGGACCTTCCTAATGGCACATTCTAAAGCGAAGTTGAAAAGCTGTGGCAATAAAGCATCTCCTTGTTTGAGATCATTCTTGATAGGAAAATTATCAGACCAATATTCACCTACAGACTTTTACCATACATTTAATTTAAACACATTTTAATCAGCCTAGCTAGGTTCATGGGTAGCCAAAACTCTTATCAGACTATTGTACAATACTTCCTTCCTAACTGAATCATAAGCTTTCTTGAAGTATACGAATAGATGATGTACTGTCTCATTGTACTCCCATTTTTTGTCAAGTATCTGATGAATACAAAAGATCTGATCAGTAGTTGATCTGTTATATTGAAACCCACACTGTTGATCCCCAATAATTTCATCTATGTATGGACTTAACCTTGAGAGAAGAGTACTGGATAAAATTTTGTATGAAGTTGATAGTAGTGATATCCCATGATAATTACTACAGTCAGTTTTATCACACTTCTTGTGAACTGGTACAGTAATTAACTCCTTCCACTGATCAGGCAATTTTTCCTTATTCAAAATATAATTAATTAGCTTATGGATCTTAGAACATAATATTTTGCCTCCTGCTCGAATCAGTTCTGATGGAATTTGATCTCTACCTGGTGATTATACCTTTTCAATTCTGCAATAACAATTTCAACCTCAAAGTATGAAATATTATGTACATACTATCCACATGTTTTTCTACAGAGGATTTCAGGCAACAATCATATAAAGGTATTAATACCTTATTAAAAAAAATTTAAGTGGCTTGTTATTTCCTGCATAATGATGATCACAGTTCTCCAGCAGGGACAATATTTAATGAGAAGGCAGCTGTTGTCTCTCCCTTCTTTCCTTCAGCTTTTGCTGTGTACTGGCCTATATCTGATGTACTACAACTTGTGACTTCAAACTTGAATTTTCTTTTACCATCCTGGACAAATTGGTACTTTGAACTTTGTTCATCTACAGGTTTACCATCTTTCAGCCATGTCACTGTAAGAAAAAGTTGGAATATAACAGTTAATTTACACAATCATTTAGCAATCTTAGTTTATTGGATCTATGAAGAAATATAAACAAATATGTTTTGAGAGATTTGAAGTTTAAGGTTATGGTTTCCTGTGATGTGATGTGATGTGATGTGATGTATTCTGGTAGACAGGTTCAAGTGTTTTGAAGGAAACCATGGCCTTCATCGTGAAGCTAGAAATAGCTCCAACTCAGAGGATGGAGGCAGCAGGTCCCTCAAAAATAGTGGCACCTATATACTAGATTATAGTGCCACATCCTCGCAGACTGCAATCTTAATTCAGTTTTATTCTGTGTGTTAATTGCAACACAAGTTTGAAAAAGATTAAAGATATAAATAAACTTTACACATTCCAAATACAATACATGAGTTTGCATACTGACAAAAGTATATTCAGTAAAATTATATGGTGTATGTAATTGCATTTTAATGATGATCTCTTAAAATATGGATATGGGTTCTTTTCTCAGATATACAAATTAATTTAATGATACTTGAAAACTAGTATTATAATGTTCAATGATGCTACCTGTATACTGATTCAAAATATTATATTCTGGACTTGAATTTTAATGTTGTAATAGATTTTCCATATATCAAGTCCCCTGTATCTCTGACATGCATTCATAATTTATGTTTGTGCTTGAGATGAGAGAATACTGCTCTGAGCCTTTTTTTTATAACTGTGTAAATCTACAAGTTTATGTATCATTGTCCCTCTTCAAACCAATATACGTTCATATACTGCTAACTCACCCTTTTGCGGCACTTTCTCAAATTCACATTCAAACTTCACACTCTCTCCTTCCTGGACAGTGGCAGACTGCGGGAATGTTTTGAACACAGGGCTCTTTGGCTCTTCATTTGGTACTAAAATATTTGGAAAATAAACGATTATCCCATAAGCTCAACATCAGCAGAGGGAATATATTTTTTAACACTACTACTGTGTTGCTGATAATAACAAAATGATGACAATATAATGATAAAAGTGATGATAATAGTAATTAAGATTGTGATTTTCTGGGTTGTGACCATCTAATTTTGACGGTGGACACTAACATTTTAAAGGAACACGCTCCATTCATCTTCCAGGTTCCTCAAAAACGTGGGTATCTGCCTACAAAACCATATAATGTTACAACCCAGAAGACTGCAATTTTAATAATCAGAACTTCAAGACTTATAAGCAGCAGCAGCAGCAGCAGCAGCACCACAACCACCACCACCACCACCACCACCAACAACAACAACAATAACAACAACAGAAACATAACAAAAATAAATTTATTAAGAATAGAAACACATACATTTGTTACAAGAGCAAATAAGAGCAATACAGAGGAAGAACTAAGAAGCCANGTCTTCACGCACCTCGAGCGAGTCGCCTTGGCTGGGGGCCAGCCGTTCCGCCTCAGCGCGAGCCCGCCGTAAAACGATCGGGTTGCAGAGCCCAGCTGCGCCATTAACTGCACACCCCCCCAAACACACACACACACACACACGTATGCACGAATACACACACACACACACACTCTCTCTCTCTCTCCGCATTCAACAATTAAAAAAAAAATATTTGAATTCCAGTGTCATACCTAGCTTACCACCTGTTAGTGCTAACAAGAACTGTGATGGTACTCTGGTACTGAGAAGTCCGGAGAAAGATAACATATAGTGAGAGAAACGTTACAGGTAAAGCATTCTTGTGACATTTTACAAAACCAGTAATAAATTTACTTTCAGCTACCATGAAACTATGGTAAGCATAATTTCAGGATGTTTTCTATTAGTGTGGAAATATTAGTGTGGAAATATCAGTGACCAGCAATTTAACAAAATACCTTCCTTGGCCTGGGAATTGAAAGGATTTCTTGTATCCAAATACTTGGACTTTCTCATTCAAAGATAAGTATTTAAACTGGATGATTAAGGTAAAATGAAATCAGCATAATATGTTGAAGTTTTTGACAACCGAAGTGTTCTACACATAGGCACTTCAAGCAAATTATGCATGAGCTACACCATTGTTGCATGGGCCTTAATCTTTGCCAGTGGCTGTATCTCAGTACATTTGATAGATTGAGTTTCACTGTTACTAAACTGCAAATACCTCTTTCATTCGCTGACACTACCAGTACTTCAAAAATGAGGAATAAGATATGCATTGATATAAGCGTGCCCTGTTCCTTCTCATGGATGTCAATGAACAAAGATGCAACATGATCTGACAGCCTGACTGTGATTTCTTGTTCAGTACATGCATCAATAGGACAGCTTTGGGTCAGACATAAGCTTGTATTGAGTGTAAAACGTTTTGTCATTCACACTGAGTAATGACTTTTGGAGCCTTATCTGTGCAAGATCCATGACCTGTTCCTGTGGAGATCTCTTTATGAGAAGTGATCCTTCCCTCAGGCTGAGCATATATTTTATACTTCAAGCCAATGAGTGTTCTCTACGGACATAAACCAATTGGTACCTGACGTGATTCATTTCTTGTTAAGGTGTTCTGCAGTGCAAATTTAGCATATTTGCCAGTCAGTGCCGACGTTATACATTCAAAATTATGATCAGGAAAATTAAAGACAGGAAGATATGTGGTTTTCATCCAAGGTAATGTTTGCAATACAGATATCCCCCCCCCCCCAAAGAAATATTCTGAATTAATTTTCACGCCAAGTCTGTGTTTAAAGTCGATTGTTTTTGTTTGTATGACAGGACAAGTTTGATTTATAAATATGGATGACATTTTGTATTTTACAGACCAAATTTTGGTATATGGTGGAACCCCTATTTAACATTCCTAAATTTAAGACTTTACCTCTTTTAATGTTCAGTCTCAATGGTTCAAAGTCAATAATCCCAGTGCTAAATTTTCTACATTTAATATTTTCCTCAACTAGTATTCAAATTCACTGTTGCCTAAAGAAACCTGATGACATGTTTCACTTTATTCAAATTTGGTCATGATAAGTATAATTGATGAATTACCACTAGTAAATCTAAACCCTTTAGCAGGAAGCTGTCCTTTGCATGATAAAAAATCTTGTCACATTAAATGTTATCAACCTAGAGAGAAACCCTTTCCAATGTTACATGTTTCTAGACATTTACGTAGCGATATTTAATGATGGTTCAAAAATTCCTCAGTTATCTCACCAACACTTTCTTAAATCTATACTGTATAAGTCTTGTTATTTAATCAAGCTATTTCTATCCAGCTAATGTAAATATAGTAACAAGAATAATGACTATGAGTGTCTATAATGTTTCTCTGGGCATCAAAATCATCCATTCACAAGGGGTGACTTTATTTATTGACATTCCTCTCAGGGTTTCAGAAATCAAGGAATATTTATGATTTTCCCTAAGCTGCCATTCTTACTTTTATTGTCGCAAAAAATATTAAAATGAGAGAGAAATTTCTAAAGATGCTTCAAGGTTGTGTCTGTTTATCTCATAAGATCTTTCATAATATCCAAGTCCCTTAAAACTGAAGGCATATTTACAGATACTGTCCTGGAATTTGCCTGAAGGGTGTGAGGAAAACCATGACATAAAGAAAGATGGAATGGTTTTGAAATTTCATAGTTATGTCTGAAAAAATATAAGCCCACAACTGCATACTGAGTGGAAAATATCACTATATGTAGCAAATGTGAAGGTAACTGACAAGTCTGCATATGAAATGAAAGTCTCTCATAATTTTGGAGAAATGAGTACAAGGAATCATCCTGCAGGTAAACAGCAGCCGGTGTGAAAGGCTGGCAATTTTACTTCCATCTGTGAGCTGAAAATATGGAGCCTTGAGGTCTCACAACACTATGGGCCTCAACAGCCTCTTAGAAAGAAAGCATTATTTTTTACTTTGACACATACCTAAGACAACCAGAGTGCAGCTGCTGAAGGATTCACCTGCATCGTTGAATGCTTCACATGTATATGTACCTGAATCTTCAGGGAAAATTTCAGCTATATTCAGTTTGTATATGTTGGCTTCATTTGTATATTGGAAGTCTTTACTTGGCTTGATTTCTTTGTTGTTATGAAGCCAAATTACATCAAACTTCTGAGCACCTACAAAACAAAAAAAATAGATTTGTAATAAAAACATATTTAAATTGCATAATGAAGTAAGCTAAAATAATCATGTATACACATAATTCTTTTTTCATACATTAAATATTTTTCTTGATAAAAGAAAATTATATTGAAGTTTGGTGTGGATTTTTTGCTGTTATACTTCTTACATTAAAAGCCATGATCTGAGTATATANATATATATATATATTATTTATTTTCTTATGCTGATTAAATATTATTAAAATCCAGACACGTTTCGGTCATAAATCGCCAAATTCAGGGGAATACTAAATATTAAGGAAACTTTATAATTTGTATGTATGAATAAAATATTTAAAATCTCAAAGTCATAGAATTTTCATAAAAGTTGCAAATGCTAATATTACATTAAAGTTCACTGATGTGAACCATTATAAAATGTACCTTTTTTTGTTAATTGGTGCATTTTACTATATACTGTGTATTGTTGCCTTGAGCTTTTTTTTAAGATGCTGGTATTGTGATGTGCTGCAATGATGTGTGGTTTTTGACTGATGAAATGTCGGATTGTTTAGAGTCTATACTGGTGACTAAAGAAGTGTTTATATACTGATATCTAAAATCCTCTCAAGAATCACACATTGATTTAGCACTTCACTGTACTGATGCCTTAAGCTACAAGTATGAGGCACCAATATGCAATATAGTATAACATACCAATTATCAAGGAAGGTGCATGTGACAATGCTTCATACAAAGTTTTAATATAATATCAGTCTTAACCTTTATAAAAATTATATGACTTATAACATTTGAAATACTTTATTCACACACACAAATTGTAGTTTAGTTTAATATCGGGTATCCTCCATGAAGATGTTTATTTATGAAAGAATATGTTGGTGTTTTAAAAATATTTTAACAGAATAAGGAAAAAAATTAGATATACTCAGATGGTTAATTTATATTTTATTTTAAATTATGATATAAAACTTCAGAACAGGCACTCAAACATGACAATGTATATGATGTTATTGTACATATATTTGTACTAATATTGGCTGTATTTTCGTTTATATATTGATTATGACCAATTTAGGATGTGTCCACCATGGGTTATAAATAGGCATCTCAGTATCATCTTGATCTCAAGATTCATTCCATGTAAAATAATTATCTTGTCTCAAGTGATTGGTGCAAACAGTTATTCTGTCAGGCATTATTAAGCAGTTGGCTCATATTTGCCAGCTAATGCTTGTTATGGCATCTGTTATAAGATGTAAGTCTATGGTGAGAACACAGTACATTAGATGTATGAATGATTCAGTACACTGAATAATAAGGTAACAAAGCTTACTGGCGCATAACAAATTTCAAAACACAACAATAACATATGTTTTGTTTATGATACTTAAGTCAGTTAGTGCATGACAATATTTCCCTACATAATATTTTAATGTACTTGCAAATTAATCAACTACCATAAACAATTATCAAAGTGTAAATATTTACTATTCACTGTCTGATATCAAATACAAATTAATATAACCTTTGACATATAATAATAACAGAAAAATTCAGCCAGCCAGGTAAGAGCTGAAGACTAGTCAATAAAAATAGGCATATTTATATTTCCAGAATTCAAGTAAGGTTTAATCCAGTCTATTCAACATACCTATAATTCGGCAAGACAATATAACAGGTTCACCGTCTTTTACAAAGTCAGACTTCAAGTGGCTGACAATCTTTGGAGGTTTGTCTCCACTCTTCGTTTTGCTTCCTGCATTCTGCATAGCTACAACATAAGAGTAAACATTAAAACATATCTCTCATGGATCATAAATAGAACAATGTAAATATTAATAAACATCTGTAATTATATTTAATTATAATATCTTTTCAAAGTAACTTCCAGAATACTGGAAACATATTACAATGATAGGAAAAATATACAGTACAAAATACTTTGTAAAGATATTCAAATCCACCTCATAGCAAGATATATGAACCCTTCTCCCAGTGTTCATAAGTTGCATCCTATCTCTGACAGTTCAATAGCACTTACAGCTCTTACAGCTGAACACCTCTTATCTTCTACAAGGGCTACTTGGAAAGTAACTTCGGTTAATTTTAGGCAACTCATGTAGGAGCAGGGGAGAGAGCTCGCACTTGTGAGGTAGTGTCACATGACTCATTGCCTTGTAAACTGGTCATCTAGTGTTTGTTCTTGTCTGTCTCTACAGAGTGAGGTATGATGTGTCCTGTGATCGATAAACCTGCAAGCTGCAAAATTCTCCCTCTTATCTGCTTTCTTCACGCTAGAAACATGAGTGCTATGGAAATTCATCATGAATTATGTGCCACAGTTTACAGCTGAAAGTGAAGGAACTGTAAGACTTCGTGTAGAATGTTCAAAGATGGGCAAATAAATGATCATGTTGAAGAGTAAAGTGGTTGGCCATCTGTACTGAGTGATGATACTGTTCAAAGTGTTGCCCAAAATAATGGGTGAAAGATGACATTTCACAATTTCAGAACTTTTGTGTGAATTTCCACAAATTTCAGACACTCTTCTCTTTGAGACTATCTCAGTTAGGCTAGCTGTCAGAAGCTTTTGAATTAGATGGGTTCCAAAAATGCTTATGGGTGTGACCAAAATGCAAAGAACTGTTTTGACGTTCACTTTTTTAGAGTGATACAGCAAAGGTGGCAATGAACTTCTCAATCACATCATATGAGAAAGAGATGATGAAACCTGGGTTTTATTTATGGGTGTTGAAACCAAAGAGCAGTAAAATAAGAGGACGCACATACATTCACCAAACAAGCAGAAAAAGTTTAAATGAACACTGACTTCCTACCAGAAACCTGATGGTAGCTGTTTTCTGGGGCAGGAAAGGAGTGCTGATGGTGGAATTCATGCAAAAAAAGGACCACAATAACACCAGAAGTGTATTGCAAAACACTAAAAAATTGCATAGGGCTGGCCATTTAGAACAAAAGGCGTGGAATGATGATGTCTGTTGTGGTGATCCTCCATGATAATGCGTGTCCACATATAAGCACCAATGTTCACATTCGACCACTGCTGGAGCTTTTCAACTGGCTGTTTTTGACCACCTTCCTTGCAACCCTAATGTTGCTCAAGGTGGGTACCAGATAAAATACAAGTGATAAGATACCAGTGATACATTATTATTATTGTTTTTGCATGGATGCATATCTGTAAACCCTATGAAAGATATTGGATACATACGCTTCACTGTAAGTTTGCATACTGTCTTTGCTGTGCCCATTGAGTTGGTGGCTTCACAAATATATTGACCTTCATCTTCTGGGAACACTTCATTTATTGTAAGTGTTGCAATTCCATTCTTATATTTCAGGTCCACAATATCAGAAGAACTTAATGCCTGGAAACAATAACATTGTGTTATAAACTTCCAATTAATTATTATTATAACTTCTTACACGGTCCCTTCTGTTATTACTTTTTACTATTATTATTATTATTATTATTATTTAATTACATTCCATTAATCCATACAAGGTCAAATGACCTATAGGATATAGAAACTGTCATTATAAATATAAAACAATAGTATAACAGTAAATCTAATATACATGTCATAAATCTTACAGTAGCCATCTGAAAAAATTTTACATAGAATTAATACAGATATGGTAATAAAAGTAAATTACAACTATTAACTAAATAATGTAAAGGTACTTGCATGTACATACCTGGCCATTCTTTGTCCAGTTGACCTGAGGTTCAGGGTCTCCCTTTATTGAGCAACTGAACTGAAGCTGATCTCCATCATTGACTGTTAAATCTTGCAGCTTCCGTGTGAATTCAGGTTTACACATCAGTGAATCATCTGGTGGCACTATAATGAAGTAACGATGTAACAGAGTAATGCAGCTATGTCAAAGTACAAGTAAGATGGCAATGACACTTGGCTAATCATCACATCATTTATTTGAGACATCTATGCAATACATTTTATGTATACAAGTTGTACAATTTTATAATTTTATAATTTTCATATTTTTAACATATTCTTTGAGAAACTTTTAATTGCATGGACAAAACGGATCCATTTTGATTACAAATTCAGCAATATATCACAATATATTTTTGATTATATATGCACATCTGATGATGGTCAACCACAACCAAAACATGTAGTGTTCAATAAAATAAACTGACTGGTCTATTGACATATTCAATTCCAATAGAATCAACGTGTGATATGACAGCATGAAACCCCCTAAGTCTGTATCTTCTTTGTTTGTCATGTATAGTAATACTTGTAGGACCTAAAGTTGTGAACTAGCATGATGTTTTGGACTTTGTGAACTTGGGTTTGATGCATCTCAAAGTTTGTAATTATTCTCACAGCGCAATGATATGTTTTTTTTTTATATAAAGCCAAAGCAAATAGGATCGATTTTCTTTTTGAAGAATAAATTACCTAAGATGTTTCTAATACTGAATGTATACTTGATTTATAAAGTGCTAGTGATACCACTGAATCAAATGAAACATGGCATGAGTGAAGAAACAAAGACAGAGCTGCAATCCATCAAGTCACTGTTTCCAGTCTTAGCTTGAATCACACTGTTACACATCACACCAACATAGACACTAAATCATGTTACCGCTTGTATCTATTAGGTACACAGGAATTACACACAATTATTTTACCAAACACTGCAATTGCGCAGTTACCATTTTTACTTTGTATTCAGGAGGTCCTGGGTGAAAAAGACCTGTCCTGCACATATGTTTCCTGACTGTAATTTTTTTGTGGTTTTTATTAGTTTCTGCAGATGGAATGGAGAAACAGAATATTAAAATAGGCCACAAGCACTTGTCCCATAACTTTTCCAATACAGCATTTACAAATCACCCTACCTTCAGTTCTCCAGAATATTTTTGTTGATAAGAATATTGTCAAGTGTAGGGTGGTGCGTGTGATGAAAATAATGGTAGGTTCTGGATCTGATGGTTGAATTTATTAACATCTTCCTTTACAATCATTCTTAAGTAGAGGCAATGTAGTCCAGATTGAGAATACAAGGAAAGAAATTTTAACTTGTCAGAGCAATAAGGAATGGAATAAAACTGCACAGGCCTTCTGACAGCAGACAACATATGCCTACAGATAAAACCCTTTATTAATAAATACACTTGGAAGTTATGCAGCAGATATATTGTAATGTGGATGGCAAGAGTGTGTCTAAGCAACTACCTGTAAACAACTTTCAGTCACGTAAGCACACTCAACAATAGGAAGAATGTTTATAGTTCATTGCTGGCCAACAGTCAGTGCAATAATGGGCTGGTGAGATGGCTATCATGTGACTGGCTTTCTATGGAGTCCATGCTGCAACTGTTGCTATGCAACATCACAGTAAACACTACTCTGCAACAATAGAGGCTATTTACTGTGTGGTTGGTGTGGAGGTTATATAACGACAGTTCCAGACAAAACAGATTTAAATTTTAAGTGACAGTGATAAAGTGTGGAGAGTCAAGGAGAGCTCAAGGCACTTGAGACACAAGTGCAAAGTGCTTACAAGAGAAGTGAATGCAGTTACATTCAATTCAGCCATAAGCTGGCAGAGTGAATTGGAACCAGGAGCACAGAAGAGTGCAAGAGGTCAGCCTGTGAAGATTTTACATGTGATTTGAAGGCTTTATGAGTGCTATAGTGCAGTGATATTGAGAGTGTGTAATCTAGTGAGACTTTTACAGTTTCTTTGTTGAGATCCATTGCTAGGAGATTGGTAGTGAAGACGTAGAATCCTAGTGCATGTGCAACAGTGAACTGGAAAGTGTGTACAACAGGAATAGCGCTGTATTGGCTGTATTTGAGAGTGATTAAGAGAGGCTGTAACCAAGGTACTAATAAATCAAATAATCTGAACTAAAACCCGTCATTCTCGTCCTGCATACCACCTTACAAGTGACATTATTAATTAACTTATTTATATTTATTTATGTCAGCAAACTGGATGACACTGAATGATGAACTGGAAAGAATATGAAAGGAAGTGGCCATGGTGTAATTTTAGGTCTGACGAAGTGATGTGTACCTGTGCTTCCTTGTACTACCCATAGTGCGTGGACATGGGTTGCAGAAGGTGAACACAGAAGTATATAGAAATAACCAATGACTTAAAAGCATGTTTAAGTAAAATACTAAAAATTCATTATAGTTCACAGTTTCCAGCTCAAATAACTTAATATAATGGGTGTTCAACTTAAAGAACAGGCTATCAGTAAATTACAAACTGGTAGGAAAAGAAGCTGTATACCAAAGAAATATAAATAGAAGCACAGAAGGGAAGGAAGGAATGCCAATCTGAACAATCCCTTTCTCAGCATTTGGAGCAACCAAATTTCATAGGTGTATTTTACTACTGACACTCAATTAAGTCACACTTGACTGATTGAGTCACCCTGCTCACACAAGTTTGATCCAGGTTTTAACCTAACTGAATTAAATTTTAATATTAAAAATAAAACACAGGTGCACATTTACTTACATATCAATTCTTTGGTTGCACTGCGTGACCTTGATGGACTGCCAGTTGTATCCAATTTGCTTCCATATTTCCTGATGGTGCGCTTGTCTGATGTGTCTGTAGTGCTTGAACTACTTGAACTGTTCACTGCAATTGTGGCTGCAGACTTCACATAAAAAATGTTAATTTAATTTTTGTTAATATGATGACAATGTATAGAAATACATATTAGAGAACAGAATCCAGATATTCCAAATACAATCAATCATTTTTTAAAATTTTAGTATGTGCCAATATAAATGAATTATATACAAATGACATTGAATAATATGCTCCTTGATTAGTCAGTTCTTGAACTTGGAAGTTTAAATGTTTCATTATTAGGAGATGACAGTGGACAAAGATGTTAAAGAGTTCTATCATCTGGGATGTAATGTCATGTAGTCCAGTCCCAAAAGATAGTACTCTTCAGTAATCACTATAAAAACTAAAAACCAACAGGAAATTTTAAATATTTATGAAATATGATAATATTATAAATTTTGTAGACATCTTACATTGATTTAATTTTGTTATACTTTCTATACACTGCACTGTGCTTACCTTGTAATTACTCTGAGTGGAACTACTGTACTGGTTAGATGATGATGTGTGAGAACTGCTGTAACTTGACTTTCTGACTATAACTGGCGGTGGGGCTGGTCTGCTAGGTTTCTCAATATATCGGCGGTCTGTAGAAGGTAAATATATAAAATCAGCTCATACAAATCAAGTATATTGATTCAGAAACCCAAGATTGTTATGGAGAGTGGAAGCAAGTATAAGGCAAGTATAAGTTTAACTGAGATATATAACTGAATAATTTACTAGCACTGTAGAAGGATAAAGTGACATGAAAGAAACCAGAAGAATTGTAGTACATCTTCTCACTTAATTTTGAACAGAAATCTATTTTATATTATATAAATAAAAAAATGAAGTGTCTATTCTTACAACTTTTGTGTGTTGAAAGCAATAACTTCTTGTATGTACCTAAAGAGTAATACTGTGTACCCAAACACGCTGTCGCAAGTAAGCTGAATAAACTGTGTAAATCAATAAAAATGTATCCTGGAAAACATAGTAAACATATCAATTTTAGAAAAATGACTACATTTGTAATTATTATTGCTACTTAGCTAGTAGCCATGTTCTAAAATGTCAGGATATCTGTGGTCTCATTCATGTTAATAAAGCAACGTGAACTATAATATCTTTTGTGCAAAATTTGATTGTTCCTGTAATATAATTCCTTAACACGAAGTTAAATTGTTTATACTATTAAACAAGCAAATCATGTAAATACAGTGTCTTATAATTTAAATAATTTAATATTACTGGTCATAAAATTTGAAACCATAAAGTCCTATATGAATAAACTTCACATGTATGTGTATTTACTACAACAGAAAAAGATAGAAAAAAGTGAAAGTAAAATGAAGTTCTTTTCAGTTTTCAACACGCAATAAGATTCTTAAGTGTTAGATATACAGTGAGATTATTAATTGGCTATGTCCATGCACAGTCTAACTGCTATGTGTGCTTACTCCGTGTGTTGCTACTTGCATACTTTGTCAGCTGCAGCAGCAGCAGAAAAAAAAAACCCATGGAGTGATTATTATTAGCTTACTAGCCTGCTAGCAATATCAGTCTTACACATCTTTCAGAATTAAATTTATCTGTGTTAGACACAGAACCCATAATTCTTCTTGCACTGTGGGTGCAGAAAATAACAATTTTTACAAAATATAGGAATTTCATGTATGTGACGTGCATTTTCTCTATTCCAGTATCTGTTATCTTGAATATTCATTTGTCCATTTAAATAAAATGAGAAATAAATATGTCAACAATTGACCAAACTCAATACCATGACCTAAATGAAGAACGGTTATGGAAATTAAAGCACCACATAGCTGTGAAGTAGCAGAACTATGATTCTGTAAGTCTGTAGTTGCAATAATTTTATTGCAGTTTTCATAAAGTTCCTTTTCTTTTGGGTATGGATAAATTTATACTACAGCCTTAAGTACTTTACTGAATATTATGTGAAATGTAATTCTCTAAGAAAGTGTCAGAGAAAATTTAGAAAAAATATTTCTTAGGGGTTGAGTTTCCCAAAGAAACAATTATTACAACCATCAGACAGGAAACCAAACATCAGTGTGAAGATAGCACAGAAAAAGTTGGACAGTACTGGAGGTCAGATTGAACATCCATCTTATAAGCCTGAGTAACACTTAACAAAAGGAAGAGAACATCAAAAGAGACCATGAGAAATGTAACAAGAGTTATTTACACTACTGCTTTACAAAATCACAAATGTACATTCTTCACAGCCATGTGACCAATAATTTCTGTTAACTGCAACCTTCAGTCAGTTTATGACAGTGCATTTGATCCTGAGGTGACGTTTGGTTTTTGAATGGTGATGCTGAAAAACAAGAGTACTGGAGCAGAGGAAATCCATATCTTATACATGAAGTTTTGCTGTATGACATAAAAGGTTCTGTTTGGTATGTCCTGTATGGGAGGAGGGTTATGTTTTCTGTGGTCTGTTTGTCTAACATTAACTGTGATAAGCACTGCAAGGGAACCATTAATTATGACTCTATGAAACTATTTCTACACCTAATCAGCTGAGTAGGAAAGGAGGCAAACCATGCAGCAAGCTTACATAGGAAAAAGGCGATGACCTGACATAGTCACTAAATGTCCTCCTGTCATTATAAATATCAGATAACTTATACTCTAATATTTTAATATGCAGTTTACTCTACTAGAGATGCAAATGCAAATGCACAGTTCATTGGATAAATGAGGTTTCTTAAAGGTAATCATATTACATAAGTTAATGAAGCTAAATAAATAGGAAGTTGGTAGTGGGTTACCTCCAGAGTACATCAACTTATTAGCTAATTCAGCTTGCTCAGCACTCTCTCCAAGGCCTAAGGAAGGAACAGAACAATCAAAATCATTAGCAGAATGTAATAATAAATTAGCATAATTTGTGATACTTCAGGTACACTACCACATGAACTGTACTGAAATTATATTGTTAAAGGAAAGCTTTCAAATACATGAAGAGAATGCACTAAAATATATTCCATGCCTCTCCTGTAAATTTGAAAATTTTGTTCTACACCATGCAAGTTCATGCAAAATCTGAGAGAGCTAAACTATCATTTACTATATCAACAGGTGACAAGAATATTTTATATGGGAAATATCAAGATGTGTAGTTGGTTGAGGTACTATGCTACAAGCCGGAAGGTTGGAGGTTCAAGTCTCAATGAGGTCACTGGATTTTTTTCCGTTGACCTAATCCTTCCAGCCACACTATGGCCCTGGGGTTGACTCAGCCTCTACCAGAAATGAGTACCAGGAATTAATTAAATAATTTTCCTGGGAAGCAAAGCACGGCTGGCATGTAAGGCTGACAACCTTACAGCCACCTTTGAGCCAACTGTCTGGAAAATGTGGGAACCTCAACGTCTCACAACCCTATGGGCCTTCACGGCCTGTTACAGGGATAGCTTACTTTAAATATCAAGATGATTAAACAAAATTTAATTAACTTACTAACAAAATAAATCTTCCAGGTTCAGGTTCAGAGAAAATAACTGTGAGAGCATTACTGAAGACATGGATTGATATACCTTGTAGCAATATCATGATTATACATAGTCTTCTCAGTTGCAAAAAGAAGATGGTGGAGGAAATAAATAGAGGATTTAGTCCTCAGTATTTACGATATATGTGTGTTTCTGTTACATAGGAAAGAAGAAATATCATATTGATAATGTGAAGTATAAGATTCTGCACTCTTATTTGCACACTGCAGTTCTATACAAAAACTGCTGAGCTGGCTTGCCATTACAATTCATTACTGTGAAACTCATGAAATAAGATTTATATGCAAATGTGTGCTCAGGGACAATTACAGCAAAGAAATTCTTTTGTTTTCATACATTCTAAGAAACACATATTGATGATCATAGCTACAAAACAAACTTCTTGTAAATATCTTTCTTTGCATGGGAAGATTATAATGGGAATTTTAGTTGCTTCCACAGTGCACTCACCATGAAATGTGTTTAAATAATGCCAGGCTTCCTGGCACACAATTTCCAGGCTGCTTAAATATTTTCCCAAATGTTCACAAACTCTAAATCCATTCGAACTTTATGACACGCTGAAGAGTAGTATCTTCTGGGAAGTGACAGCCTGTAGCCTGACAGAAGCCACTCAATGTTTTGGACAGACATACTGCCTCCATCTTCAGGGTCAAAAAGTGAACCATGCATGTAGCCAGTAAACACACCCAAAAAGTTAGTGGACTTCTACCATATTAAACAGCATCATATCCCAGAAGACAATGCTTTTCATAGTTACTGCTGTTATAACCTGAGATCATTAAGATATTTACAAAATATTAAACAAAAACTGTAACTCAAGTGGTAATAGTGTTTGTGAGAAAGGACAAGTGCACACAAAAGTTCTGTGCACCCATTACACAGTGTAATGTAATAAGCATCACCTGTTTGGGAGTCATGCAAGTTCCTTCTGTTTTTCACATGACTCATTAAAATATAATGCAACCTAATATTCAGAATGACATTCATAGCGGTCTGACAGGTCTATTCAATGGGGAATGTAATAATCTTCCTTCAGAGGTAGCTAAGATAAATTTTTGTAATTTAGCTAACCTTCATTATCTTCAGAAGGGGAAATGAGTGCATTAATTGAAATGTAGCCAGTCAGAAGTACCAAATCTTTCACTATTTAACCAGAGTACGATAGTTATGTGACAGTTGCAGTTATGTGAGGAGAAACGGTAATATGTTAAATAAAAGACCAGTAGTCATACCTTCAACAATAACTACACAACTTGTCTCATCAGAGCCATGAATGTTGGTTGCCACACAGCGGTACTTCCCAGAATCTTCAGGTTTGCAGTCCACAATTTCCATTGTAACCAGTCCATCAGAATGTGTCATATTGTATTCATACTTCGTCAATTCCCTCTTCTCTTTGAACCATTTTACCTGTTAGCAGAAAAGGACTGATTAAAACTGCAGTATACTTTCACATTCAGTTCATACCAGTATAAATTTTACTTAAATATTATACAGCTGCTAGTGGTATTATATGAAGAAATAAAAAGAAATACACTTCACAGTACTATGGAGAATACTGAACAGAACTAAATGATTTTGAGCTACTGAGCTCAAAATATAATGCTTGGTTTAAATGAGGCTTTCTAATCATCATGAGAATGGGATACTTTAGTTATGAGAAAGAGAAATACATAACAGCAAGTTGAAGGGATGAAAACAAAAACTGTACGCAAGAAACATGGAATTAAGTTACAAACTTTTTCTACACTTCTCACAGAGAGAGAAAATTGTTTCACACTGTAATATTGATCAAAATATGTATGCTCATGTTCAGAAGTATGAGGTTATTAACAAGGTGGTTAGCTGATTTTGACCATACATTCACAGAAAACTTGGTCAGCAAATCTTTTCTGTTTAATTTAACAAATTTGTACCAGCACTTGAACACATAATATACAGAGCATACATGCGAGTTTAATATTTCTTCCAGACACTACGGAATCAACTAAAATATATCATAGAAGCACCTCTCAGCTTAAATAAGCAGATAAAAATACAGGTAAAATGACCTAGAGAAGAGTAATATACCAAAGTTGGCATGTGAGTCAATTGAAATGCACCTGCAGAGAGATGCATGCCAGAGTGACAGATGCGATCAATATCAGTTAAGCCCTTTGTGGATGCAAAGGCATAGATAAAAGATACGTAATGAAGATGTGAGGTACTGGTAGTGTTGAAACATTACTGCTCTGTCTATTCTCTAAGAGACTCTATTTGAAATTTGTAATATACTGAGATTTCTCTGACACTTTTTCCACAGTTTCAAAGGTGTAGTTCCCATCTCAGTTGCTTAAGGTTATTCCTACAAATATAACAGATTCTGCAAATGCAGAGGGCTGTAGTCTGCGAATAGACTGAGGTATGGGAATATATCCCTGTGCTCCTAAAAATGAACACATGTATTCTTCAGAAATGAAAATTTGAAACTAATCTCCTGACTCTACCACTTGATGGGTGGCTGCAGTTTTAATTCTATGGCTGAGACTGGGACTGGTATCATATGACAAAGTTTTTGACATACAGCGAGCACAGTATGGGGCAAGGAACATAACCTGTGATACCATGATGGCAATGGCAATTGAGGATTGACCCCTAACAGATACTGTTCTCCTGTATGTGAGGAGGCAAGAGAAGTATACCATGGTGGATTCAAAATCATCAGTGAGATGTAAAACCGAATAAGATGATTGGTAAATGACCTTTCAGTGTTCAATGATGAAGGGTTCAGAGAATCGTGTACTGCCAACGTGTGCTATAGGCCTATTTAATATATAAAAAAATATCCATTTTATGTTGTTTGGTTAAAGAGGCTAGTTAGATCTGTTTCTCCAGGGATACCAGATCGTCCCTAAGGAGCAGATGTGTCTGAAGCCACACTTTACGAGGGAGAGTCAGTAAATAGGTCACATATTGAAGTAAAACTGTTTTATTGAATGTAATAGGTTATCTATGTGTATTATTAAATAGCAGTACAGTTCATCTTCATGACAGTCTAGGTACTAGATGTGCATGTGCATTTTCAGAGGCTGGTTTTAGCTGTCAAAATTCAGAGCATGCTTGAGAAGTATACCACCAAAGAGCAGCGTTCTGTTGTGCTTATTTTGAGGCAAAACTGAGCAATAACTGAGGCAGTGTATTTCAGAGTGTTTAAGTTACAGTGAGAGAGTTCTTGGTGGAAGATAGCCACAGAGGGTTCATCATGTGAAGACCTGGCATGTTTATTAGAAGGCTTTAATTATGTGTAATACTTGGAGTGCAGAGGTTTCTGCATAAATAATAAGTGACATTTTATAAATAAAAATGTATTATTTTTGTGAGATATTGTGCACGAAAATAATGTTCTCGGAAAAGACTTGATGTGAGAACATAGGGTGTAAAGCTATTCATAATTTAATTAATTCACTTTGTATCTATGTTCAGAAGACTGACATTGAGCCTACAAATTTTATGCTTCATCTAGATGTCCCTCTTCCCAAAAAGATTTGCAACCCCTGCTGCAGACTGTTCTAATAGACCCAAAGAAATTCATGTAGCCCCAAAGCCATAAGTTGCTTATTCCTATTTGATTCTTCATTTTGTATGATTCTAATATATTCCATGTAAAACCTACTGTCGGAAGAGGCTTGCCACTGAGACAGCAGAGTAGTTTACAGGTCTGTCGAATCTGCATTACTCGAGGTCGCAACAGGAATGTGAAAACTGGAGCAGATTCTTTCTCTTCTTGCCATAAAGTGTATCCCAATGGTTCACGACGACGCACTGGTTGCACTTCTGGTCTGTACTGTGGCACAACCTTTGGAACAGCTGTAAATAAAAACCATAATATATGATTTCTCACAAGACTGTAATTTCTTCTTCATTTTGCATTGATAAGAAAAGCATAGGAAAATCATTCTTATTCATTACAGTAAGAAAATCCTAAGACTAGTAACTTGCTCCATCAATTATATAAACACTGACCATGAAATCTTCCTTGCCATTTAAGTGAAGTATCATTTATCTTTGTAGCCAACAATGACATAATATTTAGATCATTCAATGATAAATTATAAATAAATAATTTTGACATATGAAGATGTGCAAGTGTCACCTTTACTTCATTATCTGGCATGTACGAGGGGGTACCCAAAAGAAACCGAACATATTTTTTTTTAAACTTATTTATTCAAATTTTAAGCACAACAAACCTTCAATCCCCTTCAAAGTACTCTCCACTTACACTAATACACTTGTCTAGTCTTTTATTCCATTTTTCAAAACATTGTCTAAATTCATCTTTTGATATGCTTGACAGCGCCTCCGTCGTTTTTTCCTTTCATGTCTCTTTTCAATCGAGGAAACAAAAAAAAAGTCGCATGGGGCAAGGTCGGGTGAGTATGGAGGGTGAGGAACAGGGGTCATATCATTTTTGGTCAAGAATTGTACAGACAGGGCTGTGTGAGCAGGGGCATTGTCATGATGGAAAAACCAGTCACCCGACTGCCACAAATCTGGCCGCTGAGCACCAAGTCACTCCCGACAGCTCCACAATTTCTTCAATGGTCCGTCGTCGATCTTCCTTGATGATTTCACGAATTTTTTCAACATTTTCATGTGTTCGGGCCGTGGAAGGACGACCAGAACGAGGTTTGTCATCAATTGACATTTCACCATTTTTGAAACGGGAAAACCACTCAAACACTTGAGTTTTCCCCATAGCATCGTCCTTGTACGCCGTTTTTAACATTTCAAGAGTTTCTGTTCCACTTTTCCCGAGCAAAAAGCAGAATTTCACCGCCGCACGCTGTTCACGAAAATCAGCCATTGCAAAAACGACGATCACACAAAACAGTTGTCACTATAAACTCTGCCGAAACTAGTCCTTACCTTCTGAAGCAACGGTAGTCGGCTTATCGACTCAGGAATGTTAGCTCTATGCGCTCATAGCGGCAAAACGCGGTACTACAAAAGCTCTGCCCACAAAAAAATTAGTTCGGTTTCTTTTGGGTACCCCATCGTAATTTATCTTAAAGTCACTTACAAGAAGTTTGATTAATGACTGAGTATTGTAGTTTATAATTATTTATATATTACACATTAAATATATATTCAAATTTATTCTGCCATTGAAAAACTTACGCTGAACATTAAGGAAAACAATTTCTTCTCTGTAACCATAATGGTTCTCTGCACGGATGATATATTCTCCCCGATCCTCAAGCTTCACTCGGTTGATTATAAAAGTGAAATCATCACCAGCATAACGTTTCATGAACTTAACACTCTGCTTTAGCTCAGAATTGTTATGGAACCAAGACAATGTGGGAGCAGCAATTGCTATGACACGGCAGGAGAATTTGGCACTCTGGCCTTCATAAGCAAATGCACTCTGTGGCTTTATCACAAACCGTGGAGCTGCCTGCCTTCGATCTGGAATATAAATAGGATTTTCTTGAATTCAATAGGTTCACATGAGTTTTACTAAGTTACATTTATTCAGCTGGGCATGAACTGAAATTCTTTATATTTTTAGACATTTGAAATAGATTGTATTTGAACAATATAATACTTCTTCAATAAATTTAACATAATGAAAGCTTGATGATTTATTACAAAGAGTGTGAATTTATACCGTTCAAGAATGTAGATATTTATGGCATTTTGAATCACTGTTCTATGAAATATTATTTTACACAGGTGCTATTAATGCTGTTGATAGATAACTGCATTCAAAATTATAATAGCACAATATTTCTTACCGAATGATGAATCATAAATACGGTATTTATCAACCAACAACTTTCGCAGGGAGCTGTATTCAGCCAGTCGGCCAATGGGAAGCACAAACTTGTCCCAGTCTGAATACTTAGCCCGGATCTTGTCCCTCATGTTGGTGTAACGGGAAGAGCTGATGACATCAGTACGATTGCTGTGATCACCAGTCAGCCAGGCATGCAGCAGACATTCATGTGCAGTCATACGTTTCCTATTCAATACAAATAACAAGTCAATATATATGAAGTTGGAAACATACAGATTTATGGAAACAGTCTTTGAGAAAACTAAACTAAACATATTTGCTCAATAGCCAAAACACTACTTCCAAAACCTTTTGGGTTCGTATAACAATTTTTAATTCAGCTAACCGATACTTACTCTTTGTTCTTTACAAGCAGCCGTCTAATAAAATCTTTTCCTTCCTCTGAAACATTAGCAAAAGCTTCTTCATCAAAGTCCCAGTCACATGCCTTCACATTCTTCAGAGTTTCTATATCATTTTCACCAGCAAATGGTGACAAACCACTCAACCTGAAAGCAAACACAACTGCAACAAATACTTAAAAAAATTAACTCCTCTGGATGCAATTACAGTAACACGTTTAGCTCTATGGCCCAAGTAATGTATGCAGTTTTGTACACAGGGGTTGCCAATCAGGCTGAAACACAATATTCTATTTGACAGCTGTTGCGGCTGACACCCACTGGTTTCTTTGAACGATGTTCAATTATTTGGAAAGGGCAAACAAAGCTCCTCTAGTAATAAATTTTTATTTCAGCCTTTCTTTGAATAAAGTTGTCAAGGAAAAGTGAGGAATCATAATGTTGAATTATGATGAAGGCATTGCTTTCCATTACACATATGTCAAGCATGTGCCATAAAAATGTATTAAAAGCAAGTAGATTTAAATTTCCAGGAATTATTGTGCTGGTGGATTTTCAAAACTTCTAACTCAGTGAAAGGAATATAAATATAAGGAATTTTCTTGAAAGTAGGCCGTCTCCTTCAAAGAATTTATCAATGTTCATCATTCTGATCTTAAAATAATATTTTGAATTGACCAAGCATGTACTTTGATCAGCAAATGTAATGAGTAAGAGTAGAAGATACTAAGCTTCCCTAATCTCAGACTAACACATGAAGCGTTCACATTAAAAATGTATACACAGTACACAGTTACTGCTGCAGTAATTAAAAACAGAACTTTTCACAGGAAGAGTTAATTACAACAGACATATTAACAATATTCTCTTGCTATTTTGATAATGTTATAATATATTTATTTATTTGAATAAGTCAACAAAGTCTGGTTATTTTCAACGTGTTTTAAAAAAAAAAAAAAAAAGACCTTTTTACATAAACTGTATAAGAAGTTTTGATGACAGAACCATTGGTCATGGTTTATAGATTTCAAGACTCCTAAATCGAATCCCTGACACTTTACAGATTTTGAAAATTTTAAAGGATTACACATAACATTAATTCCAAAATACTGGATTAAAACAAGAAACATTCATCAGGCAATATCAAACAAACTGCACTTCGTGTCCTGGAACATTTCAAAAGATAACAGAAAGACAGCAGACACCTTCAGTGCATCTTGAAATTTTATCTGATTTTATACTGCAAATTAATTAATAAGACTGTCATCTTGATTCCCGAGACAGTAATTAATAAGAATGTTATCTTGACTGGCTAGACTCATGTACTCATAATGAACTTGTAAATATCAGCCGTTTATTTATGCCTTTAAATTCTGATAGCCAAACCATAAATCTTAGATTGTCTGATGGCAAAAAAAAAATGAATCTATATTTCATGGAATTGTTACTCAAGATTTCATTCTAATAAAATGACTGCTGTATATTAATGCATTAATATATTGTATGCATGTGTGTGTTACTTTGTGTAAGTGTTCGCATGTGCATGCATGCAGATGCTCATGAGTTACTTAGAAAAGAAAGAACTGTCTACAAGCACTGCTATTTTTTGTCATAAGTTTTCATTTATTCATACAGATGTGAAACTGTACTTACAAGACATAAGCCAAAACACCAACTGCCCACATGTCTGTGTAGAAGCCCACTGGCTCTCTCTCCACAATCTCTGGTGCAGCAAATTCAGCTGTCCCTGTTGATATCTTCACAACCTCATTTGGATCCAACTTTGTTGCAAGTCCAAAGTCTATCAGCTTGACATTTGTACTGTTTCTTGTCTGACACATGATATTTTCAGGCTTGATGTCTGTTGGGAACAATTAACTCATTTCTTTATTATATAGATCTTATATTCTTGAAAAAGAAATGTGCAGATATTATGCTATGAAGCTATATCCCTGTGCTTATCTATATACCACACTCTCAAGATGTATCACACCATGCAGATATACTCCTTTGTATAATTAAGCACTACTTCCAGAAATATTATTGGGGAATGGAAGCAGGGTTCCACACATTCTTAACCTAGCCACTTAATGAAATAACAGTATTGTGCCCTGGATACTTCACAATTGATACCCGCTGGAAAGGAGGCTGAATAGGCCCACAGAGCCAGTCTGGTTGCAGTGACAAAGAGAAAAGTACTGTCAGGAGTCAAATCCCTGATATCCAGCTCATAGCCCAGTCACTGGAGTGATTTAAATATTCTGACTCCTCAATGTGCAGATAGCATAATTAATAATATTGCCATGTTACCTACCCAAATGAATTATGTTCTTCTCATGCATGTGCTTGACTCCTTCACATATCTGGCGCATATAATTAATTACTTCAGCCTCTGACATAGAATATCCTTCTGCTGTGATACGCTCAAACAGTTCTCCTCCTGACAAACTGTGAAAAAACATGAATTTAATTATAAAAATAAGGATCAATTTCTTAAACACTTTCACAAGTTACTGGAAGAGACAAAACAGAAATAAGAAATCAGTATATATTCTAAAGTTCTCACAGTAATTACAGAGGTCTTCTTTGTGATAAGCAATATTCATTCAAAATTTTATAGACATATATGTTTGTGACAATAGTATATTAACACAATCATTTTGTTTCTGGACTTTTTTCCACCATCCTGTCTTTATTTAAATCATATAACATGTCAGAGACAGAATCTGGTCTCCTAAATGTGTGATAAAATACAAGCAGGACGATGGATAATGTCCAGAAACACAGTAACCGTATTTTGGAGACATTCTCTGGTGGAAGAAGAAACGTTCCTGGAAGTGCCTAAGTTGATTATTTATTGGTGTGGCCAAACATCTAAGAGTATACCACTACATGAAATTTAGTATTTGAGAAGTAACCTACATAGAGTGATTTTCAGTGAGTAAATAATGCAAAGATTTGGAGGAAAAATGGAAGAAACCTAAAGAATTCTGTCTTTTACAGCCTACAGCCAATTCACTCTTCCAGTGCTGAATTGTGACTGTTGAATTATGTAATGCACAATTCATGTGAAGATTTCCATGTTTGTGTGTCCACTTTTTTCTGACATAACATTTGGCTTGAGAACCCAGGTAAAAAACAGCTGAAATCAAGGGAGTATTTTCTTGTTATTTTGCTGCAGTTCTCCAAATATAAGTGGATGATAATTGGATACTATCATTAATAACTGGATGCCCATGACAAAGGACTTCACCAATAATCTGAAGAGCCAGTACCTGATTTGTTCTTGTCTTGACTCTAATCTTAGAGATGGGACACAATTATCAGAATCTCTGAAGGACTACCTGCAGACTCTACTAGAACAGTTTCACCTATATAGATGGTGGTCCTCTGAGTCATGACATTGTGTAATCTGGAAGACAGGTACCATCGTTCTGGAGGAATACACTGCCTCCAGTTTTATACTGAGTAGCATACTCCATATACAGCAAGGTGGCTCAAGCCATACATTTTCTAGCTTGTATTCGAGAGGTTTTCAGTTAAAATCACAGTGGGACACTAACTAAGCTAAGTGACATTGTTTGTAGTTTTCCTCAGTCATTTGCCCGGATAGTACTACAAATTAACAATGACCATTTCTTTCTGTATCTATTCTAATAATTATTCACTAAACACCCTTCCTTGCATTACATTTAAGCATGTTATGAACAGCAGAGAATATTTAATTTTACAGCATTAAGCATGGAGAAAGGTTAAAGAGCTCATTCCTACAGCCATAATTCACAGCAACTGACAATTCATTATAAACTTAGCACAACCATTAACTAGATGTCCCCAAGTGAAAGTAAAACATAAAAAGAAACATCACTTTTGAGGGAGTGACCAATATATTGAACAAAATATTTGAGTTCAACAATATACAGAAATGTTATACAATAAGGAGAAATGTTATGTGTTGTCATGCTTATGGATCTTTTTTGCGAATATTAATATATACAGTTTGTGATGAAACTAATATCTAGAATACTATACAACTACAACCTTTTTAATACTACAATCTCATACCAATTTTATTATCTGCTTACACTGCTGTATGGTTGTACTAATGAACTTGTGAAATTCTAGAGCAATAGCAGACTTACAACTCAAAGATGAGAACCATTTCATCATCATCTTCAAAAGCATCATGAAGATTAATGAGTTTAGGATGGTGTAGCTGGTTCATGATATCAATCTCCTTTCTTATTAGCTCTTTCTCCATAGCATGAGAAACAGGAATGAATTTTGCAGCAAAGATATTCCCTGTTTTTCTTTCACGACACCGGTGAACAACACCAAATGCTCCAGTACCAATTTCTTCCAGTATATCATACAGGTCATATACACTCGTGGTCTTGATCTCCACTGGTTGAGGAACGTATTTGGAGTAGATATCAAACACTGCAATAGAGTTAATTACAATTTGTGTGTCAAATTTTTTATAAACAGACTTGGGAAGGATTCTGACAATGGTGTATGCTGTACAGAACTATAAGGCTTATTTTCGACTTGATCTCTCTCCGTCCTCAGGTGGATGGGGCAGGATAGACCTACTCAGTTGGGCCCATCAGAAAGAGCTAGTCTCAATCACTGGTCCAGTGATGGATAAAGTCCAAAATTAGCCTTATAGTTCTGTAAAAAAGTTTTTATAGTTGAACCATTTATTTACACTGTAAATTGCAGACAAAAACCCCAAGGCCTCTGCCAAGAACTGAACTGTGGTCATCTGGTCCATAGTCAGTTATTTTTATGCCTGTGCTTTCACTATATTTAGCACTCCCAATATATGTACATATTAATTTAACAAAAGAAACAATTACTACTGAGCCAATACTGGTATATTACTGCATATATTTACTTACCATACTGATCATAGTCATTCACATTTCCATCTGCCTGACCACGTATCTTCTTTCCAGTAGCATCCACTGTAAGCAAATACCAAAAATTTGTTAAGTGAGCAGAATTAATTAAGCTTCAAAATATGTCAACATAATGGGAGAATTTTCTGAGAGAGAAAAGAAATATCATTCATTCATACATGGGTTAGGTAACAATTGCAGCCTATAATAATAATAATCTATAATTAGATTTAGTATGAAAACTTTTTATAATATAGATACCTTCATACTGTTTTTTCTTGATGGCTTTCTTTCCACTATCTTTTGTTTTGACAAGGCCTGAAACTTCACTAGGATCACTTCGACCATATATGTTTTCTGCATAGACACGGAACTCATACTGATGTCCTGGACTGAGACCTGTAATAGCCATGTTGGTGAATCTTGTACTGCCCACACGAATCCAACTGGACATTGGGTGCTCTCGCCTTTCTACCAAATAATTTGTAATGTTACTTCCGCCATCCCAACCTGGTGGCTTCCATGTCAATGCCAAGGAATCATGGCCAATATTGTCCACAGCTGGATATCTTGGAGGATCTGGTCGATCTAATAAATAAAAATTATTTGTTATTACAGCAGGACTATACATTGAAAATAAATTATGAAACTACATCAGTTGCAATTTATGTCATGAAAAACTTTTTTTTTCAGTTTTACAGTTGATTATAATTTATTTAGAGTAGCACAGCTAGACATAATGCCAGATGTTAGTTGGAAATTAACTCAAGCCTTTTTATTAGGATCAAAATTTCCATATATTAAATTCCTGAGTGCAGAAGGCACTATATATATGAAAATCAAAGATCAAAATTTCCATATATTAAATTCCTGAGTGCAGAAGGCACTATATATATGAAAATCAGCAGAGATATAATCAATCCAAAGTTGTTTAGGCATCACCTAACCCATTCTTTAATTTCTTAATTGCAGAACACATGCTACTGGAAGCTACTACCAGTCTTGAATATACAATAATTTCAATTTAGCATGCAAGCTATTCCTTAGCTAGTTAACCAATTAACTAACTTCATGTAATGGAGTCCTTTATTCAGAAGATAACAATCACTCATTTACTCAAGAAGTCACTGCATTTTATTGAAGCTGCTGGGCACTATGTTCACCTACATGAATGAAGTCCACACTCCTACCCTGTTTCTTTAGGATAAATTTTAGTTTTATCCACTGATGTATGTCTAGGTATTTTAAAGGCTCTCTTCAGCTTTCCTGAACACAATTTTGCATGAATCTGTGACCACCTGCATGTGTTCTACATGCTCCATCTATCTCATCCTTCATAATTGATCATCCTAATAATGTCTGATGAACAGAACAAATTATGAAGATCCTTATTCTGACATGTCAATGCAGTGCCAGGCAACAGCTCAGTAAACAAACATCAAAAATAGAGAGAGGCTGTTTTCTGTGTGGTCCATGCCATGGCTATATAATATGCTATTGAGTACCCACCACAGTCTCAAGGCCAGAAAATACCACTTCCTATTATTGTTGTATTCAACTGTTGCCATGCAACTGTTGCTTAGTGGTGGCATGTGAATGCTTGTGGCTGCCTAGCAATGACTGTTTGTCTCATTTGTTTCATAGCCGTTGCCTACAAACGGATGTCGTTTTAGAGCCATTTGCTAGCGATAGCAGTTTCTCTGGCTCTACAGTTCTTGCTTTGAGCAATCATGCTACAATATTCAATGCTACAGAAGAATGACTGGTCACTTCAATTGCTTTGATGCTCTGCAGTCCAAATTACTGACAGCATTGCTGAGTGAACTACAAATACATACTGGGATGTGGATGGTGCAATGGGAAGTAGGGGTCACGTGAACTCTGCAGTCTCGCGGGTGACATCACATACCCCCACCCCTTCCATTATCACACAATGCTTGGTAAACACTCCGTCGCCTCCTGTGGTGACGTAACAAGGGATACCGCGGTTACTACACAGCAGTAAACAACTCTCGACAGTGTTGCCCAGGAACGCCTGTAAACACGGAGGCTATGCAACAGGGGAGCCTGTGCAATGACTCATGCTAAGCAATTGGTAAACACGACGTTACACAACAGTGGTACCTATCATGTAACTGTTTTCTGTGTTGTCCGTGCCGAGCCTAAATAAGGAACAGCGAACACTATTCAGTAGCGAGTTACTAGTGAGTAACGATTAACTAGTCAGTTGAATTGTAGAAGTCGCCGAGTCTGGTTGTATCGAGTGCATGGCAGTGACTACAGGAGAAGTATTTATGATACTGCCAATGGCAGTAATTGTGAGATTGTGAGAGCAAGTGTTCAATAAATTCGCTATATCCAACATGGCATGAAGTTACTTGTCACGTGACATACACCCAACACGTGACAATATATTGAATCACACCTTCTAGAACACCTCCCAGAACCAATAAAATACATACCACTGATCTGAATTTTTATAATTGCTGAATCCATGCCAAGATCATTTTCAGCAAGAAGACGATATGGGCCAGTGTCTAGTTTACTTCCATCACGGATAGTGAGGATTGCATGCCTCTCCTGTAACAGAAAATAATTATCATTAAATCTGTAGGTTGTTTAATAACACTGTTATATTCATCAATATGCATGAAAATTAAGGTTGATGACTTGGAGCAGGACCATCCCAGCCTGGTCTCCATAGCTTTCAGCCACATGGAGATTCATATGACCAGGTGAGGTATTTACATGTGAGACTGTTTCTGCAATTTGATCTCTTTCATAAATTACAGATTGGCCAAGTGAGATATACATGAATTGAACACCAGATACTCATCTGGCCAAGACACCTTGTTACAAGACAGAGATGGTACTACACAGAATGGTGATGGGTTTATGACAGGGTTGATGTTGAGGATAGGGTAGATGAAATATTTCCTTAATATTTTGAANGCCATCTGTGCAGATGTGGAGATTGAGCACATGGCTTCAGGTTGTGGAGACAGAGTTTCCAAGTTCAGCATCATTGGAAAAGGTTATATTTCATACTTAGAAATAGTGTTCAGATTTCTGTCACAAACTTATCTGTATTTGTGCCAGGATGATCCAGGTGCAGGGTGTCCTGGTATTTCTTTCAAAGATGCTGATGTGTAACAAAGTTCTTACAGCTTGTTTAATTTTTGGCCTGTGATATGTAAGCAAGGGCAATGGACTTGTGTGTGTGTGTGTGTGTGGGGGGGGGTCATGTTTATGTCACTAAAATTTATAATTTTTTATTTTTAAGGCCCTATGAATTCTCCATTGAAATAAAGTACCAAAGAATCTGTTAATCTAATTATACTTATTTAATAGACAACTATGTGAATGTTAATAGAGAATAAGCTATCAGAAATAAATCCTACTATTTAATTGCAAGTATATGAACGTTTTGCATAGAAGACAGCTTTGAATTATCTTGTATACAATGTAACATTCATAATAAATATAAATAATTTCAAGCAGACAATAAAGGATGGTGGTACACCGTCAATCACTGCAAGAGAGTACAGCTCCTGGTAGCTTTCAGAGTGCATCAGGCACAGTGTGTCCAGATGAAAGGTATCCAAAATATAAAATTTATATCTCGGAAACTAATTGTCACACACATATCCAGTTTATGTCATCAGAAAGGAAAACTCTGATAGTTGTTTTATTTTTCATGCCCCACTTACACACATGTACCAGCTAGTGACCTTTGGCAAGCTCAATAACAATGTCGACAACACAGGAACAGTTTCAACGCATTCTGTGGCTAGCAGAGTTGCAGTCTCTTATAGCTGTCCAGCGTCGTTTTAGAATGCAATGCATATGAACAACAACCTCATATATGGAAAAGCATTCAGTTCTGAGACAACAAACTGAGGACTGCAGTTAGTCTGCTGCATGTAAGATCTCCTGGAAAGGCAAAGACCTCTGAAGAAAATGTCAATTGCATTAGAGAAGTATTCCAGTAAAGTCCATGCAAATCAGTTCATGCTGCTAGCTTGCAGCTACATACAAATTCCACGTTCAACAGTGCATGATGTACTACACAAAAGGCTCCGCCTAAGAGAGTGCAAGATTCAAATGATTCATGCACTAAAACCAAATGACCAAGTTGCATGCACAAACTTCTCTGTGGACATGCTAGAAAGAACTGACACATCATCTGATATCCTCCATCACGTGTGCTTCTCGGATAAGGTGATGTTCCACATCAATGAAGCTGTAAACAGGTACAACTGCAGAATTTTGGACAGTCAAAATCCACATGTCACATTCGAGTAGGAGAGAGGCAGCCCCAAAATGAATTTGTGGGCTGGGCTGCCTTAACGCATCACCGTTTCTCTTTTTGGAAAAGGTTATGTTCAGACGTTTGTACCTGGACATGGTGGATCTGTATGTGCTATGTCAGGAATCACTTGGACAGAGAGATGGCTGGGAGATGGATCAGCAGAAGTGGACCAATTGCTTGGCCTCCTAAGTTGCCAAATATAACCCAATTGGATTCTTTTGTGGGGTCATGCGAAGAACACTATCTACCAGGTTAAGATCAATGACCTTCAACACCTGAAAGCAACGTGGAACAAGGTCAAATATCATCTGGTTATTTGTCGTGCCACCAAGGAAGCTGACATTGGAATTTATAGAGAAATTTATATGCTCAGAAAAAAAACTTTGATAGTTTTCCTTTGTAATGTTGTAACACATGTTGTAATAAATGCTTTCTGAGATATAATTATTTTGTTTTTGATACCTTTCATCTGGACACACTGCATTATTACATGTTCTACAATCATTTACATCAAGTAATGAGACAGCAGATTGCACAGAAGAAAATAACGAAAAGCTTGATCGAAGAAATATTTTATAATGTGAACAAATTCATGAAACAGAAGAAAGAGTGGGAACCTCTTCTTCCAAACTACATGAAAATCAGAGTTACTGAAGCAACTGTCATTTCTCAAAAGTGTAAATTGACAAATACTGGAAAAATGTAATCTTTAGTACAATTAACAAATTTAATATCACTGAAGGTCAATATGAAGCATGAAATGCATTTTAAACAACAGGCAGGTGTTACATATTTTTATACATTACACAGAATTACTAATCAGGTGAAAACCACTTTTTTTCTTACTCTGTGTAATGACTATGCATTAAAAGAGACATACAAAGATGACATGACATTACTGAATGTGTAAAATAGAAAACAGTGTTGATGTCAGTATAGAACTTCATCCTAACACCTTAGATATCTAATTATTAATAAAACAAAAATGATCATACCTTAACCTCAACTGCAAAGTGTCCACCAGACTCCACAGTTTCTCCATCCTTCTGCCAGGTGATTCTTGGCTTGGGGGAACCAGTGAAAGGAATCTTGATAACAACATTTTCGCCTTTATCAAAGAATGCTGTATCACGGAACCGAGGTGGTACATTTAGCTTTGGTGCAGCTATGGAGACAATTAATTACATGTCAATATTTATATAGTTAACAGATAATAATGGGATTATTCACAAATGTATTTGTGGAGAAGTCTATCTGTCCTGTAAATGAATGGTGTCATCTCAAACTCATGTCTGTATAATATTTACCATACTATCTCATAATAAAAACAGTAACTTTCAGTTAAGTTTACTTCTTTATGTTTGAGCCAATTAAGGGCATTTCTTCAACTATATGCCATCAAATTTTGTGTTGATTGTGAATGATGGAATTGGAAAAGAAATCGAAATGTTTTACCTTCCCTTCTTGTTTTATGCTGTTACCACAGAATTGCTTAGAGAGACTGTGGAAAAGTTTAAAACCTTTGTAAGGATAAAGGACTTTAAGGCTGAAATCGAATATGGGACCTCTTCAATATGAAGAAGTATACTAATCACTCAACTGTTATGTTTAGTAATATAGTATATAGTAATTTTCAAGAAAATTTCAACCACTTTTAATCCATTCTGTATCAGTATAATAAGTTTCATAAGTATATGCGCCTGACTTTATGAAAGATGGATGGTTGATATATGAACCTTGTGGAAATGTGCTTAAATTGTTTAAGCACTTAATATTTTAACCTTGTGCTATTACCAAAGATGTTTTTGATTATGTTACACACAATGTGGGTCTCCTTTATGCATCGGGTATTGTGTAACTTTTTGGACCTGAAGTTGTGAATCTGTGAAGCAGAATTTGGACCTTGTGGATGTAGCAGTGATGCATCTGAAAGTCAGTTTTGCTGCTATCACCAATACAAATTTGTCATAAAAATCGTGAAAAAATTTTGTTTCTTTTCCTGAAGAATAACTTATTTATGTTGAGTATAATGCTGAATGAATGCAAGATTTATCAGGTGACAGTGACAACATTCAAACAGATCAAGCATGGCATGAGAGAAGAAGTGGAGATGCTGCTGTAGTATATCAGGTCACCATTTCTGATGCTGTGTTCTTACACTTCACCTCAGTCAAGTTATAAAAAATTTGCTTGCTTTTGTCTATTATCTGCAGAGAAGCTACAAGCAATTTTTTTACCAAATATTGTGGTTGAGTGGTTAGTAGTTTTATTTCATATTCAAGAGACCTTTGATAAAATGTACTCAGGCCTCAGATGGGCTAACCTGACTAGAATATTAATGTTTGTTTCTTAGTCTCTGCAGATTAAATAGTGGGATATAATATTAAAATAGGTTACAATCGTTTGCTACCACATCTTTTCTGAAACAGCATTCACAGATCACTCTCATCTTCAGCACTGTGAGGAAATACAGTTGATAAAATATCCATGACATGAATGAACAATCCATTGATGGACATCATTTTGTTTCAGTCAAACTGTTAATACCAACAACACATTCAAGAAAAGAGGAATAAAACTTGGCTGGCAGATATTACTGTAGATGAATTAAAATGTATATCACTTTACAGATATGATATTATTAATGTGACGAGTCGCAAAAGATCAAAACGTAATACAGATTAATGGCCAATTTATTTATTTACTTGTTTATTTATGTATTTATTTATTTATTATTACATTACTTACTTTTCACATGTTAAGATACATCACCAAATGAGGATGAGTAGTGCACAATGAATTTAAAAGATTTGTAAGGAAAATGGACATGAGATTTGGTCCGTGGAATGTAGGACATGTGTATAGGGCAGGTCATCACAGTAGTGAAAGAAATATCAAAATAAAATTATATTTAGCAGGGGCACAGGAGGTTGAATGGGACAAGGGCATCACTGAACCAACATGCAAAATATACGTTTTCGTATGGAAAGCAGAATGAGAATCATGAATTAGGTAAAGCTTTTTGCTCATAAGAGATTCATATCAGCAGTTAAGAGGGTAGAGTTTGTTAGTGATAGGATGTCATACAAAATACCAAGAGGGTGCTGGCATGATAACACTATTCTGAATGTTCATGCCCCAACAGAGTATAAAATTGATGATATGAAGAATAGCTTTTATGAGAAGGTAGAACATGCATTCTATAAATTCTCTAAATAACATAAGAAAATTCTGTTAGGTAATTTCAAGATAAAAGCAGGTAGGAAAGACATTTCCAAAGCAATAATTGGGGATGAGAATTTATTCGAAATTAGTAATGGTAATGGAGTTAGAGAGTAAACTTTGCCACATTAAAATTTGACTCTCAAAAGCACGATGCTATCACATTGTAACAATAATAAATTTACTTAAGTATCTCCTGATGGAAAGACTCACAATCAAATTGACTATGTTTTAAGAGCTTGGAGACAGCATCCAAGTGTACCTGATGTCTAATCATTCAGGGCAGAAGAGAGTGATAATGATCATTATCTGATGGTGGCAAAATTAGGGAGACACTGGCAGTGAGTAAACAAACACACAGATTTTCATATGAACAGGTTCAATCTCAAGAAATTAAACATGGTAGATGGTAAAGAGTAGTATGTTGTTTAAATCACAAGTAGGTTTACAGCTTTGGAAAACTTAAATGCTGAGCCGAGTCCTTCTTGAGGAGAAGCGAAATCTGCAGCTACTCAAGAATTTCCCAGCATTTTACAGAACCCGAAGGTTTAGTACCATGTTCATAAGAACCCTCCGCTGGTCCATATCCTGAGCCAGATAAATCCAATCCATACCATCCAATCCTCTCTCTCTCTCTCTAAGATCCATTTTAATATTGTCCACCCACCTACACCTTGGTCTTCCCAGTGGTCTCTTTCCTTCTGGCTTTCCCACCAATATCCTATATGCTTTCTTTCTCTCGCCCATTAATGCTACAAGCCCTGCCCACCTCATCTTCCTTGACTTGATCATTCTAATTATACTTGGAGAAGAGTACAAGTTATGGAGCTCCTCATTATGCAGTTTTCTCCAACCACCTGTCACTTCATACCTTTTCAGTCCAAATATTCTCAATACCCTGTTCTCAAACACCCTCAGTACATGTTCCTCCACTGGGCCACGCCATAGCTCAAGTGGTTAGTCACTGACTTCCCACCGCGGCGGCCCGGGTTCGATCCCGGGTCTGGTCAAGTGGGATTTGTGGTGGACAAAGTGGTGCTGGGGCAGGTTTTCTCTGAGGACTTCGGTTTCCCTTGCCAATCTTCATTCCACCAATTGCTCCACAATCACCCTCACCTATCATCTGGGGCTGGTATAATAGGCCAGAACTGGCCGCAGTACAAGGGACTTAGTCCCACCCCACTAGCAATAAAAATAATATTCCTCCCTTAATGTCAGAGACCAAGTTTCACACCCATACAGAACCACTGGCAAAGGAATACTCAGTAAACTTAAAAATTTCATTAACGAAATGATAATTTTATATAAATTTCATTCTATTTAGAAAAAAATGTCCAGTCATCAGCTACTTACTCTGCCAATCATCAGTCTTATGGTCACTCTATTTTGGGGATAACACAATTCAGCCTATATGTACCCCTGCCTCATTGAGTTCTAGATATGCTTTGTCTAGGTGTGGAGCACTAAACAGAAAACATAAACACTTACTCATTATAATGAGCTCAGCACGAGTTGACTTGATTCCACCTTTATTGACAGCTCTGCACACATACTCATCAGCATCTTCCCCATACACATCATTGACAATGAGTGAATATACATCACCTTCCTTGAGCATGTGATACTTGGTACCATGAATGATTTCTCTTGCTCCCTTGTACCTGCAACAAAAACAGCACGTAAGATATCTTTGCCCATGCAAATGTTCATCCCATCATCATGCCATTTAAATCCACTCCTCACACTGTCAGAGTAATAAATTTAAGTGCCATAATAAAATATGACTTATTTTACACAGCAGGATGGATTAAAATTCACTGCGTTCTACTGCTCTTGATGCAGCAAAGAGTTAATTGTTTTTTATGTATCTGAATGCAGCAAACCGATGAATGGCACCATGTACCATCAAGTTCATAGCTTGACCATAAAAACCAACTTATTCACATAATTACTGACTTCTTGGACATTATCCATAATCCTCTTTTTATTTAAAGAAACAAGGTTTCTAAGACTGGACTCTGTTTCTGTTCTCAGCTAAAACCTACTCAGTTTGGTTCAATCAGCAGAGCCAGTCCTTGTCTGTACACCAGAACCAACACAGGACAGGATATGTAAAGCAAACAACGTTAGAAAAATCCACATACACCTTCTGTTAACGTCCATGATATATATATATACAGTGTCCGTCTTGCAGTGCATCCACTTTCACCTGTCACTTCACAACATGTTTCGGCACCATAGTGCCATCATCAGGTTTAATTGTTTGTTGCATCCTGTTGTGTATTTTAGTACACCTCTTGACCTCTTGAGCTCGAAACATGTAGTGTGACGGTAAATAAAAAACGTGTTGTGTGGTCGGTAAAATTAAATCTAATAACCATCATCAGGTGCTTCACTTACACTAATCTATTGCATTGCATGCCATTATGTCAATGTAAAATTATTTAAAAAGTATTTTTAAATATTCGTCAGTTATAATAAATTTCAACATACATATGCACAGACACAACACACACACAAACACACACACACAAGTACGTGTATATGCGTATGCACCCTCACACACACAAGTAGGCACGTAGGCGTACACGAGCGTGTGCCCTCACACACACACACACACACACACACACACACACACATGTAGGCATGCTCATAATTAACACCATACACAGCGTGTTTACTACACAGATATATTTTGGGTTTTCATCTAGGATATATATTACTTACTCATTTTATGAAAAGGAAATATTCTTTGAAAGTAGCTTTTTAAACGAAACTAATTAAACGGAAAAAATTTTCTCATTAATTCAAAGAGAGTATTTATAGATAAAATGACCTGACATTTTACATACACATGTTCAAGGCCATATGTATAGAGGCAAACAGGGCCATTAGGCTAAAAATATTGGCATGATGCAGAGCTGTGAGACAGAAAAACAGGGTCACAAGCTAATAGTATTAAATTGCAGCGTCCTGTTGCACTGCGTTCCACTTTTTGCAGAGTCAGATGGTCACATGTCCTGCAGGACCCAGAATCCAGACTAACTGTGCTGGCAAGGACCAGCAGCAAAATACCTGAACTACTGACACAAGATCCTAACCAAGGGGGTGCAAATATACTCTTACTTCATTCAGTCAATTATAACAAGGAGGCAAGACCCTGCAAATTCCATTTAATTGAATTGTTGACTTGTTATTCTTGCCCCTCACTGATATGAATTTGCACTGTTTATATAACTTAAAATCTAAAAAATCATTTGCATTGTTACCTGGCAGTGGCACTGTGCTACTTGTAATGATTAGTAAGGAATACATTTTAATAGTGTTAAGGTATGAATTTTTATATAATTTGTATTATGTACTGTAATTAAGTAACTAACTAACTGTTACCTCTCTGTACATCTTTGAGGTATTGTGCTACTTTCAGAAATTTAATCTGTATACTACTAGAAATTCAGATTTATATGAATATAATACTAGAAGAAAAGAGGACTTCCATGTACTAAGCTGTAGCACATCTACCTCTAAAAAAAGTGTCATAAATATGGGTATTAAAGCTTACAATAGATTGCCTTTGAAAATAAGAAAATTAAATGGATTCAAAGATTTTAAATATAAATTAAAATTATTTTTACTAGATAATCCATTTTATACAATGAAGGAGTTTCTCTTTGAGGGACTGCAGGATGAATAGAGAAACTCTGCTCAAAATCCTAAATGATGATTTGATGATGTGTTTTTATCCTTGATGAGTATGGTTGTGATGGTTACTTTAGTAACTTGATTTTAAAGTAGTATTTTTAAAGTTGGTCGATTAAGCATAAAGGCAAATAAACTTGAAATTAACTTATTTATATTTAAAATAATCCAAAATTTGTGTACTTGTATTCTGTATTGTAGTTTTAATTAGAGTATGTCTCTGTTGACATAGGAACCCTTTAGGCCGTGGGCAAAGGATTCCCGAATGATTGTACTACATGTTATGACTTGTCCATGTGTTACTTTGTAACAGTTACGGATGTTAATAAAGATGAAGAAGATGAAGAAAATTATTTAAAATGATTATAGTAGAACCTAGAATTTTCAGCTACTCTTCAATCTGACAACTATTATCTGTCGATCTGAAATTATTTTGAGATTATTTTAGAGCAAAGTATGGCTAGTGTTTGCTATGTAACAAAGATAGTAGTGATGTTCATAGGATGATGATGTATTAGCATAGATTCTAATAGTGAACCTTATATGGATTTCAAAGTGGGACAGGAGCAACACATTTGTGACTGGCCCAGGATCCACTTACCTCTCTCAGGCCCTGCAAATCCCAATGATAGTAATGGACAATAAACATATATATATATCACACATACATTGTACAGCAAATATAAAGGGGGGGGAAGAATGAAGGGATGCCATTTGACATTAATGGGCAATGAAACACACACCAACAGAAGCTGATGTTTAAGTTTCAAAGCTTAGCTTGGCATTTTTAAAATGTAAAGGAAATTTATTATGCATAACAGAAAAATTATACTGATTTTTAGACATGAAAATTTGCTACTTGAATGTTTGTGAGACAAGGAATTAATGTACTGTCTCTTCATGTAGAAGAAATACTTGCCACGTAATTGTTGGTCTTGGGTTTCCAGTAATTGTACACTGAAACTGTGCATTGTGGTTCTGTACAGAGTTGGCATTTCTCAATGGCTTCACAATTTCTGGAGGTGTAGCAGCTGCAATTAGTAAGATATCAAGAAGAAAAACATTCAGTAACATTAGTATAAAGATAATCATTTGTAGTTATGAACAAGTGTAGATAACTAATGTTTTATTGAAACACATTTTGAATGGATGGTAATAACTGAGAATATTCAAGAACTGAGAGGCAGTTTTATCCAGTTTTGGAACAATATAATATGATTTTTCTAGAAAAACAAGAAACACTATAAAAACCTCTATAGCATGTCCAGGCTGTACTTGAACCATATATCTCTGAAGAGAATGTTGCAGATACAGTTTGATCATCTCAATAAAAGTACATTAATTAATTTACAACAAGGGGTACTTACTCAAAGGATCCTTTATCTTGACTGATGTGGAAGCTGAAGATGGCTGGCTCAGTCCTGCTTCATTCTGAGCAAACACCCGAAATTCATATTGACGACCTTCTATCAGGTTTGATATATTGATCTGAGTGGCAAAACATATAGAGAGGTTGACCCTCTGCCAAGCTTCACTGCCAACTTCACGTTTGTCTATCCAGTAGCCCTGAACTCTTGATCCACCATCTGACTGTGGCTTCTCCCATGAAAGGTTGACAAAGTCTTCACCAACTTCTGTTACATTTGGCACTCCCGGTGGTGATGGAGGGTCTAAATAATAAATCATAATAATAATTCACTTCAATTCAATTCTTTATTATTAATGTGCTGAGTCAACAGCCACAAGGCCAATTACAGACACAGCACAGTGCAGATGAGTGAATTACATTATAGACAAACTTATTAAAAGTCAAATACAAATTACAGGTAAGTACTTGGAAGAAATAATAATGAATAAAAGTAAAAGTAAATGTAAACAAACAAATAGCTGATAATTATGACAGTAATAATAATTTATCATTAAAAAATATCATAAAAAAAATAATAATAATAATAATAATAATAATAATAATGACATATCAAAACCAACAACAGTATTAACAGACTAGAACTATTGGGTTTTGGACTTTTTCTGTCATCCAGTATTCTAGAGAACACTGCAGGACATTATGTTTTTGAAACTGCCTGTGTTTCCCTCCTCAGGTGAAGGGGTGGGAGACAGCTACTCTGATGAGTCTATAACTGTCCAGTGACTGAGGTTAGCTCCTTCTAATGGATCCAACACAGTAGGCTCTATGCACAGGAAACCCAGCATGCACACGAAGTGAGCAATAACTGGCCAGTAAGAAAATCCATGGTAATGAAGAACTATGTAACATAAATTACTTCTGCAACACAGCAAACACCTAGTAGCTATATATAATATTATGTTCCCCTTTACTGGCTTAATTTCTAATGCATATTAAACACAACTCTTAGTGATGAATCACAGAGAGATAGCTAAGCAATATCGAGAAGAATTTGAACCAGAATTATATGAAGATGGACCTGTCGTCTGACAGATTACTGATGAATGAATTCAGTGCTATACTGACTTCTACATGAAGTTGTACACAGTGTCAATTTTAATAATTGTTATAAAATTTAAATTTATTATTACACGTAACATTTCAAAGTTTAATAAGCTAATGAATGGCCAATGGATCCATCAGGCAAATTATGTACTAGGTGTATATTCCCCACTAATGTAAAACGTTTACACATATATTTGAAACATCTGTGGAACAGAGGATGGCACAGATGTCACCCATCTTGTAAAAACTAGGTCAGATACACATATTGTGTGAGTGAATTTATATATTTTCATAAAATATTATAATTTTACCAGTTATAATATATGGATGTGAAATCTGGTCCTTCCCAAGGGAAGATCACAATTGTGGTTGTCTGAAAACAAAGTGCTGAGGAGAACATTTGAACTAAGCAGGAGGAAGTAATAAGAGACTTAAGAAAACTGCATAATGAGGAGTTTCGTAATTTGTATTGTTCACCAAATATTATTGAGATGATCACACACAGAATGACTTGACTAGATGAGTGACTATAAGCTTCTCATGAAGAATTTTGCTTTAATATTTAGCCAGTTTCAGAGATGAAACACGTGGACAAAGATGAACACAATCTCCATATAAGTTCACTTTGTGCAAATAAGAATTTATGATGATGATGATGATGATGAATAGTAACAATGGTAATAATATTGCAATAGCAGATACAGAATTCACAGTACTCTAAAACTTTTGTACTAGAAAAGAAGACCAAAACTAACGCTAAAATTAGAATCAATGAGTGCTAACACACAAATTTTTCTTTGTATTTAGAAAGATTCCTATAATTTTAAACTTACCAAACGGCGCTTTTGCCTTGATGGGATTTGTCCCCTCAAGTGGTGGTCCCATGCCATTTTCATTAACAGCCATCACCCGGAACAGATACTCCTGTCCTTCTGAAAGGCCTTGTACAGTGAAGGTGGTCTCCTTGCAGAAACTGGACACAATAATCCAATGGGTGAGGCTAATATCTCGCCTTTCCACCACATAGTGTGTGATACGAAGACCGCCATCATACTGAGGTGCTTTCCAGTTCAGTGTGCATGTGTGTTTTGTTATATCTGACACATCAAGTGGACCAATAGGAGGGCCAGGGAGACCTGCATTTGCAGAAGTCATATTGAAAGCAACACATATATTCTACTAAAATTAAACAAGAGAATTAAACTGCAACTCATACAAAATATTTTCATTCAGGTTTGATGAACTACATGATGTTCACAGCATTAGCAGTAATTGAAAAACTGTCTATTCACATTCAAATAAAACTAATTAACATCTGCTGTGATTGAAGATTATTCACTTATTTATTTTAATCTTGGAAAATGGTTCACAGTCCCAGTAATATAATTAACCGAAAATCATTTAAAATGGCATTATGTTTAAAAAGATATCACTATAAGAGCAATATTCTTCTGTTTATAATGAGATTTAAAATAAGTAGTTCAATAAGTAAGCATTGTAAAATATGGCTTTCAACTCACCAGTAATGTATACTGTGAAAGATGCCGATACACTTCCGCTGTCATTCTTGACAGTTAAAGTGTATGTTCCCGCATCATCCTTTGTGATATCCTTAATGAATATTATAAGATATTCATCAAATATTGTGTACTTGATGTGAGTAGTTTCATCAATTTTCTTTCCATCCTTACTCAGAGTTACTTCCATAGGCTGATCTCCAGAATAATAGATTTTGATCTTAGTGTTATCTCCCTCTGGTAAGTACAAGTCATCTGGCATTCGGTCAATCTTGGGTGGGGCTGTAATCAGATTTTGAGTACAATTTTACAGTTTCACACAGTTACATCCTGTTGTGTGTGTGGAACAATATCAATTTCTTTTCACAATTAACGCAAAATTATTTAAAGCATGAAAAATAGTTTTAAAATAATGTACCATATTTGCTCAAAGCAACAAATGTAGAGCCAGAGATACAGCCGTTGCTATCATATGGCCCTGAAACAACATTTGTTTCTAGGCAGTGACCGCTAAACAAACTACAGAACAATGGCAGTTGCTAGGCAGCAGATTCTCAATAAGCAACAGAGGAACAGTGCTTTCTGTGCTGTCCGTGCCTAGATGTTATAACCAGGATGGTTTGGAGTAATGAGTTCAGTGTTCAGCTGAAAATGAGTCTGTGAAGAGAAAACTAGGAATTTGGTGTGAAATGGCTCCCAGCCTGGAAATTTTCAGCTGAAAGTCAGCCTGTGAAGAGAAAAATGGGAGGTTGGTTGGGAAATGGTCGCCAGCCTGGGAGTTAATCAGTTGAAGCACTGAGAGAACTGTACAAGGGACTGTGATGAGAAGACTTGGTGCAGTTAGCACAGAAGCCAAAAAATCTCCACTGTTAAAAACCGTTGCCAGGAAATGACTAGTGAGGACTGTAGTTACAGTGATAGATAAGTGTGTAGTTCAGTGAGATTGTTATAGNCTGTGAAGAGAAAAATGGGAGGTTGGTTGGGAAATGGTCGCCAGCCTGGGAGTTAATCAGTTGAAGCACTGAGAGAACTGTACAAGGGACTGTGATGAGAAGACTTGGTGCAGTTAGCACAGAAGCCAAAAAATCTCCACTGTTAAAAACCGTTGCCAGGAAATGACTAGTGAGGACTGTAGTTACAGTGATAGATAAGTGTGTAGTTCAGTCAGATTGTTATAGTTATTTGTAGTTATGATCTGTAAGTGTCAATAAAATCAAATATTCAATCCATAACCCCACTGACCGTGACTCCCTCACATCAAAATAATTCTTAAAAATACAATTTTTTCTATATAAATCTTAACAATTGTATAAGAAAACTGTTAAGAACTCAAAATATGTGAAAAATATCCACATTAAGCAGTTCTATACTTGAATTTAATATTCAAGGCCTGACTAGGGTGCTTTAGAGAACCAAAACATAAAGCAAATAAATAATAATTTTATTACTAATATGTAGTGTTTTGTTGACTGTGAAAATGAAACTGATACCATTGCACACATATACAGTAAACTGATAATTAATGTTAGAAGAACTCTGAAGTACTGTAAAGAATATATGCAAATAATGAGATTATTTAAAGGTACATGTCATGTAAGAGCCATTATATAATTTTCAGATAGTTTTCTTTTGGAATTTGTCAGTGATGAACTTAACAAAATTAGCATTTTCAATATGCTTATAAATAAAGAGACTATGAAATAGATTACTTTTGTGAACTCTACTTATGCATACACTTGTATGCATATATTATAATGAAGTATTGACTGTAATGTAAATGAGGGAATTATAATACTGCAAGTAGTAAACATATAGCTGATTGAATTCATTTACTGAAACAGGAGGATCTATCCTGATAAAGTAACATGTGAAGTCACTGAGTACATGTAATTTATTTTCTTATGCTTACTATAGGTTATTAAAATGCCATCACGCTTTAGTCACAAATGATCATCTTCAGGAGGCATATCAGATATTAAATGAAACTTTACAACTTGTATGTATGAGTAATCATGCGAGGAAAGCATAGTCAGTATAGTGACTGGCTATGGGCTGGACGACTGAGGGGTTGGAGTTCATGTCCCAGTAGGGGTAAGAATTTTCTCTTCTCCACAGCATCCTATAATAGGGTACACCTCTTGAAGATGATCTTGTAAGACTGAAACATGTTGAGGTTTTAACAACATAAGGAAATAAACTAGAAATACTCAGATGGTAATTTGCATCTTACTTTAGGATGGTAACTTGCGTTTTACTTCAAGACACTAATGAACTTGTACATACCACCAATTTTAACATGGGCTGTTGTAGTCACGAAACCCAAAGCATTATTAGCTTCACAAGTGTAGTCAGCATCATCTGCTCCCCACACTTCTGAGATATTCAGCTTGAATACACCGCCCTTCTGCTCAGTGTAGAATCTGCCACCCACTGTAATCTCTCTACCATTTTTCAGCCACCGAGCTGTAGGTACAGGATTGCCTTTAGCCTCACACTCCAATACAAGCGGTAGTCCAAGTGGTATACACTGATTGGTGAGTGGACGAACAAATTCCGGTTTTTCGCCTCCCTCCACTTCACATATCTTTATGGGTGTTGTACAAGAGCTAGGTTCACTCTTTCCAGCTGCATTCACTGCAAAGATTCGGAATTCATAGTTCGCCTGTTCCACAAGATTAAGTACTGTGTAACTGCAATCTAGAACATTATATTCATTGCACTTTATCCATGACGCCACACCAACTTCACGCTTCTCAATAATGTAGCCTGTGATACGGCTTCCTCCATCAGATGCAGGTGGTTCCCATTTCAGATCAACATAACTCCTTCCAACCTTGATAACTGTTGGAGTTCCTGGTGGCGATGGCACAGTAAACTTCCCCTTGAGCTTAAACTTAGAGGATGGTGGTGATGGTTTGCTCCAGCCAGCAGCATTCTTAGCTCTTATCCTGAACTCATATTCACATCCAGACAGAAGACTATGCACATTGTAGGTTGTATCTTTAACAAGATAATCATTTGCCACATGCCACTGAGATTCTGCAACATTCCTGTTAAAAGTAATTTTTATAGTAAATAAATGTAAGATCTAAAATATAACTTAATTCTTTAATATATGCATGCTGACTGATGGATGTCCCACAGTAGGCATCAATACAGACATTAAGTGTAAGTGTAAGTTAAGGAAGGAGAATTATTATGTATTGCTAATTATCTTGTTGGTATAATTGTATGTGTAACATTGTATCTATTTATTTGAGGTATTCAGTTTAGATTTTAACTATGGCTGAATTGATGTCTCTGCGATTTTATCTGTGATTGTCTTGTGACTGTTGTTTGACAAGTTTTATATTCAGTGCCGGTTGCACACTTATGAATACTCTGAAACGCTGATGTATGTATATCAACAAATTAACTATGGTCCAATTAGCTATCTATGAAACTACATGTAATACCACAACTTATAAAATTGGCATGTCTTATCTTGTGTTATTCCTGAAGCTGCATTATTTTAACCCTGGTAATTTGATAACTTATGACTTATGAGAACTGACTGATGATCTAAGATATGTCCCATATAAAAGTCAGTATGTAGTAGAAAATACTTAATAAATTACAAAACAGTTAGTGATTGATGTTATTGCATTTAGTAACTGTAATTTCTGAAGCATTGAGTTCTCCTGAAGAAAGAATGTCACTACAAAAACATAGGCCTAGATGACTGATAGGCTTTAAATCTGAATACTATCTACAAATGAATAAAAAGAATAAAAGAATAGATAAAACATTCCCGTTCACATAATGCTAGAAGGAAGGCTTGAACCAATAATTCAAACCAACTTATTTAAATTATTTGTTACCTGTACTCAATTTTGTAGCCTTGGATTCTAGAACCTCCATCACTTCTTGGCCTGTCCCATGTGAGAGTGACATTACTTATATCCCAGTCACCGATGCGTGGCTGTCCAGGGGGATCGGGCACCGTGAATGCAAATTTGGCAGTGACTGGTTGATCTGTCTCAAGTGGATCACTGATACCATACTGATTTTCTGCTCGTATTCTGAAGCTGTACTTCTTGTTGGGTTCCAATCCAATTACATCATAGTGACAACTTCGTACAAAACTGCTCACTTTCACCCACATCTGTAGAAATATTTAAAGTGATATTGAGAGTACACAGGCACAAAATATTTTAATAATTTCTATCAGAAGCACTAATAACGTTGTTGTTGTTGTTGTTGTTGTTATTATTATTATTATTCAAACAGTGAACAAGTGCCTGAAGTTGGCTAAGTTGAAATTTTTATAAAGATGACTGGTATACCTAGTCCTATATGTTTGACAATAGGTGGAAACAAGAAACACTTCAAGTACTGTCACATCAGACAGTGGTCCTATGTTCTATGTGTACAAACACTGCTGATAATACTGGTCTCTAATCTATTTATTGTCGAAGAACAACTGTAAAAACAGCATTAATATGCTCAGTGGATTTTAGTCCTTACTGAAGTGAGTTCTCAAGGCATATGATCAGCCAGTATAGAAGTAGACTCTTCTGATATCTTATTTTATCAGAGTTTCCCACATTGTCCTAAAAACATTGTTAGTTAAATGTAAGGATAACATTTGCACACAAAAATCTTGGTGGAGTCTGTGTTACATGCAATAGTCACAATGTAAAATAAATGACGATATGAGGTGTAACTTTAATGGACTTCTTTAATGACACTCATAAGAAATAACATCAGCTCTCTAAGAACCTGTCCTTCATATTAGGTCATATGCAAGCACAGAATACATTATTTACATTTTGGTGTACATTTCTGCACCAGGGATGAGATGTTTATATTGTGTGAATCATAAGCCCATGTAAGATCAGAAAGTAATGACAGTATTGATTCTTTTTTCCTTACATTCAAGGAACTGTTCATTCAGAATTTGTTCTCCATAACAGATTAAAAGAAGATATTCATATAATGTATCTGACAGACAGATGAGGGTTACAGGAAATTTGTAAAATCTTGGTAAATTACTGGATTCTTCACTGGAAATGCACAAGCACAGAGAGTTTTTATCTTACAGTCCCTATTTTGAGGGGGTAAGATGTAGGATGTGCTGGATGATCCAGTTTTGATTCCCAGCAGCGCAAGATTTTTCTCTTCTCCACAGTATCAAGACCAACTCTGGAGCCCACCCAGCCCCCCTTCCAATGGGTAATGGGGTCTCTTTCCCTGGGTGTGAAGTGTCATGGGGACAACTTTGCCCTTTTACTCCTTTTTTTTACTTTCCTTACTTTGAAAAAATGAAAGTAAGCTTACTGTCTGTGTCCACATGCGTACCCCCTTATTAACTTTTGAGCGACTGAAAAATCTGTATGTGTGTATATGTATACGTATGAATATCATGGCACCTGAGCCCATTTCATCAGCATACTTCATAAATCTCTCCCATCAGTAATACCAAAATTGCAACCTCTCAAATTTGATGCCAAACGCTAATATTGCTTGAATGCCTGTACTATTCTTCAAGAAACGTGATATATGTATAATGCCATATGAAGCCATCTCAGTGGCATACTTCACAAGTCCCATAGGTAAGTTATACCAACATTATGGCCTCTGAAATTGTTGTGGAAATAACCTTAATATTACTTCAATGTCTCAGCTGGTGGTCAAGAAAATCGGTATATATGTGTCATGCCATCTGTGGTAATCTCAATGGTATTCATAATAAATCCTTCCCATTAGTAATACCAACACTGCAGCCTCTCAGATTGTCGAGGTAATAACCTAAATATTACCTGAATCCCCAAACCAATCATCATTAAACTTGGTATATATATATATATAAAATGCCATCTGAAGCAAAGTCAATAGAGCATTTCATAGATTGCTCCCATAAGCGATAGCAACACTGCAACCTCCAAAATTGTATTGTTTTATTGACTTAATTATGCATATGTATTAAAGTTTTCTTACTAATTTTTGTTATCAGATACTCAAATTACAGTGAAAGGAAAGCAGGCAATTACTTACTCCCAGAACTTCTGGCTACTGTAAATGAACTATAGTCCAAGATGTAAAAAACTTACTCCTGAGAAGGGATCCAATTTCTCGACGATGTAATTAGTAATTGGAGAGCCACCATCATCAGTAGGTGGTTTCCAACTCAGTGAGCAAGTTTCTGGAGTGATATCAGAAACATCTAATGGTCCCTGTGGTGGCAGAGGTTTGTCTGCAAGACAGATTATTAATTCTATTAGAGACAACAAATGGAATGTATCCACAACCAAATGAGTAATGCCATCTTCATGGCTACTGTTTCCAAAATGCAAATTCTATTCATAGAACTGGCATCCACATCTCTTCCTCAGAAGACTGTCATCCTAATTCAGCAGATATGAACCTGGGTGTGTTATCCAGTGTGAAACAACACATAATATGAGGGATATTTGGAAAGTAACCTACATTTATATTAAACAGCTAAGTGTGAGTGGGGGAAAGCTTGCAAATGCGAGGTAGCATCACAGGACTTGTTGTCTTGTAAACCATCACATAACTGGTTACTTAGTGTCTGTTCTTGTCTGTCTCTACAGAGTGATTTATGATGTGTTCTGCGATCGATAAACTTGTCAGCTGTGAAATTTGTCCTCTTTACCATTTTCTTCATTCAGGATGCAGGACTAATAAATGTGAATGTGCTAGGTGGCAGAATCATGGTGATGTGTCATCAGTGTTACAATCCCAAACTTTTTATGACTTATGGACTAGATTTTACCCATCACATTCATAGGTTTGAGAGAATAATACTGAAAGTGATTTGGGTGATATGGAAGATGATGACTGTCTTCAGATGCAACCAGGTGTATCCCATAAAGAATGCTGGATGTGATAATGCCATCAGCAAGTGTAAGATTTGGTTTGTGGGCCAGGCACCAGATGAAGAGGTGGTACAATCACAAGAGTCTGATTTTGATGAAAAATATAATGGTAGTGGACAAAATGAACCAACTTCATTTGCAACAGAAAAGTAGAGGGTTGACAGTGTTACGGAGCACCAGATCATATTTGATATAAATAATGTAATTACCTCCCACAGTACAACTGAAAACAAAATTTGAAGTACCTTAATTTGATGAAGATTTGAAAAAGAGCCAAGCCGGCCAAGTCACATTTCATTTCCTTAACACTAAAATAAAGTTGAAGCAAAAGAAATAAATTACAAAAATAAATTGTGTCTTTATATTTCAATTCATTTTTTAGTCTGTAACTAACTTATAATATACGTGAAAGAAAGAAAGAAAGAAAGAAAGAAAGGGTCAGTATATAGGATATTCCATAAGTAAGAGCTCAATTAGAATTGTTTGGAATGGTGTTTTACAGCAAAGATCATTTAACAGTTAATTTCTGTTTTCATTAGTTACAAATAACACTGATTCATATTACCTGTGGGAAAGTGTTCAACAAATGGAGTCATTTTTAAAAACAAAATATATTGTATTATATTATTTTTGCAATTTCAACATATTTACTGCCATGCTTCCTTACTGGGCCAGTTACTTTTGACAAAAACTTGGTTTTTTAGTAACTTTATTTGAAATGAAAGAGAACAGATGAAAAACAAATGACAATCACTATATGATTCTCTAAAGATCTGACAAGCTACACTTGAAGATTCTCTTCATTTACACGACATCCACATATATGTTGTTAACAGCCCATCATGTAACAGGAACAACACTGGCACTTCAGTCCATCAGGTAATGGGAGTGGTAGTGAATGTGTTACTACTATATGTACTGGTTTCAATTCCATGATAAAATTAAATTTCCTTGATTTTACATTCAGTTAAATTTTTTCTTTAAGAATATTAATCAGGGGCTCTACTGTATTGCATTACTCGATTTACCTCAATTAAAACGCATTCCTCTAAAACATAAAAGTTCAATAATCTGCTTTGAAAAATTGTGATTCTTACCAACAACAAGAACTTTGCAGGATGCAGTGTCAGAACCTTCTGCATTCACCAACTGTATTGTGTATATTCCAAGATCTGACCTCTTTGCGCACTTGTTGATGAAGACTGTTGAAGTCGTACTAGTTTCAAATTTAATTCTGTCTCCAGGAATAACTTCTTCACCATTGATTGTCCATGTTGGTTTAGGCTTGGGATTGCCAATAAATGGAACAGTAATAGTGAACTCCTCTCCAGCTATCACAGTCATATCACGGATGCTCAAATCACTAGTTATCTTGGGTGCACCTAAAATAATTATTTTTATTTAACAAATGTGATAATAAAGAAAATCTTAACACAGACATCATCACTGCACATAGGATTTGAAATTACATGAAAGTCGTATGGTATTTAACATTTCTTCGTAGAAGGAAATTTAAAAATTTGTATATAAGAATAAGCTCCTTCAATGTAGGATATATCACAAATTGAACAGTCTCAGAACAGAATTACTTGGTGGGATTCCTGAGGACTGTGATGAATATCTCTGCCTTTATTTTATATCTATTTTATTTAACGTTTTCAGTAATTGAGACTATGCAGCATTGATGATCTGAATAATCATAAACTGATCAAAAGACCTTGTATTACAAATCTGATTTTTTAGAAGTTAAAATATTTGCCATCAATATAAAAAATTTCAAATTTTAATAATGAGATTGGCAGTTTAAAGTTTAGTTTGTATCTGCAGAAGCTCATTTTATTTAATAATGGCTTATGATGAAGGAAAGAAAATAACTGGATTTCTCCTGACAAGAAAATGGTCCAGTTGGTTTGATCAAAACCTCACTTTAAATTTGTTTGTATAATGGGCCCTTCTGGAAATTACTGTAATCAAAATTTCAGATGGTAATAGGCTCTGCAAGAGTGTGAAAAAATTGCTCACAGTTCGAATGCACAACTAGAATTCATGTGTCACTGCGTCACATGCTGTGGTGATGTGATATCCCCCATGCTGATAGGACAGCAAAAGATGTGTGAGCTTCTGAGGAGCTCACTGCTTTGTTAATGCTGTGTATATTTAGCATGAATTTCATGCTCAAATTTTAACTGGTTTGCTCTGAACACAGTAAATATCATATAATTAGTGAAAGTTGACTGCTGATGCTAGAAAATAGATTATAGAATGCTTGTTCATTAATGTCCCAAAAGAAATTTTGTAGGCTTTCAGGTTCCAACATGATGTCTATGTGTAAGTTAAGGAACATATTGGTTAACTTCATTGATTCAAAAGTGATTTGTAAATAACAAATTTGTAAATTTGTAAAAAAATGCAACTCTCATATGCATCCAAAAATAGAACCATGAATATCAATATTTGTTGGGAATAATGGTCAATTACTGGAAGTAGGTGGTTAATTTCTGCATAATCTATACTGGGTACATGTTTCAGTCTGTTATATTTACTGATAACTTTTAGTTTATTTTCATATTGAAACTTACACGGTGGAGGTCTGCAGACAATTGCATCAGAAGATGAACTCCAGGCTCCTTGACCGGCAGCATTAACGGCTGCTACTCGAAACTCATATTCATGGTTTTCAATCAAGTTAGGAACTCTGCAAGTGGAATTGAACTCTTAAGAAACTAATCAAGCTCATTAAAACCTTCTTTGAATGATAGGGCTGATTCTGAAAACCTAAATAGTTCTTTGCTATCCTTACTTGTATGTGAGCTCAACTATATGCGCATGTGTTGCTTTCGTCCACTTGTCTTCACCAATCAACTTCTTCTCAATGACATAACCCAAGATAGGGGAACCACCATCATGACGTGGCTTTGTCCATGAGATAGTGATTGAATCTTCTGTTGTTTCAACACCATATGGTGTACCAGGAGGGCCAGGTGGATCTGCAAAATGTGTACATTATTTACTCTTGTGAAATGGAAGCTGTTCAAAATAATTCATGAAGAACACTGAAAAGGAAAGAAATGCTATAGTTAGATTTGCTTTTTATTTTACTTAACTGTACTTTCCAAACTGCAAAGATTACTTAAGGTTGGTTGTGATACTGATTCTTACTATGTTCTAAAAGTGTTCATATTTCTCTAAGATTCTGTATCCTTTTTATTCAGTGAACTAGTGGTACCTGACTAATGTCAAATGTGGGACTAAGAGTTTCTACCTTTTGAATCATTTTTACAATACCCAGATGACCCTGATCCTACCAATTTTACATTTGGCTTTGCAATATCTTTGCTACCACAAGCCTGCCATTATGCCTCCATTGACTACCTGTTACTCATCTTTATACCTTATGCATGTCTGTATGTCATTTGGCATCTTGTCTGAACCTCCATGTTCAGTTTTAGCAAATGTCATGATCAAACATGCCGTATACAGGCTTCTAACATTCTACGTATCAGATCTCATGTCAGTTTTTCTTAGTTTAGGTCGTTTATCAAAAGAATCTGTCCAAGTACAAGGAAGGCCCTTTGCGACTTTTTCTAACAATCTAATTTTTATGGCAAGGAGTTATTAGGCCCACGCCCAACCCACAAGCTGGAGAACCACACTTGTCAGCTGTCCACAACTGCTTATTCAATATGTTCACAGTTACCCTCCATATCTGGAGGTCATCTCCTCCACCCGAAACCTGAGGATGTACCGTGCCATGATGACAAGGGACCCACATAACATGTTTTATCATATGACTATTTTGTGACATACCAAAATTCAGGTGACAATGCAGGAATGTCCCTCTTATCTCTATGTTATGGATACATACCAAATGGATGTCTTGCCTTAACAGGATCAGCAATAACAGCAGGATCAGATGTGCCATACTGATTTTCAGCCATAACTCGGAACTCATATTCTCGACCAATCACCAAATTGCGGATACGGCAGAATGGTGTAGTCACATAACTGCTTACCTAAGAAATAATGATTGATACAGTAAATATGAGTAACTTCAGCAGTTTCTTGCATTGCTGCAGAAATTTATGAAACAGGTGGTAACAATTTCACTTCTTTAATTTATGAGAGAGTCATAATAACAAATGGAAGAATAGAAATATTCTGTAAGTTGGGCCTATTTTTGATGAGTGACATGCCTATACATACATCTCTTTCTTCAAGAATCATCTGTTTCCTTAAAAACATATACAGTTCAGCTCTATATTTCAAATTACAAACTTTTTCCTCCAGTATGTTATTAGAACACTATATTATAACTTGAATTTCTGCCACTCTTTCACAGAGTCCGGTGACAAATAGTTTGCAGTAGAGTACCACCTTGAAGAAAGCAGTCTTCTGGGATGTGGCACCATGTAGATGTGGTGTTAACCCTCGTTTCGGAGGAACGTATCGCCTCCATCTTCAGGGTAGAAGGAAAAATAAGTAAATTCGCAAGCGAAGAAACAGTGAGAGAAGGTGCCAGCAGACTAATGTCGGAAATAAACTCAGCTATATGAGAGCAGGAAAGGAAGGGACAGGTCTACATGGAAAATCAGTGGAGAGGGAGAGGGGAAGGGTCTGGGGAGCAGGAACAAGGTTAGAGCAGGTATAGGATATTGTGTTGGAGGAGAAGGGCAAGGTTCTCCAAAACATTTGCATCTTCTCTACTGTATCCAGATAGATGGACTGTATCAGGGAAGGTGATTGACATTGAGCTCTAATCAAACAACAGGAAAATAATGAAGGCTTCTGCTTAGGCAAGTCATGGAAACCTCTCATCTACCCTTTAAACACTGTGGGAAGCCTCTTTAATAGGGTTCTCAGTACGAGGTTATCTACCAGACCCTTAGGCCAGGATACACTGCCCTTACCAGAGCATGACTCTGTCTTTTCAAGGCAACCATAAGCCTGAGTTTGCTGGCTGCTCCACCTCAGCACCTTCTTCTTTCTTCCTTGGCCTTTACCTACAACTGACTAGCATGATTTCTCTCTCACCTTCACACATTTTGCTATAAAAATGCAGCCTTTTGGGACCAACACTAGTCACTCCTCTATTTCCTCTTACTGGTTCTCTCTGAGATCCTCTATTAGCCTTTGTACTGCTCCCTTTGTTCCCATTGGTTCTCTCTAAGTTCCTTCAATTTTCTTAACTGATTCATCTCTTGACATGTGACTTGCTTTGCTTGCTATCTGATTCTTATTGGCTACTTGCTTCACTTACTCTTTAACCCTGAAGATGAAAGCAGCATGTTCTTCTGAAACATTGGTATACCTACAAGACTATATGGAATTACATCCCAGAAGAGAGTACTGTTCATAGCCACTGTTGTGATCACCTCAAATCTAACATATCATTTCTTCAGAATAATCTTGAATTCTGAAAGTGCTAGCAAATGTTCCTTCATTACGGATATCTTATAATTTAACCTGTGACATTACTGGAACATTGAAGTTCAGTTATATTCTCATGTTAATGTGATAAGGCAAAGAAATTATTCCAAATCTGCAATGTTCATGTTCATTAGTAGCTGACTGATTAAAATTCTCTGTGCATGCTTTTGTGAAAAAATGCGTTTGTACAAAAAATGCTCAGTTTGTGATTATCTTATACTTATTGCAGTGAAATATTTCATTCTGAAAATATGTGGTGCAATCCAAAAGTTCCTGAAATTTGAATTTTGTGCGCGAATGGTTATGAGTACATCAAAATGCCACTAGGTGTCTCCCCACACACACCCTTCTTGAATCAGTGTGGCAAGCAGCGTCAAGTTGAATGGTTGGGTTTATTGTTGGTGAACGTATTTCCATTGCTGTTTCTGTGAGTTTGCAGTTTTTCGATGGCTGACCTGAGAGAGCAGTGTGTCTGTATAAAGTTTTGTTTTAAACTTGGGAAAACTGCTGCAGAAATGCACTAAATGTTGAAGTAAGCTTTTGGTGCCAACAGTTTATGCCAGACACAAACTTACGACTGGTATAAGCATTTAAAAAATGGCTGAACATCGACTGATGACGACGATCGTTCGAGACAGCCATCAACTGGCACCACACCAGAAAATGTCGCGAACGTTAGGGATCTGATTCTGCAAGATTGTAGACTGACCATCCAAGACCTCTGTAACACCTTGGGACTAAGTTATGGTACATGTCAACGAACTTTGTCAGAGGAACTGAACATGAGGAAGATTGTGGCGAAGTTTGTGCCATGATTGCTGCAAAATGAACAGAAGTAGCATCGCTTGGAAGTCTGCAGGGAATTTCAACAACAGCTTCAAGAGGATCCAAACTTTCTTTCGAAGGATGTCAGTGGTGACAAAAGTTGGGTTTATGGCTGCAACCCTGAAAGTAAGCAGCAATTGTCGCAATGGAAGAGCCCTGCTTCACCTCGGCCAAAAAAAGCTTGACAAGTCAAGAACAACATTAAGTCCATGTTAAATGTTAAATTTTACTTGTTATTCCATCATAACCTGAAGAGTTTCTTGTTTTGAGGGAATGTATTATACTTTTTATTTCAGTTTCAGTGATTGGAATGTTTTTAATACCAGTGAATTTTCTAGGAAATGCCTGTCTTAAAAATGAAATGACATTATCTCCCACTTCTTGATGCAAGTTTAGATTTTCTGTAATTATTAGAAAAAAAGTATTGAAGGCATCTGCAATTTCTCCTGGGTCCTCAACTTTTTCTTCATTTATAAGGAGAGATGGTACCTGTTCAGTCAGATGTGATTTCCCTGTTTCATGTTTTATTATATTCCAGGTTGTTTTTATCTGATTATTCGATTTTGTTATAAGCCTACAGTAATGCTGCCTTCAAGCATCTTTTATAACTGTACTCAGCATTTTGCAATACCTTATGTAGTATACTCTCATGTAGGGATTATTACTGTTCCTGCTGTCTACATACAGACCCCTTTTATGTTTACAAGATATTTTTATTCCTTGTGTAATCCAGTGGTTTTTTATTCTACTTACACTTTTATTCTGCATAGGAAAACTGGCTTCAAAGATATTTGGAAAAATATATAAAAAAGAGTTAAACTTATAATTTCTATCCTTATTTTTGAAAACAGGTTCCCAAGTTTCATTTTCTAATAGATATTGAAATTAAGCAATGGTTTCACTATTTATTTTTCTGGTTCCCTGTTTCAAGGGTGTTGAATTTACTTCTGCAATAATACACATAACATTCTCCCTATGCTTCATTAAGCACAACACCATGAAAATATATGGGAGGTATATAAAGTTCTGCACATTCTTAACATTGGCATTAGATAGTAGTAAGTGATCAGTTTCATGCCGTGGCTGTTTCAGTCCTCACCTGTGGAAAGGGTCCCCCACACCCACTGGTTAAGAGGGTAGGATGGACATTGGTATAGAGGATGTGGGGAAAGGAACTAGTCTTCTTGTGCCAAGAATTAAACCCTAAGCCCTCAGTCATCCTGTCCACAATCTAGTCACTATAATAACTGCTAGTGGGGTGGACTAAGTCCCTTGTACTGCGGCTACTTCTGGCCTATTGTACCAGCCCCAGATGATAGGTGAGGGTGATTGTGGAGCAACTGGTGGAATGAAGATTGGCAGGGGAAACCGAAGTACTCAGAGAAAACCTGCCCCAGAGCCACTTTGTCCATCACAAATTCCACTTTACCAGACCCGGGATCGAACCCGGGCCACCGCGGTGGGAAGCCAGCGACTAACTGCTTGAGCTATGGCACGGCCTGAAAGTCACTATACTAACTGGGCTATTCCAGGCCACTGTTAAAACACACATTCATACAAAAACTTCCCACATAACTTTGAACTACATTTTTTAACCTAGTTACATATTTTAATGGCTGCTGAATATCTAACTATGGTGATAAGCTACTTGTGGTATGTAGTACTAGGTAGTAATATAACATAGAGAAAGAGATACTTGTACCTTCTGCCATGCTGCAGATCGCAGTTCTTTCTTCTCCACAACATAGTTTGTAATATCAGCTCCACCATTGTCTTTTGGAGGATTCCAGAAGAGTGTGAGTGCCTCACCAGCAAACTCATCAGCCCTCAGATTCTCAGGTGGACTTGGCCGATCTAACACCCGTACATTAATAGTGGCTGTGTCAAAGCCAGACTGATTTTTCAACTGCAGGCGGTACTGACCTGTGTCAGACCTCTTGGAATTCTTCACTACAATACTGGCATAGTCATCAGCCAACTGCAACATGAAGAAATAATTTGTGCATGTAAAAGAAAATTTTAGTTAATGACTTTTACCATTACATTTAGCAAATAACACAAAGTGGTTATCACTCTTAAGTGTTTAGTTTTTCCAAGACACTGCATGCACCATTTACATCTTCAGATCATTTGGATTAGATATCACACAAAGCTATCAGTACTAAGATTCTGTTAACTATTTAATCTGTCTCTCAAATGATGCATATCAAAACTTAAAAATATAACAATGGAATTTATGCTTGCCCCACTGCTTGCCTTATTTTGTGACAACTGATAGCATTTCATTAAATTTAAAGAGGCAAAAGTTCCTCCCGGAGGGCTTGTTCCCTGAATTTTTCTGCCCTTAAAAATTCCACGACCTCCACCGGGTTTGAACCCACGTACCTTGAGTCATGAGGTGGGAACGTTACACCTAGACTATGGAGGCTGATACTTACTTGCTGATGTACTCTGGTATCTGATCCATCCAGGAGTGTATCATTGTTGAACCATGTAAGTGTAGGTTTTGGGAATGCAACATATGGAACATGGATAGAGAAATCTTCCCCAGCACGCACTGTAATATCACGAACACCTCCTAGGTCCATGCATGGCTTATTAGATTCTTCTTCAATCAGTATGCTATTACTTGGCCTACTGGGATCTGATGGACCTACATCATTCACAGCTATAACTCTGAATTGGTATTCATCACCTTCTTTCAGATTAGGCACCTGCAGTGTAAATAATTTGGTGTCACATAGGTAAACTAATTTGATACACAAGCACAAAAGAATACTGTCATAAATTTGTAAGAGTATAATTACAAATGATGATGTCAAAATGTTAGAAACTTTATACAACAGCTTAATTTACAGAAACTGCATGAATATGATTTGTTTTAAAAATACAAATCTCTTATTATTCCTTTTTTTTTTTTTTGTTTCTCAAGACATAACCTTCCAAAATGACCGCATTATTTGAATATCAATATGTTCGTAAAGGAATATATTCATATGTCATAGATAATTGTACAATGAAGACAGTATGGTGCTGAAGCTCATATCCTAAAGTATATGTGGTTTTAGTCAGTAACAATTGCAGCATATTTTTATTTCCTTTGTAATAATGAAACAATGCCAAATAGCACTGTTAAGCATTCATATGTTTGTCATGTTTACTACCGATAATCTTCTCTAGTTTTCTTCACTTTTCCTTTGTGTAACACTGGCCGTTTATCCTAAAAAGCCATACTCAAGAGATCAATGAGTAAAGATTATTAACTATAATATTACTACATCTAACAAAGAGATGGATGTAACTTACTTTAAACACGTTTACTGGGACAGGTGTCCCATTGACATCAGACCAATCAGCATCTCCTTTTCCCTTCTTTTGAATAATATAGCCCTTGATCTTTGATCCTCCATCACTGCGAGGAGGCCTCCAGGAAAGGGTCACACTATCTTTTGTAATGCGATCAGGTTTAGGAGGTTCAGGTGCATCAGGTTTCACTGAGAAAAAAATTATGTTACCATTACTGATTATATCATATTGGACTTTCTGGGAAATAATTTCTAAATCAGGTGGATATATTTTAGAAGTGAGAACTTTTCATTCAATAAATCTTTCAGAAAATTGATGAAAATAAAGCAATAAAAATATATGAAGATTGTAAGAGAGTGGTGACAGAAAGGACAAGAAGGTTAAAAGGAAAATAAATAAGATAAAGTACTTTACCAAAACCTGATGATGAAGAAGAGAATGACTGAAGTACAGCAAAGGAAAAGAATGAAAAAAAAACAAGGTCAATCAAATTAGTAGGGAATTAAAAAAGAAAGACAATGAAGAAAAGAAGGAAATTATGTGTTCATATTATCTAAATGACTAAGAAAGTTTGTTTATCCACAACATTACAGATGCAGGGTAGCTTGTAATTAAAATTTGTATATAATAACAGCTAAGGAGAGTATAAAAGGATACAGACATATTTAAATATTACAAAAACATGACACACAGAAAGAGCAAATTGTGATGTGACCCCTACATTGTAATATGTGAGTTAAATTAAAAGTCAACATAAGTAAGAGCATGGGAGTTAGTACAATAAGCAACCTAAAGGAATCAATGCAGAGTGAATATATACAAGCAGAAGATATGATCAGATATAAAAGTTCTGTAAAGAAAACAGAAGAATTAATTATGCACCACAAATATTTACATTCATGTATGAAACATGGACCAAAGACAAGAAGAAAAAAGATAATATGAAGAGAATAAATGATTAAAATCACATCTATATAAAAAGAAGTGAATGAGAAGAACAATGTAAAATAACAAATGTAAAAAATGAACTACAGGATGTTATGAAAAAGACAAATCAGATGTGCTGAACAGGAAAATGGCAAAACCAAAAAGGAGGAAGATATGAATAACAAAAGAATAAGAATATAAATATGGAATATGACAGGAAGTGACTGACATGGAATGAAGAGTAATGGAAATGAGTTTGCAGATTTTTTATGTGGGGGGGGGAAAAAAAGGAGTTATGAAATGTAAGTGAAGAAGAATCAAATCAAGAGATGCTTAAAACCAAGAGACCATATAGTTTAGTTCTAGCTCCCCTTGTTCAAAATGTGAAATATAAGCAAATATATAAGCACATGTTTCATCCCGTTACATTCTATATGCATAGTAAAATCAGAGAATACCCAAAGGAAACAACATAAACAAGTGAAAAATAATATATATCCAACTATGAAACCTAAATAAATTTTAGATTATTCTGTATATTATCTTGCTTCAGAATGAACCTATCACATGGTGAAAACAGATACTAAGGCCATTAAAAATGTTTTAAAAAAGGATTGAATAGAATGTATAAAATTATGTACATGCTATAATTCTCATATTTATAGCCAGACAACAGGAATTTTGTTGAAATACACCATCCTGTGATTGTTTATGTTAAGAAAATATAGTTACATGGCCTCTAACAATAATATAAATTATGCAATGGTAAATGCATAATTCCCTCACTGACTAATAACTTAAAACAGACAGGTAGAAAGATGATTAAAAAAAATTCCTGCACTTATTATGTTTCCCATAACTGAATTAAATCCTGCGCTTATTACGTTTCCCATAATTGAATTAAATATGGGAGGTTCTAAGTGTATCACTTTTGTACATAGTCTGCCTGCTTCTTTCACTCTGTTCAATGGTCCACAAGCTTTTTGATGTCATCAGAAAAATTTGTTTGGACTGAGTGAAAAGCCAGTCAGGCACCACTTCTTTCACTTTGTCATTATTTGCAAAACAGTGACCTCTGACAGCCCCCCTTAGAGGTCTAAACAAATGGAAATTCAAGGGTGCAATGACAACAGTTTTTATTGGATGACCAAGAACTTCAAATTCCATCTATAAGAGGGTTTCTCTAATAGCATTATGAGGTCAATTATTGTCATTCAACGTGACAACACCTTCTGACAAATTCTGTCATTTTATGTAAATGTTTCCGCTGAGGTAATATATTCTTCACACACAGAGAACATAAACGTGTGTGAATTTCAACCCTTTCAATGCCAAAGAAAAAAATCCTTAAAAACAAAGCATGACCCTCTGTTCTTCTTTAGTAAGAACTGGAAGTGGTACAGTTTTGTTCTCTGCTTCACTGCAGCTTATTCGGTATGTTAAAGGTCATGTCACGCAGTGTACTGACACATCATCTAACATGGTTCCTTACCACCAACTGTCATCAGGCAATCTGTTACTTTCTACTGGCAAAAGAAAAGTGTACATACTTTTTTAATCACTCTTGTATAAATTTAAGTGAAACCAGAAAAGTCCTATTATATGAATGCTCAAAATGTGAGAACATACAGCGTTGTGCTTCTGCAGTAATCGGTTCTGTGGGTTTGCTGGGCTTTCCAGGTCCAGCTTCATTGACTGCAATCACACGGAATTCATAACGGGCGCCTTCTCGCAGATCTTGTACAGTGAAGCTTGTATTTGGTGTTGGATAATTATTCACCTTAATCCATTCACCTCCACGCTCACGCTTCTCCACATAATACCCTGTCCAAACACAATTAGTGTTACATGACAACTTGTTTGCATAACTCAGGTTTGTACAATATATGTCTTTAGGTTATAATGCCTAGAAAACAATTGTGGTGAATAGGAAGCAAAAAATAATTTTGTAGGCTGCAGAATGATGTATGTTGTCAATATTCTAAGAAGTGTTGCCTACTTAGAAACAGAGATTTCCAGATTGAATGGAATGATATTAACTGATATAAGTGAGCTAGAGGAGTTACAACTAAATAACTTGATAAATGCACAGAAGCACTCCAAGCTTTATCCATAAATGCTCAATGTGTTCACTATTTATTACAAAATAAACATTCAGACAACAATTGAATTCATCCCATGTAAGCTGTAACACTACTGTATCACTGACTTAGTCATTCACTTGTTAAATAAACTCCCATAAATCTGCAAAGGGTTGTGATTTACTGTTCTATAAACTATATCTTCTGTAAAAATTTATGACAAATACAGAAGCTGTGGTGGGAAAGTAATTTGTTTCTAACATCTTATACAATTTTCCAGCAGCTGCTAATCCATAAATGCACTTACATAGAAATGGAACTGGGACATCAGCAGCTTGTAATATCTGAAACAATGTCTCTTGTACAGGATTCTCCAGTGTGGTTGTTGGGCTTTTTAGATCAATGCTTTAGAAGTAGTTAGTTGGACTTAAAATGAGTGATTCTCTGGTTTGACTGACTTATAATTCACTGGCTGACAAGATGTTTGGATTTGTACCTTTGTTGATGCATTTACTGACAAGATTGCCAAAGCAGCATCTGATTGGATACTTCAAATGTGAAAGCCCTGCATGATGTTGAAACATCACTATGGTTTAATGACAGGCAGAAACTCAAGGAATCAAAGACAGCACCAAAATTTCTGCTGTTCCAGTATATTTTTAGCTATGAATGATGACAGTGCTGAAGTGGTCAAGCCACAGATTGCCATATCTAACCTTGAAACATTATTTGTTTCTGTACATTTGTCATGTCAATTCATTCTTCTTACTGTTTTAGTTAATTAAATCTTGTTGATTTCAATCATTTCATTCCTTTGAAAATCCCAATGTGAATATAATAATAATTTATGTTCTATAAATAAGGTATAAAATGTGACTAAAAATGTGTAAGAAGTTAATTTTTTAAACTTGAATTTAAAACTTTCCTTAAGTGTGATGATTCTTGTCATTCAATGGGGAAACAAAGAACAAACTTAACATGGTGCTTATTCTATACAGTTGAAAGAGTACATCATTTAGCCAAAATAAGGAGATTTTTATACCATATCACCAGACAGGTCTATAAATTCTGGTCAAACCATTTTATTAAATTTGGTCTGAGGCAGAGTAAAATGGCAGTGACAGATTTGTTAATCAAAGTGTGATACTTTCTTTTTTACCATTCTATATGGAAATTTGCACTTTGGATACATATATGCGTTGAAGCAAAAATGTAATGTACCAGTACCCTACACTTCATGTTGTTATACCAAAATAATTTCTGAGGACATTACAAGACTTGACAACATGTTCTGTTAAATCAGACAATGTAAAATAATTGTCATTTGTAGGTCAAGAAGTAAATGCAAGGCTCTGAATATGTGGTTATGAAGGGTGCCTTCCATGTCATGAAAATACAAGCAGAGTGTTTAAAGGATCTGCCCACACCGTCACTGATTCCAGCCATTCCCATGCAAATTGCATGGTCTCTCAAATCAAATATTGGAATAGAACTACAGAAAAGAGATTCACGCCCCATTACATACTACTGAAAATAAGAAATTTTGAACTTTCCATATAAGTATTGTGAGGTGGACAGCGCAACGCTTGGTAACACCCCCCCCCCTTCCCAATCCGGGGTGATGTAACAGCATAGGAGCTGCTGCTGCTGCTACGGTAACATAACAGGGGGCACTGCTGTTAACACGGGACAACATGGAACGGTATAAATGACCGGCTGAGCAGTGTGTGAGCCAGAGTGTGAAATTAGGAGTGACAGAGTGTGGATCGTGAAGTCGCCGAGAGCAGTGGAAGTAATTGTGATACTGCAGATTGCAGTAGTTGTGAAATTGTGAATTGTGTAAGTGTAAAAGCGAATGTGGAATAAATTCGCTAGATCCAAGATGGTGTGAAGTTATTTGTCGTGTTACACATGGCCAACACGTGACAATATGTTACATGCATTATGGGTCAACAGATTTTATATAAGACAAAATGCACATGAGATGAAAGACACATACTGTTATTAATTTATACTAAGAATAACATTTCACTATGCTATTCATTCAAATGGAAATAATTTATAATATCATATTAAGTTTATTGAATTTTATTTCAAGTACTTCAGTAAGAAACTGGATAAGAGTAAAATTCTACAGAATAAAAATTTTAGTGTAAATATGACCCTTTGTGAAAATTAATTAACTGATATTCTACCTGTTATAGGCTTCCCTCCTGTAGATACTGGTGGATTCCATTGCAAGCTGCAAGTACTTGGGCTGTAACCTGTAATTTCTGGTGTGCTTGGAGCATCTGGGGGATCAAATGGACTCTTTGCTACAACAGGTTTTCCCTCCAAAGGTTCTGATAAGCCATAAATATTCTCAGCCCGAACTCGGAACACATAACGCTTTCCTTCATGCAGTCCCTTTGCAGTGAAAGCAGTTTTGGGACAGAATCCTGGTAAAGCTTTCCAGTTATCCAAACCATACTCTGTCATCTCAATCACATAACCTGGAAAAAATATATTAAATGATATTTCATGATTTCATTACTACCTGAAATATATTTTTGATAAAAATAAATTTACTTGGGCTAGTAAATTATTTTGTGATGATATGGTAGTAACTGCCATACATTAATTAGGAGTAGCAGTATTCAGAAAAACAGTAAATAATGCAGTCAATTTTCCATGCATTCTTGGTCAGCATCTGCAGACAAACACAATGATGTTACTTTATATCATATCATAAAATAAAAGCATGTAACTGTACCAGGCATATCTTTTTCTTCAATAATTACAAATAACTATACAAGCAATTAAGTAAAGACAAACTGAAGACTTCATACTCAAATACACATAAAGTACTCTTTTATTTCTTTTCAATAAGCAATGAGATACTTTCTACAGTGCTTGATAAAATCATAAAATATTCAAATTGTATTCAATTCAATTCAATTCAATTTATTTACATTCTATAAATCCTAAGCAGGTTAGTACCTTTGGATACAGAACATGTCAAAAGGTTACATACATAAGTACAGGCAATTTTAGCTTAAAAATTAATATAACTTAATTTTACATCATTCTCTATTTACATTGAAGTATTCATCTAAAGAGTAGAAGGAATGAGCATGTAGATAATTCTTTAACTCTGATTTAAACTTTTTAGTATCATTGCCCAAGTTTTTAATACTTTGTGGCAGATTGTTGAACACTTTTATGCCAGTAAAGTAGACTCCTTTTTGATATACTGATAAAGTTGATGAGGGTAGGTGGAAGTTATATTTTTGTCTAGTATTCATGTTATAGACATCAGAATTTAATTTGAATTTATCTTTGTTGTAAACAACAAATAAGAGAAGCGATAATATGTATTGTGATTGAAGAGGTAGAATTTTTAATTTCTTAAATAATTCTCTACATGAATCTCTACTTCTACATCCTGTAATGATTCTAATTATATTCTTTTGTATTTTAAAAATTATTACACTATGTGAAGAGTTCCCCCAAAATATTAATCCATAGTTCATAATAGAATGAAAGTAGGCATGGTAAACCATCTTCAATGTTTCCTGTGACATAAAAGGCTTAATTGATCTCATCGCATAGCAAGCTGCATTTAATTTAGGTATAATTTGTTCAATATGTATTTTCCAAGACAGTGTACTGTCTACATGTATTCCAAGGAATTTTGTATCAAGTACTTTACAGATTAATTTGTTGGCATAACTGATGTCCAGATCAATTTGGTGGTTGTTTTTAGTTGTGAATGATATGTAATGGGTTTTATCAAAATTTAATGAGAGTAAATTGGCTTCGAACCATCTGTTTAAGGCTTCAAATACAATATTTATGTCATTTTTAAAGTTGTCAAATTTAGAGTTCTTAAATATTATACTAGTGTCATCTGCATATAGAATTGGTTTAGATTTATCGCTGACTTGTATGTTACTGACTTACATGAAATATACCATTAATACATAATGATTATGATAAAGCATGTGCAAAGCTGCAGAGTGGAGCAAGTACAGCAATCCAAGTCATCAGAACAGTTGAAGCTTGGCTTATCATGAAACTAAATTGTTCAGTCACTACATGTGAGTTCAGGAGTTCCTCATTTCGAAAGAATTGGCTCTCCACACTAAATGTAAATGCTGCAAACGACAGTTTTTAAGCAGAAAATTTTTAATTCAGATTTTGAATAAATGTGATGAATATTTTATAAAAGCAGTGTCTCTTGCAGTGATGCTATGAACAAATGCAAAAAATTATCTTTAATGAAAATACTTGAGAGTTATTCTCTGCTAAATGAGCCAGTGCATAAAACTTCCATCTAATGAATTTGGGTGTATTTTGGTATATCTCCAGAACCTACAACTGTAAAGAGAAATGTCAGTATTTGATACTTTGAGTGAGGGTTTTATAAACTATTGTCATTTCAGAATTTGAATAAAAAATTCTAGGTATAAAACATATTTTCCTATTGCACTGACTTCTAGTTCTACAAATCTTGTGCTGTTAATGTTATATTTAGATCATATAAATTTGTAGTCCAACAGTGAAATTCAACGTAGTTCTTGCAATAGAGTGCTCAACACAACATCTCTCTGTGGCAAAAATATATTGGTTTCAAAAAAATAATACTGAATGCTGTACAAACATTATGTCTCTTCCTACTTTTTGAATTGATATGAAGAGCTTCAGATATTCATAAGCATGTTATAAAACTTGTAAAAACATTCAGCTAAATAGGCCCAAACTCCAAGAATTTTTTAACTTCAGGGTTTTTCACAACAGTGATTGTGCAGACTGTGGTTTTTGTGACACTATGGAGTCCTATGAAAGACTAGAGAGCGTCCCAAGCCATACTGCTGGCTTCCCACCGCGGTGGCCCGGGTTCGAGCCTGGGTCTGAAGTGGGATTTGTGGTGGACAAAGTGGCACTGGGGCAGGTTTCCTCCGAGTACACTGATATATTGGGTTTTTGGACTTTATCCATCGTCCTGGTTTTTAAGATAACTAATAAAAACACGACGTTTCGGAAACTGGATCTGTTTCCGTCCTCAGGTGAAGGAAAACACCTATTCT